CTTTTATTGGCAACGAGATTTGAATTTTTCAAAACGACACTTGCGATGCAGAGGACAAGAGTTTCGGATGCTACTCTTTTGCCACATCGGCCTGCTCCTGCTCCGACGGCTGCTGGTCTAATCGCTGTGCTGTTTCTGCCCTGTCGCGTTGTTAGTCATTTTTTATGAGTTTTCCAGTGTTGCTGCCCTGCAGGTCTAACAGGTGTCACTCTGGCCAAACATATGCAGGCATGTGTGCCTGTTTCGGTGATTTCTGGCCACATAACTTACCACTGATTGCAGTTTTATGGTCAAAAAGTTTTTGGGCTGGACATTTATAGACAGCGATAACGTACAAACTGCTAATTAACTCTGCCATAAAACGCTTAAGCCTTTACCCAATGTTATCGCCAAGCCAGCAATCAAAGAGAGAGGCCACAAAAAATAGAACAAGTATGCAAAATCAACTCGCAGCTGCCATTCAAAGTGTGCCGCATAATGGCAACCGCAGACAGACAACTTGCTAATTTTCATGCGCCATTTAAGGGGCGAAATCTCGTCAGGATAAGCCGCCCACTTGCTGGCTTTCAAAGCGGTTATACCCTGTAACCTAGGCAGAGGGAGTATCATAATAAACAGCAGCCAGGAAAATATTTAGTAAATTATTTAACTTGCCAGGCGCTGCAAATAAGGCCTCAGAATATATATTTTGAACTTCGCTGTTTATTGCATATTGACCTCTTTTTTAAATTTAAATTATCTTTCACTGTTTCCAGGTGAAGTTTTTTTCTTTTTAACGCTTCGGTAAATTTTGAATCGCGCCAGGATTTATGTTCAGGACTCTGACTGTGTCAGCTGTGGATCTTGAACTTCTTAAAAAAGAATATTGATATAAGAAATAAGTTCAGATTGTATATATACAAGTTGTTGTGAATATGTATTACTTCGAGTACTTAGAAACCGTATACAGAGTATCTGCTTGTCAAACACTCATGACGCAAGTATTTTAACTTGTTTGCTGTCGCATCACGAATTCACTTGACAACTCTTTTATTTTTTTTTTTTTTTTCGTTGTAATGCGGCACGTTGTCAGCCTCCTTTGAACTACTTAAAATTCATGCCTGACATAAACATCCTTAAGCAACCTAGTCAACAATGCCAAATGCGCTTTAACGATATGTCAGAGATTAGAACGCTGGAAATGCCAAAGCAATTAATTCACATCATTTGGGAAGCGAGAGAAGGAAAAAGCAAGGCAGTCAAAAAGAGGAAAAGTGTCTTATTTTTGGCTGTAATTTTATAAGCAATGTGTTCTCGAATACTCATTCGCAGTTATTTCAACAACATTTTAATGGAGAAAACGATCATGTTCTAAGAGAACTAGTAAAGAAAATAAAGCAAGAAGAACCTTTGGTTTTTGTGATTGGAGAAGAAAGTGAAAAAGGAAAACCTGTGCTTTTAGTGCCAAAGATTGATAGAAAAAGACAAATCACAAATCCTTATTAGGATAAGTGACACAATTACTACTTTAAAAAATGTTGCAGAAATAGAGATGAAAACGTTTTGCCAAAACATCCGAATGAGTTCATTTTGCGCTTTTTGTCAGCAAATGCAATAATAACCACAATAAAATGTTATAAAAATGAACATTGCATGGAAATGCTCATGCATATAGCGAATATATATCGTATAATAAAGGCTGCCAGCGGCATTGCCAACAAAGCAAACAATAATTTCCTTCATATATAAAAATAAGGGAAGAATAAGGACAGAGGGAGATATGAAGTGTGTTAGTGTGTGTGTTGATGGGGAAGTGTGTGTGTGTGTGTGTGTGTGTGTTTTTTATGTGTGGGCGATTTGAAACGGCAGAAACGGATGTACAAATTGCAAAACATAATTCAAATTGTTTGACTTTTTTGACAATGACTGCGCCAGTTCCACTTATCCCCTCCTATGCCGCCTTTGCAACTGATCCTTGGCAAGTGCTTTTATCTTGGCATATGTATGTCTTTCCGTGTATGTGTGTGAGTGTGTGTACTGGTGAGATGAAGGTTGGCGCCATTCCTCTGCAGTAGTTTTGCTTTCGCTGTTTATTTAAGCTGCAGTCGAGCAGCAACTGAGCGGTTGCCTTTAATAAGGTTATTAACTGGCATCGTACCACGTTGCGTATGAGTCACATTAATTAGCTGAAACTGCCAGCGAAGTGCGCTTAAAAAGCAATTAAATGTGATTAGCATAAGTTGCCAAATATTTTGCATGCTTTTAGGCGCCGCTTCAAAGACCATTGCATACCCACAGACAGTGGCATTGAATGGATTTTTGGTATTAGCGGTTTTTTTTTCGAGCTTCTTTTTGGCACACACAGCAAACCATTTGACTTAATTAGTTGGCCGACGCCGCCACTGTCGACGCCCCCCTAGCTGGGGGCGGGTGTGGAAAAACTATGAATTTATTTGACACTTGAATAAATGCGGTTTTTGCGGCGACAACGAAAAATGTCAGCCCATATTTTTCAAATTCCCCAGTTTGCGATTTTCGCCCATCGACAGGGTCTGTCGACAGGGCTGCCCATGCGGTAACCGTTGCTCATACACTCATTGATATATGTATAACCCATGTCTTATCCTTGTCCTCCCAATACTTCATGCTCAATTCACAGTGCCGCGTCGCACATTTCCGTTTCCTTATTTTCTTAGGCCAGTGTGTGTGTGTACTTAGCGTTTTGTAAAATACCATTTGCGCTGTCTAATTTATGAATGTATGCGCTTAGTATGCGCTCATGCCAGTAATTGTGATATGTGTAAGTGCATTTGGCTGGCAAAGACGAATGAACAATGCTAAGGCCACAACCTAAAACCAAAGCCAAAAGCCATGATGTCATTTCATAAAAAGTACTTCGATTCTGCTTAAAATTTAAGCTTATTATTTGAGCATAGATAAGTGAGAGCACAAAATATGAATACATAATCATTTTTTTTAGTTATTTGACAAAGAAATTTATAAGAACCTAGTTAACCATTTTATTATACGTTGTCTTTGTGCAACAGCTCTGTACCCGAAATGTCACAATATGTTAATATCTCAGATCCTTCGCATAATAATAATCAGTTGTAAGTCATAAATACATTTTAATCTATTCTGCTTCTACTTTCGTGTTGCCTCTATACTCCATAAAAGTGAGCAAGCAAAGAGTGATTAGGTGAACCCAAGGTCCGTTTAATTTATATGCCCTACATACAGTGTCTCCCAGCTTATTTCAGACAGTGTCTAGCAACAATTTTAAAGTGCTATAAAGTTTAAACAAAGAAACAAACGCAAAATGTTTAAATGCCAATTTGTTTCATGCTATATCACGTTTGAAAAATAAACTTCAGCTTTTATTAAAATATTAAATAATTAATTAAAATTAGTCAAAAACTGAAAACTTATTCAAAATACATGAGGATATTAATACTCAGTATGATATCCTTTAGCCTTAATAACTCCCCTTAACCTATTATTCATGGAAGATATCAGCTTCCGGGTAGTTTCTGGACTGATTTTGCTCCACTCATTCCAGCAGAGCCCACAAATTTTAAATAACATTTAAATCTGGAGACTGGGCCGGTTGAATTATCATGTGAGGGCAGTTACAGATAAGCCAGGACTGTACTAATCCGGACTTATGCTTGGTTGTTGTCCTGGTCGTTGTCGTGGTAGAACCGGAAAGTACGTCGGATTCCTAGCTTCTCGACACTTTGGAGTAAATTTTCCTTTAATATATTGAGGTACAAATACTTGTCCATTGTTGTTTCAATGAACACCAAATTTCCGACGCCGGCTGCCCATACCATAACACTTCCTCCGGCGTGCTTAACTGTTGCCTCTAGGATTTTGGGATTCAGCTCAGTATTGGACTGTCGCCACGCATAATTTTGTCCGTCTGAGCCAAAAATGTTGAATTTGGGCTCATCTTCAAATATGAATTTGTTCCAGAACTCCAAATCCTTGTCCAAGTTGGTTTTGGCGAACGTCATCCTAGTCCATTTATTTTTTTCACTTATAAAGGGCTTCTTCCGTGGTACTCGGGCATTGAAGTCATGGTTGCGTAGAAGCTGGCGCACAGTTTCCACACTGCACTTTTTCCCCATTTCATCCTGCATCTGTTGAGTCAGTTTTGGAGCCGACAGCTTGGGGTTTTCCCTGTTTATCCTGATGATCCTCCGCTCTTCCTGTTCGGTGAAAATTTTGTTTGGTGCCATTCTGCCTTTGTCCTATCCAATTTTCGTCGACGAAGCGACGAATGATGCTGTATACAGTTGATCTGCTTAAATTAACCATTTCAGCTATTTGGCGATGTGAATATCTGATCTTTAAGTGTTCCAGGATGAGATTCCGTTGTGCAATCGTAGTCCGTTTGCCCATAGTCCTTGTTGGCTGGTTGCACCCGAGATGCAGGATATAACTAAACTGACTACGAAGGATTGGTCTATTTATACCGAAAATAATCAACCTGACGTAAAAAATCCGGGTTTTATGGCACCCATAATGCCACTGTTGGAAATAAACTGTGACCATAAATTAAGGTACTTTTTTACATAACCCTAGCAGGTGGGGAAACTCCAATTTATTGGGATCATATATTCATTTTGGTGGTTAAATTATATACCTGCTATCGGCCTTTGGAATTTTTGAAAAATAATGTATTATTAGTTTATGGCAGGCAATTACAATTTTTGCTAGACACTGTCTGAAATAAGCAGGGAGACACTGTGGCTATAAATAGGTACGCAACTAGAAATTCTAATAAAATAGCACAATGCACCCATCATTTGTCTTGTAAACATTTTGTAATTTAACTATTTAAAAACAAAGCAGGTGGGTTGCCAGACAATCAGAAATACCAATAATATTATTCATTTGCGGCAGCCCTTAGTTGTGGAAATGGAAACGCACAAATACATATAAAGCTGCTCGTATCTCCCATATTCGTCGGAGAATAGGTCGCACAAGTTTGTTTTCGCTTTTTTAACACTCATTGATATTCCATGTAGACACCTTTTGAAATCGATGACATATAGCGGCACGAGCAAAGTTTTCTTACAGTCCGTTTTCGATCGTCGAACCAAGTGGAACATTCTTATCAAATCGGAATACTTATAAATATAATGTTGACCGCCTTATCAACATTTTTAACATATTTAGGTTTATACTCATTCATTTGTTTTCTATATGAGCACTTGAGAACACCTATCCGATTGCTCAAGTTACGTTTGGTCAACGATCCCAAGCAAAGGTTAAGTTTGAAGGAGCGATATGGGTCCTGGGCAGCAATAACTGGCAGCAGCGATGGTATTGGCAAGGAGTACGCCAAGGAGCTGGCCCGGCAGGGTATCAATGTGGTGCTGATAGCCAGGAATGAGGAGAAACTCAAGGCAGTTGCTGAAGAAATCGGTGAGTTCATTTATTATGCAGTTAACAATTGCATGTCTAAAAACTTATCACCTATATATATATTTCCTATAGCTTCAGAGTGCACAGTGGAGACAAAAATTGTGATTGCGGATTTCACACAAGGTGCTCAAGTTTATGATCATATTGAGCGCGAACTGGCCGATCTACCAATTGCTATACTAGGTAAGTACTTGACACGGTCCGGAAAAAAGTACCTCAGATTTTTATTATTCGCTCTTGGAATAATATAGAAAGTAATGCGATTTTAAAAATTCTGGGACATATTTTTCTTCCGAGTTAACAATCAAGCATACCCATACACCCATTATAACTTAACGCTTCTTCTAGTCAACAATGTGGGCATGGGCTTGCCGGTAGGCCTGAACAAAGTCAGCAAGGAGCAAGCGCAGCAGCTGCTCGACACAAATGTGATGGCCGTTTCGCAGCTCTCGCGCTACTTCTTCCAACGGCTGCGTGCGTCCAAGGTCAAGGGTGCCATTGTGAACGTTAGCTCCGGAACGGAACTTCAACCTGTGCCATATGCGTCGCTGTATGCCGCATCGAAGGCTTACACGCGCAGTTTCACACTGGCACTGCAGTGGGAGGCGGCTCCGTTTGGCATCCATGTGCAGCTGCTGTCGCCCAATTTTGTTGTGACCAAGATTAACAACTATTCCAAGATCATTATGCGGGGGGGACTCTTTATACCCACAGCAAAGGCTTATGCCCGCAGCGCCGTTGCACAGCTGAGGGATGGTGCGGATGAAACTCCGGGATATAGCTGGCATCATTTACAAAATGCTGGTATAAGTATTTTTCCTTGGCGATTACGTCTAAATATAGTGCAATTATTCTTTACACGAATTTCGGACAAGAAAAAATTATAAACATTGCATACTTTTAAGCTGGTGCTTTTTGATTGGGTTGTGTCTTTGCTAAACATTTTAGTTACTCGGTTGGTGTCTTGACCAGTGGGGATTGTGCTTTTCCACAACTTTCGAACACTTCTTGTCAAAATCAATAATATTTTAGAATGCACACAAATATTATGCTAGTTCCTTTTAGTCACTTAACGTGAACTGACACGTTTGCTGCAATTTACAGGTATGCTATAATGTAGTGAATTGTTCTTTGCAATAAAAAAAACCAGAAGCGTTAAGTTTTAGCATGTCATCCAAACAGTTCTCGCCATTCTCCGTCAAATATATTTCCTTATCGGGTCTGTCTGCTATCGGTTTGAAGAGTCATTGTATTTTGTATTCAACGCATACACACGCAAAGTTCAAACATATGCATTGCTTGTTGGTTCTAAATGAAAAATCACACTGAGAAGTTTACTAATTACTGGAATGGTTCACACTATTTTCAAGGGTCCATCACCAATTACAGTTTAATACGAATTAAAAGAACATTTTTGTTAATTAACAACTAAAATAAATAATTAAATTTCTACAATAATTAAGAGCTTGTAACATGCTGACTAATCTACAATACTTAACAGCTTGTAACATGCTGACTAGACTACAATATTTTTCAATTTTAAATTGAGGCAAATACTCCGAGAAATAAAATAAACGTATAAAGTCCCTTTAAAAATGCTGTAATGTCAATGCTACGAGGAACATGCTCACTTAACAATTGTAATAATTACTCAGTGATAATGTTTAACATGTCAGAGTACTTTAAAATAAATTGTCAATTTGATATCATAAACAAAGTGGCCAAGTTCAGATCGTTGCGTGTTGTTAAATATTTTTGCATCTTTCACCTTATTGTTTTGAGTCCCAGTCGCAGTGTCAAATATTAAGTCCCAGTAAGAGTAGACTAATTATGCACTTGACAGTCATTATCTTCAAACAACAACTCATTTCACTCGCTTCGAAAGGGCCGAGGAGAGTGACGGAAATATCTGGCGGCCAGCGGTGATTAAATATCTAATAATTTGTGATGCCAGGCGGCAGATTTTGTAATCTTCACACCAAAAGCAAAACATAACCAAACATAAATCTAATGTTTATGAAGTAATGAAGCTAAAAAAAAGAGCGGCATTTTTTCTATGTATCTGCAGTGTTGTTCATGTTCATGACTTCGAAGACAATTGCAGCTTGTAAAACTCGACAAAAAAATTTATAAGCGCGGAGCAATTTAATGTGGTCGTAAGCTCTGGCCTGCGAGCCTGTAACTCGACTTCAGTTTCAGTTTCGGTTTCGGGTTTTAGTGCGTGATTGACGCTCAAAGCCGCCGCTTGTGCCGACAGCCTAAGAAGTGAAACATCGGTTGTTGTTGTTGTTGTTGTTACTAAATTCAATTGGCAATTCATACAAATTCATTGAAATTCAAATAGAAAACAGTGCTGAAGTGAAGCGTTTACTTTGTATACTGCATATGCTTAGCATGCTTAATTCCATTGGCACTTATCAACTGTTGCTTATCACTCGTTACTCGTTCATTTGAAGCTGTACATGCACTTCTGTGGAATATATAATATAAAGAGGTCATTTTCATTATGCAGCCGGCTGGGGAATTGAGCATTTATACACTGCTACGCATGGCGTTCATTTGGCAGCTTGTTTCGTTGGCCATTTACTTGGTTGGCGCTGTGGCAATTGGTGCCTATCTCTACGACAACTTTAGATCTTTGATAAGCATTATAAAGGCGTTGCTGGAGCCGTACTTTCAGCCGCAGTTGCCGCAAAGTTTATTGGATAAGTTTGGCAAATGGGCAGGTAAGTTTTTTCTCTACTATTAATTGACACCTGCTCGCATTCGCAATAAAATATTTACATAATTAACAACTCAAAAAAAGACCAACAACCTTGCTTTATACACGGTTATTTTTCTAATATTACCTTTTCTTTGTTTTATTTTAACTTAACCTTTAAGCCTGTGAAATGAAAATAAAAATTATTGGTTTTAATTTGCAAAGAAGATTTTTATATTGCTTTGCTGATCAGGGACGTCAAAATGCATTTAAAATCTAAGTTCATGAATATACCCATCAAGAATATAAATGTATACGGTCCGTGTCTAATGAAGACTGTGTATTAAATAATTGCATAAATATAGTTAGTAACTTAGAATTTTACACGAAGATGCGATCTAATCATTTATGGAGGAAATATTAACTTCTAAGCATATGTAAATTGCATACTGAAGGCGTTTGTTCATGCCAGCCACCAATTTTCATATATTTCAATAGAAAAATATCGTGACAATCTATGCAAGTGATTAACTAAATTATTTTCTATATTCCTGTAGTAAATAAACTATCACAAGCCATGTCAGCATGAAACCACAAATACTTATCAAAGCATACTAATCGCGTTTATTATAAATTATTAATTGATTAGCCAAAGTAGTGCATTTTTTATGATACCGTCTTATCGATCAGCTGCCCCAGTACTCGAGTTCTCAGTTTGTTTGCGCCTCATTAATGGGGCAAACCAAGTCATTCAACTCGTCTAACGAAACCGAAAGCAATACCAAAACCGGATTGGCCAAGTTAAACTTTTCGCATGCTTATGAATAGAAAACAAAACAAAACAAAATATAAAATAATATAAAAAAATTAACTTTACAGTTAATGTCTTCACATTTTTTCTGTCGCTTTATATTGTTTATTTTATTTATTATTTTCAAGCATTTTTGACCTTGCGCACAGTAACAATGTTTGTCAATTGACAATTTATTTGCGAATAAATTATTTGCAAATACTGATGCATACTTAAAAAAATCGATGTACATTTCCCGTAGTTGGGAAACACTTGTAATTTGACGCAGTTGCCATTTGCTGCCAATGTTTACGCTGCACAAATATTGGGAAACAGTGTGGCCAAAGTCAACAGCAACAACGGCAAGTAACGTTTTTGAACGGTGCCAGCAATTGCCGCCTGTTGGCCAGTTGCGCAGCCGCAGTGGCAACTGTTGCATTGACTCATTGCAACAGCACAGCACAGCACAGCACCAACGGCCGCAACATGAACAAGAAAAATAAACCAAGTTTCTTGTTTTCTCCTTTTTTTTTACCATTTTTTGGTATTGTGATTTGGTATTTGTTTTGGGCCTGGCAGTAGCAACTACCAAATGCCAACTAAATAAGTTGACTTAACCAATAATTAACAAAGGTGTGATAATTATTAATGTTAACTGAAACAGCTCAAAACGAAAAATTGAAAGTCTCTGGCTTGATAAGTACATCATAACTAGTTTGTCGCTTATACTCAGTTAAACTTAAAATGCTCTTTCACTTTTTTCAGTGATAACTGGCGCAACTGATGGTATTGGGAAGGAATACGCCAGAGAATTGGCACGTCAAGGTCTCAATTTGGTGCTGATCTCGCGCACCAAGGAGAAGCTCATTACGGTAACCAATGAGATTGGTATGTAAACAGATTTACAGATGCATCTACAGGTCTAACTTGTCCATCAACTTTCACAGAGAGTGAGCACAAGGTGAAGACAAAATGGATAGCCGTAGATTTTGCCAAGGGACGCGAGGCATATGAGCAAATCGAAAAGGAACTGGCGGGCATTGAAGTGGGTATACTTGGTAAGTGAATTAATATTTTCATATATCAATAAATACGGACAAAAATAAAGTGCTGGCCGCACTCAGATTCAAGAGAAAATAAATTAAAATAAAACACTCAGAACATGAATTCGATGAGTTAATTTCCATTTCTTTATTCTCAATTTGTTGCGGTTTAAATACAATTAAATTCCATTATAGCTTTCGAACTCCTGCTATCAATTTGATAAGATTAAAAACTCTTCTTTAACATCTCTGAGTACTAAATATTTAAAGCATAATTTGACTGGAAGAAGATAATAATATAATATTATATTGAAAATTAGTGAATCATGAGACGAAGACCCTATGTAGGAAATACTAAATATATATTTTAGTATTATGTACATAAGTGCTATACATATGTATAAATAAGTAACACACTTTTTAAATATCTTGTGGGCGTCACTAGCACATCAACAACTTGTCAGAGTCTCTTCCCTCCCATCTGCAGCTGTATATTAGCCAACTCATTGTCAACTCGCAGTGGCCGCTATATGTCACTGACAACAACAATTAAATCTGTTGGCTTTGCCTATTTGTTGTTGCCAATGTCATTGAAAAACTGAGTTGAGGTACTCGTAATTGCGTGCAATTATAATGAATCTTTACTGTAGGGCCATTCAACGGACTCTGAGGCAGATATTATAAACATTTTCAAGTACATGCATATAAATAATTTCTGTGTCGAACTTTTGGAGTTTCATTTGCCAAACTCATAAACGCTTTGACGCGCTTCAGCAATTTACATTTTTGTCAGTTGCGTTTTGGATTTGTTATTTTTTTTTTATGTGTGGTCGTTTTTCACGCAACCTTGCCAGAGCAAGGCTTAAACCGATTAGCATCTATGGCCTTAACTGGGAGATTTTCGCTCTTCATTGCAGTCAACAATGTGGGTCGAATGTATGATTATCCGGAGACTCTGGAATTGGTGCCGGAAGATATCATCTGGGATATTTTGACCATCAACATTGGCGCTGTCACAATGTTGACTCGCAAGATAGTGCCTCAAATGAAATCGGCCCGGAGGGGTGCGATTGTTAACATTGGCTCTGGATCGGAGCTGCAGCCTATGCCGAACATGGCCGTTTACTCGGCCTCCAAGAAATACGTCACGTATTTCACACAGGCTCTGGAACAGGAGCTGGCCGAGTTTAATGTGACCGTGCAACTGGTCATGCCCATGTTTGTAATTACCAAAATGAATGAGTATTCAAACTCGGTTATGCGCGGTGGATTTCTCATACCCAATGCACACAGCTTTGCTCGCTCGGCGGTCTTCACGCTGGGCAAGACGAACATGACGACGGGTTTCTGGACGCACGGACTTCAGGTGAGTCCGAAATGTATTCTTTCTACATACCCTGCAAATAGGATTGCAAAAAATCGTATCTTAAAATCGGGTGCACGCACAGTTACAAATACTACACTGCCATAAATTTCCCAAAATTGAATATATTTTCAAAACCCATGCATTTTTTGATCATTTATTAATACTTTAAATCTCCAAACATGATTCATGCGAAAGAACAACACTAAGAATTTGAATGTAGAGTTGGGCCAAAACTATCCAAAACCATAACTAAAACCGATTTTTGAAATCAAATGCGTTATTTATATATACTTTTATACACGGAAAAAAAATATTTAGCTAAACACTTAAATGGCTATTTGGGAGCACATTATTTAACTACCAACATTTATTAGGCACATATAGACAATAGTTAGTATTTAAATTGCATTTTAGTTGTCGTAACTGCAAATGGGTCATTATTATAGTAATTACATATTTTAAAAAGCAATAATTTCAGAAAATCTTATTAAAATTTAATTTTTCAACATTTGCAGTACTTTTTCATGAAGATGGCCCCGCTGCATTTGCGGATGCTTATTGGACACCAGTTGACTCGGCGTCTTCGTCTCGAAGGTCTAAGCCAAAAGATGGGGACTTAGTCATTAAAATTGTACCGCATTTATTTACTTATTTATCTTAAGACTTTTGTAAATATTGGCGCATAGTTTTTATCTTATTAAAAAAAAAAGAAACTGTAAATATTTTCCACACAGAAAAACTGAATGCACAAAATCAATTTACGAATCTTTATACCAGCTGATTGCTTAACTCCTTTTGCAGTTACAATTTGTATAGTCAGAGGAAGAGGGATGAGGTAGCGGGTGTCTGCTGACGTTATTAAAAGCTGTGAAACCGGTTGGCCAGCTCTCGGGATTCTGCTGACCAACAGGCGGAAGAGCTGCCAGTCACCCAAAAAAAAAATAAAAACATAACGAAAACGCAACTCAAGCTTCGCTTCATTGCACTGGCATACTTTGGACATTCAGTCTTTTTTTGGAAGCAAAAAAGTTAAATTCGTATTGCATGCATGTGCATGCAAATGAACCTCAAGCACAATCTGTGAGGGTCTTGCTATTGTAACCACTGGCCAAGAGGCGAACTGCCCAAATGTTGACAATACAAAGCATGTTTTGGACCCACGGCATTATGGCTGTGCTCTAATAGGCCCATCTTACTTGCAGTTATAGCTGGCTTGAAGTACATACAGCTTATTGATGGGGCTTGTTTCGCTAATGACAACCTTAGCACAAACCGATTGTGCATCTCAAAAGCTGTTCAAGGTGATTTATTCAAAGTACATTAATCATAATTTTCGAGGCAGATTGAAGGGAAAAATATGTTCTACCCCTAAATATAAAAGAAAATGCTTAAATTTATAATTTGCACTACATGAAGAACGCTCGAGAAAAATGTAATGTAAAACCAAACTACGGCGGATTTCAGCTTGATAAAGAAAGTCTAAAATTTCTATTCATATTTATTTTTGCAATTCATTAGATTGATTATTAAACTCAACCTAAAACTCTCTGTGTATATCCCAAGTAAAGTATATCAGAGATTTTAGAAAAGTAAAACACAATTTACTGTTTGCTTTTTTGTTGTTTTATTCCTGCTTGTTTGTTGTTATGGTTAATGCATTTTTATTATTTATTTTTTTTGTGTGTTTTTTGTTGCTTGTTTAGCTGTTGGTCTTGTTGTTATTTACGAAAAAAATGCATATAGAATTAAATAAAGATCTTACATAATTTGTGTGCAAAGTGTTAAACAATGAAATAAACAATTTTCCTATGTGTGCGTTATGCGGTTGTTGATGTTGTTGTTGTTGTTGTTGCTGTTGTTTGCTATACACACTTATACTGTACATTATGGTCTAGAAATTATAAATTGAATAAATTCCATTGCGAAACAAAAATTGCCAGTTAATATTTATGATTAGAGCAAATGACGCCAATGCCTTTAGGCCATTTTAAAATAAGAGAGAGATGTGGTTGCAACCCAAATTGACCGAAGCGTTGTCTCAATCAAACGCGGCACTGCAGAAATAAGAAGAAATATTTTATAAATATATCAGATATAGAAATTGATTCAACTTACCGCTACACACACTCGCTCCGTTGCAGGCCATTGATGTCGATCCCCCGAACCGGGCAGCTCTTTACTGCCTGCGGCGTTGGCGTCATCTACAGGAAATAGAAATCGATTAGGTATTTGCATAAAATTAATGCACTATGGCTTTCTATATATAAAAGCCTGCTGGTTAAGTAAAATTTAATTAAATTATTGGTCAGCATGTTTATTTCAAGATGCCTAAATGGTTGCGCTACTTGAAGCAATTTTGCAGCTGATATAAATATTCATTTTCGGTTATTTGCGCAGATGTTTGTTTTTCCATTCTTTAATTTTCAAGTGGGAAAACACATCCACAGTGTTTCCTGTTATTTATAGCACAAATGTATTTATTTCTTGAAATATAAATAAAGGTTTTCGACCAACTATATAAACATTTGTAGACTAACATTATGATTTAATTTAAATTCAGTTTTAGCTATTTTTCTAGATTCACAGTATACGAAAAAAATACATCAAACCCGATCATTAATTTCGTTTTTTAATGTATTCAGCGATAATAAGAACCTAATTCAAAAAAGAAAATAATAATAATAAACAACAACTATGCAAATTATAAACGCTTAAAATATCACACGAAATTCATTTGACAAATTTCACACGCTGCAAAAATGTTTCAAAAGCGATTTTATACATGCTGCTCACATCGTAGGGGGAGATGGATATTTAGTGAGCCATGTCGAAATGTCGTCGTTAAAAAGTGAAAAACTTTTTTGGGAAAATGATTTTCTAATGTCGAAAGTGTTGGCAGCGCTGCCCAAAAAAAAACAAAAAAAAACAAAAACCAGCAAAGATAGGCGATGAGCTGGTTGTGGGCTATATACTCGTATATATATATTTATTCTATATCATGATATTTTTCAAAGATTTTCGCTTGCTAATTTTATTAATTAATGTCATCGAAATGCTCATCAAGTGCCGAATGTCTGCTTAAGCATTTGAAAAAAAAAAACAACAAACTTTAGATATGCGGCGAGTGGCAATAATTTATATATAATTTTGATTAGAATATTCTTTTGATATAATGAGGTTGACTTACCTGACTTAGGGTACTAATAGAAATCCATTAAATGCTAGCGGCTTAAACGCGTAACGTTCTACAAATCCTAGTCATAAGTAAATGTTTTTGATTGTTGTTTTAACAAACATATTTTTAAGAAATTGTTGATGGAATTAAAATTCAACATGTAAGTATATCCTTGAACTATTCAAATCATAATTTAGAAAGCGGCTTCGTAGAAGGCATAGAGCAAGAACAGCAAAAATGCCAGGATTAAGAAGGTGGTAAACAAACTTTTGGCTTCATTCATTTTGTATGAGTTGTTGTTGTTGTTGTTGTCGCGTGCTGTGATTATATAGAAAAATACTTGTAAATATCAGAAAAGTAAAATATGCAAGTGCCACACTTCAGTTTGCCATAGAGCTGAGTGTTTCACATGTACTAGCACTATGGTAATCAATCTTAAGTATGACCAATTTTAATTGATCTGTCAATAACTGAGTTATACACTAAATGCAACTATCTACTTGGGTACACACACTAGGGAGCTGAGTTTTGAGGAATCGCCAAACCGTTCGAAGCAAATGGCACCGAATAACTGAGAAACGCACCAAAAAATTCTTCTCCACAAACTGGCCTACAATTTTTATCACGAATCAAAATCAGACAGCAGCCAGCTCATTGGAATTATGGTTCTATATGTGTGTATATATATGCCATACCCATATTTTTATTTGTACACATATGTATACATGTATATGTATGTGTACATCTAGAGAAATATAGTTTTCTGCTGGTATGGGTGTCCAGTTGTTGCGCATTTTTTTTTTTTTTTTTGGCGTAGCCCAGATCGTGTCTATATATACTTATATTGCCAGCAGACATATACATACATATGTATGTAGGTATACGCCATATTTTTTAAGAATGTTTAGATTCCATGAATATGTGTGGGCGACGCAAGCGCGTCATAGGTAAAAACTTTTGATAGCTTTCCTTAGCAACTTCTCCATAACAATTTCTCTCTCTTGTTTTCGTACCTGTTACGAATTGGTTTTTTTGTTTCTTTTTAACTTGGCCATTATTCATTCTTGCCAGTGGCAAATTGCCATATGCCATGTGCAGATATTGAAATATATTTTCAAAAATTCATTTATTTGTTTATTTGTTTGTTTTAATAGAGGTTCGTTGGTTTACTAAAGACAGATAAAAGAGAAGGATGGGGACGGTGTCGTTCTCCAGCCAGCTGTATTCAAAATCGTTATTCTTATTTATTTTCGTTTGCCGCTAAATACATTTCAAATTGCCTGTGCCATATGTTTGTGTGCTGAATTTTGAATATATTCGAATCATTTTACTCGAGTCACGTAGCACTGTCTCTGCACCTCACACGTGGATGCACGCAATTAGATTGTAACGACAAGCATGATAAACACATGATTAAAAACTATTTTCAATTAGGCGATTTTAGAAACTTGACTCCAATTTCTTTTTATTATACAGTTGTAATAATCAAAGTTGGATATCTTCTAATTCCCAAGATCATAGGTTAGTATTAGCATAAAAGCTAGAGCTCTTCCAGATCTTAAGTTCCTTGTATTATATTGCTTAATAATATATATCTGATTTATACTCGAGACTTTGAAAATTTCTTTTCTTTCCATTAGCAACAATTTTTTGACATTAACTTTTACATTTAAATTTAGTAGCTTGAGTCTATTAATTAAATGTAAAGCTTACCTTAACTCTATGCCTCTACCCATTTGATGTTGATTTACAATACTGCATAGATGATCCACAGGAAGAACAGCAATATGGCCAAAATGCCGAAGGTGGTAAACAAATTCGTTGCCTCACTCATTTTCGATTAAGTTCTAAAAATATAAATACAAAGCAATTAATAAATTATTAAGGTATTATATGTATTTGATTCCAATTTTTGTATCTACTCAAACAAAGGTCAGATAATAAAAATATTTCTAATAAAATTTTCAGCTGGCGCGTGAGATTTTTTTTTGTATATTAACACTAAAAATGAGCCCATAAATTTCAAAAGCACATATCATTTTGTTTTCAAATTATACAACATGTTTTTTTTAAAAACCACACACACCAGAAAATTATTAAAAGTTATATGAAAATATCATTCGTATCAAAAGTCTTAAACTGAGCGACAGACTCCATATAGACGAGTATACTATACGCATATAGTTGTTTGATGTTTTGCATTGGTTGTTGTTTTTTCCTTTATTTTTTATTTGTTTTTTGTTTTTTGTTTTTGCTGATGATAGAGCAATCTTAATGTGTGGCTATATGTAGTCATTGAAAAGTACATATAGAAAGAATTAGTGGCAAAATAATTCCAGCTTTATGGATTGGACCTGTTCCAAATATTTTTCGATATATTTATGAACACGGCACACTTAAGTTCGATTGAGATTCTGCAAAAATATCACTTCACATTGGTTAAATTCTCAAATAAATTCGATTTTTACCTGGTTATAGTTTCTTTTTTCACTTTTGAATTTTTTTTGCGGACTGTGCTATTAACTGCAGCGAGGCTTTGGCCCAACTAAAATCGATTCACGCACTTGGCTGTTGGGTTGGGCAAAATATAGCAAAAATAAATTCTTTGAAACGCCAAACATTAGTGCGAAAGTATCTATTAGAAAGACCAAATATATACACACACACACACACATACAAAGAGACAGATTGTAGATATTTTCCGTAGACAGCGACACTCAAGAGAAAACGTTGTGCTGTCAACTGACAAGTTGGAAAATATATGCATATATGTATTGGGGACTATAATTCTGGTCTCCAAAGAACACATGGGTTGAAATGAGATGCGAATAGTAAAAATTGCTTGGAACATGCTTAAAAGTTTAGAAAATCACATCGAAAATAAATAAAATAAATTTATGCCAGCAGTTTGACAGTTTGCGAGCAGCCGCAGCCGCTAGTAAAATAAAAGCACAATAACAATGCCTTCCATTAAAAATAATTTCTATACTATATTATGTAAACATTTTCATACAAAAAAAAAAAACATTGCGCTGTTGGCAATTTTTATATTCAGGTGCAAATGTTCTTACTATATCATATCGAAAGTTATCTGAAAAATGAATGGATTCAATTTGTTTGCAGAGCAACTTAACATATCTTTAGTTTGTAGATGATGACGCTGTCAACTGCCATTGAGCTAAAGCATAAATTTCAAACTTTAGCTGAAAAGATTTTCCAAATCGAAACCAAAAGTGACAAATACGTAAAACAGAACATAGTATATAATCTATAGTAGCTGGTATAGGACAGTGCCCACAGTTTCATAAACAACTTGTCGCATTTTTAGGTTCAAGATTCTAGTCCCAAAAGCACTACCTGACAGTTGTCATTAACTCACTGCGCAAAAAGTGGAACTGAACTCTAGAAACAACAAACATATATTTCAACCTAGAAAAACCGTGCATAATGACTAAAATCATTATAGAAAAAATGTTTGAAAATATTTCGGTTCATTGCTTAAAATGTTGTGCTGAAAATTATTGATAATTTCTACCTTGACATGCCGACAATTGTGTGGAGAGCAGATGCAATAAATTTCAAAACCTCAGCGGCTAGAAAGATAGGCAGAAAATCCAAAATTTCAACATCAGTGCTTATTATTGTTTAAGTGAAGAACATACAGAAAACAATGTGTTTAAAATTAGCTTAACGGTGGTGCAAGCTGAAAAAGAACTCACATAAATATTTGAAATAGATAGAGAGAATAAATAAAGCAACCAAATAATAGAAAAGCGGATATATTAATACATTAACATTCTATATAATAATTATAGCTACTATCTTACATTATACACTACTACATCAAATTATTGAATAACATTAAAAATTTTGAAACTTTTAAAATACTCATTAAAGAGTATTTAAACTTCACCACTCTAATATAGCAAATTTTTTACTCGCATCTGTTCAACATGCACTTTGCTGGTGGATTCATAAAAGCATCCGGATCACACTTAAAGGCAGCCTGGAACTCGGGCAGGTTCATATAGCCGCGATTGATCTGTGCCGCAAGAATTTCGTCCTGGCGATTGCACAACTGTTGGGCCACCGCATAGAAGAGCACACGGTGCTCATCCAATCCAAAGTATTGGAGCACAAACTGCTCGGCAAAGACGAAACGCTCTCCGTGCAGCCAGAATTTATAATCCCGCAGAGAGGCCTGGAACGAGCGATAGAAGTGAAACACATTGGCCACCTCATGGCTGCTCAGCGGCCGATAGATGGGCGCCACTTCCGCATCATAAAGCTGCTGAGTTTGCCGCTCCAAGCAATCCAAGGCTGTATAATAGCCATCGGTGTCCTGCAGCAGACGTGACTGATGCCACAGCTGCAGTCCCTCTGTTGCATAATAATGATACATCGGTCGATGCAGCGACAGCAGCACAAAGTGCAAAAATTTTCGCAGAAAATATGCGGACTGATTCACATCGTCCTCGTCCACATAGGGCGACTCGAAGCTGTGACGCAGTTGCACACGTCGCAGCTGCAACAGGTTGCCATAGAAGCTGCCCGGCCTGAACTGCACCTGGTTATACTGCATGGTTAGCTCAGTAATATTCAGATAGTGTTGGGCGTGGGCCTGCAGCAGTCGTGCAACCTGCAACTCCGGATGCTCCACAGAGCCGGGCAATAGCAGTCCATACCAGTCTCGGCGGTTCAGCGTGGTGCGTCGTCGCTGCTGGAAGCGTGTGGTGTGCAACTGATACATAGCCATGGCGACATCGCGTCTCAATTGAGGTGCAAGCACATGCCACTGCCAGTACTCGGCGTGGAGCAGACGCTCAAATTCGGTCGCCAGCTGATAGCAATCTTCGTATTCTAGGTGCTGCCGGGCTTGCCACATCACATAATTGTACACAATGCGTGGCTCCGTTTGGCGCAACACTTGCCACGCCTGTGTTATACGCTCCACATTCAGTGGCAGTTTACGTGCCCCAGCCAGCTGCCGCTCCGTAAAGTTGAGCAGCCCAAAGAAGTTCTGCAGATAGTCCATTGTGTTATCATCCAGTTGCAACTGTTCCTGCCCGGGCGATGGTGTGCTCTGGTTGCGTCTGGTCAAACTGTTGGTCAATGGCAGCTCTCCGCGCATTCCACGGCATAGGACGCGCATCTCGTGCGCCACAATGTGAGCCACCTGCGGATGACGATCCGTTAGCACTTCGGACATGCTCAACTTAAAGCCGCGCAAACTGGGACAGGGCAGCTCCTGCATAGGCGCCAGGTAGATGGTCTGCTCGGCAAAGTAAATGTGCAACAAGGTGGGCAGTCCGTGTGCCGCCAACTGTGCCGCCAATTGAATCCAATTGAGTTGCTCATCCAACTGCCTGCGTTGCCATTGATGACGCAGAAAGGGCCACGACGAGAGCACTTCCTCATGGACAGTCAAAAATGGCAACTGTTCCAACATGCGCTCCCAGTGCGTCGCTGATATCTGGTGGAGACTGCCCACATGCTGGGACCTGCTCCTCATTTTACACTCACTATACAGCTGTGCCAATAATTTACCGGGCAACGTTTCAAAGTTGCCGTGTTGTGTCTGAAAGAATTGCATGCGATCCTGCATGTTGTACAAAAATGGAGGCAGTGCCTCATCTTGATCCTCGGCCTTTGCCAACTGGCTAAAATTGCCACAGGCATGTGCATAGAAATCAGCACAGGGCTCCGCGCTGGCATTTCTCAATTCCATCATTTGCCTCAGATTACGCTTATACAGTCGAGTAAAGAACTGACCAGTCTCGGAGTCCGGATCGGACTCTTCTCTCGCTGTTGTTGTTGTGTCTGCGTGTGCCAGGTGAATGGCAATAAGCAGCATTAGCAGCTGCCATTGCCGGCGCAATTTGCTCATCTGTTCGTTTGTTTTGCTACCCGAGAACTGAGCTTAGTCGTTTCTAGCTTCAAACTGGAGGCAGCTCGCCGCTGATAAGCCAGAGTCTATGTGGAGCTCTAAGTTCTGGATGAGATTGTGACTCTCACAGCTCACTGCTCTCGGTTGTGCCACCTTGACCTTAAAAATGTAGCTTTCAGGCAAACTCATCGCAAATATTTCTCACAGATTAATCATTACTACGCATCCGCACTGTGAGCCCTGATTTTATTTTGAATCTATCTTATAATCAGGAAGTGGTTATAGCATTAGTTACAGCATATGTATATTTCTGATACTAAATTCATTTTATTTGAAGATTGATGTTAAATTTATTATACGGTATTCATTGGATATATGGATATATCATTAATTGGTATACCAGCTTATACAAAAATATTCTGAATTAGTATAAGTTATATTAATTATTTAACGTAATTAATATTATGATGTAGACTTTAATCAAACATATTCAGTCAAGGCATTAACAACTTCTTCAGGGGAAAATATAAACAGAAAAATCATGGTCCAACGGCATTTGAAAAGTTGTATATTAAAAAATGAAATATCAGCAAGATAATCAGTTAAATATTTAGATTGAATGGTAACATACATGCTGAATATTTACATATATTTTTATCTTAAATCATAAGTATGATTTAATTATAGAAATTTGCTTACGTGCTTAAATACCATTTCTCAAAGGTAAGGCAATAATGTTGCCAAAATTTGTTCCAGCTATGCGAATAAAACTTACATCTAAATTTTATAGTTGATGAATTTGCCGCGCGTGTCAATTTATAAATCTCTATATGACTTTGACAACTTAGTTGAACGGCGCTATAAATAAATTAATGGATTCTGTGGAATGGTTAGCCACAGATTCAGCCCCTTTTCCCCCCTATCCCTTCACGTGTAGACTGACGGAACGAGAGTGAGAGCGACAAATGAGGTCGCACAGATGTCTCTCATTTTTGTGGTTAATGTTTGTCTATAAGTTCACATTTTCTTTGACATTCCATGTCTTTAAGATTGTTACTGCCCCTGAAAATATGGACAGCAACTACTTACATATATATAAATTAATATATATATACATACATATATATATACATATAAAAGAGCTAAATATAAATTACGATTATGGCTTTTGTTAGCCACTAAATCGAAAAATTATAGAAATTTGCAAAGCAAAATAATCTGCACATTTATTGAGAGCACTCGATAAACACGAATTGCAAAAGCCCCCAAAAATTGTTCCAATTAGCATTTCGCGTGCTGTTTAATTATGACGGTGTAAACAAAAACAAACCCAAATTTAAATATGCGGTCTGGTGTTGGCATGGGTCGGGAAAGAATACATTTAAAGCTATCTGGTATGTGGATATTTATGGCCCGTAAGGCCTATGCCAATAGAGATAAAGATCCATATATGAAGATCCGAATAAAAGCTGACGGCAAGCCAACATTAAACGATCGTTCGCCCTCGATCGACGTGCCCGTGAACACAAAGTTTTCATTCATAGCGCACTAAATTGAAACAACAAACACGTACGCAGCCCACAGGTGTGCATGTGTGTGTGAGTGTGTGTGAGTGTGTGATTGAGTATAAGTACTCACAGGGCAAACACTCCGAGCGGGTCTCTCAACCGTTAGCTAATCCTCTGATTCGCTTGAAATTCTCAGCGTTTTCACTTTTCTGTCTCAACTCTCACTTTATAATTACACACACACACACACGCACACATACACACATGCACTCGCTGCTCGGCTACTTATTACATTTTGGCCAAAATGGTTATCGACTCGAATGCCGGCATTCAGTTTCTCCGACATTTTTAAACAATGCAGTTCGAGCCGCTGTAATTCGCCCAACAATTCGCAATTTAATTGAAGAATTTAGTTCAACATGAGATACTCGCTTCTACTATTGCCATATCTATTCTTAGGTAAGTGTCCGTCCGGGCTAAGACTTAAACAGAAATTCTATATGAGTCCATCTTTAGTCAGCAGCTGTGGCGGCGCCTCGATCTTGGATTTCGTCACACAATCCGCCCCACAATCGGATAATCCGACAACAACTGCAGTTCCGGCGACAACACAGCCAGGTACGAATCGTGATATAACCATTGGACCCTGCAAATGGGCCATAGGACGACGCTGTCCAGATCCAGATGTCAAATATTACATTTACACGCGTCACAATGTCATGGATCGTCAAGCAATTCACATTGATGAGTCAGCGGAGAAGTCGAATCTCACCAACTCCTTTTTCAATCCCAGACATCCCACTAAGATACTCATACATGGTTACAACTCCGATATGTTCCTAAATCCGCTTCAAAGTATGCGAGATGGTGAGTAAACTTATTAACGATTCTAAAAGGTTTTGAATAACAAACTGCCTGACACAAAACAAGTTAAACAACTTGCAACATTGCACAATATTCTCTACCCAATTTAATTACAACTGAGTTTGTGTTCCTGAAAAGTATAATTTTTGTCTAACTGTGAACATAAATCTGTGATCAGAATTGGCAAGATCTTTGGCGAAGTTGACCAGTAACTCCATTGGAATGCATCCAATTAAATTTAACGACTCAAATTCAATCAAATTAAATGGAATATAAAATTATTTTAGCCCAAAAACTTTTTGATAAACCATTTTAATCATTCCACACACTTTTTTACAGAATACCTGGCCAAATCGGACTATAATGTGTTGTATGTGGACTGGAGCGTGTTGTCGCCGGGTCCTTGCTACGTTAGCGCTGTGCACAACACGCGGCAAGCGGGCGCCTGCACGGCGCAACTGGTGGAGCGTCTGGTGGAGACGGGCAACACGGATATACACATCATCGGTTTCTCGCTGGGCGCTCAGGTGCCCAACTATATAGCGCGCAATTTGAAATCGTATAAGCTGCCCCGCATCACTGGACTGGATCCGGCGATGCCATTATTTATTACTGCCGGGGTGAATGATAAACTGGATCCCAGTGATGCGGACTTCGTCGATATTATTCACACCAATGCGCTGGTGCAGGGCAAACTGGAGCGATGCGGTCATGCGGATTTCTATATGAACGGCGGCATTTCACAGCCTGGCTGCAGTGGACAAATGTGGATGAGTAAGTGCAAAGTTCTGTCAAGCTGAAGAATATCATAATCAGTTCACGCACGCAAACTCCCTTTGGCAGATTCATTTGCGTGTAGTCATCAGCGGGCGACGGCTTACTATCTGGAGTCCATACGCTCACCTAAAGGTTTCTGGGGCTGGGCATGCAGTGGCTACATTGCCTACCTGCTGGGCATGTGTCCGCCGACAAACTATCTGCTCGAGGCTGGCGAAAACATACGTCCCGGTACGCGTGGCATGTTCATGATCGACACAAATGACACCTCACCTTATGCGCTGGGCAAGTGGACGGATTTGCCAACGCTGGGCGTGAAGCATCTACGCATTCCACAACGGCCACTGATGAAGCCCACACAAAGCGTTGATCCGCTGCTGCAGCACATCGATCAGTTTGGAAAGCTGGCGACCAACTTTAACAATTTGCCACCAGCACCGTTTGCTGGAATCCAGGATCCTTATGAGCAATGGACAAGTTACAGTCCGCCACAGTATGCGGACAGCGAGAGCGATGACTCTGTGGAGGAGCAAACTCCGGATTCGGAGGACTTTGTCGACATGGATGATCGTCAATTAAATAAGCCACTGAACTGGTGGGACTATCGACGCAATCTCACACTTGGCTATATAGACAATTACATATTCAGCACGCCAAAGGTGAATTAGTCGTATTAATCCTGGCAGTCCTTGCTAAACTCCCTTCCTTGCCCCCAAGTCACATTTAACATTATTATATGTAAGTATTGAAGGCCCGCTTTCAAGTACGCTTCTTGAATATCTGGCGAATTTTAAATAAAAGTTCTGCAATTTGAGGATCTACAATCGAAAAATCTGGTTTTTGAGAACATTTTTTTTTATTTCTTCTGTTTCAAGCACTTTTAAATCTATGCAAAGAGCCTATACAATTTTTATTTTATATAAATCATAAAATTTATTATAATATTAGATATATTAGAGTCATTGAAAAAAATAGTACTTCCTGAAATGAGAACTATTTACGAATTTCAACCATCTCGCTCTAATTAGCGAGCTAACACCGTATTTGGTTTAACATGATATTATGATTCAGGCTTAAAATGACTACCCCAAAAAATAACTAGATAATATGAGTAAATATGCATATAACTTATTAATTGATTCATTGTATTTTCAAACAAATCGCAATACAATAGCAGTTCGTATATATTTTGTAAATTGTAATAAATAGCCATATAATTAAAAATTGGCTTACGAATGTAGGTGGGCGTGCGCGCAGAGTGCGTCCGCATGGGAGTGAGGATGGGTGGTTGGGGCAATTAAGCCACTAGAACACGAAAATTGTGCCAATGGCATACACATAAGCGCTAGGACTCGCCCCACGGCAACGCCCTGCTTTTGATTGACTGACATTACACTGACAACATGAGACTGACATAATAGTTGGTGACATATTTTCATATTTTCATACTTTCTTTTACTGGTTGGCTGACGGTTGCCTGAACCGTCATTTCGTTTGGTGTTATTTTGAGCTTGTGGATAAAATGCTAAGTCGTATCTTTATCGCTGCTGATGCTGCTGCTGCTGTTGCTGTCACAACACAAATGTGCTCTACACTTTCTTCTTGACCACGCGTTTGGCACGCGTCGCTGGCGCCGCTCGGCCAGGAGTCGCTGGCGTTGGCGCTGATGACGTTGCAGGAGTTGCAGCAGCTGCAACCGGTTCAGGTGTTCGTACTGGTGATGACAGCTCGCCTGCTTGCGTTTCAATCTCCTCTACATTTTCCATCTTCACCGGCTCGGGCTCGGACTCTGGCACTGTCTCTCTCGCTGGCACATCGTCGGCGGGTTCAATCTTAACATCGACTTCCGTACCGGTCTGCTCCGTTTCGCTGGTGCCGGACATGGGAGATGGTGGTGCTCGCACTGCATCTGGATCATCGTCCTCCTGCTCGTGCGTTGTATCATTTGAGACACTGCCGTCCTCCTCGGGCTCAGCCTCCTGTATTGCGAGGTGATAAAGTTTCATTTCCTCTTCGGAAATGGGAACAGGTGCATTCGAGAGCGGATCGCGTCCGTTGAGCGACTTGGGGAATGCAATCACATCGCGTATGGAGCGCGCCCGGCACAATATGGCAATAAGACGATCCAGGCCCAGAGCAATGCCACCATGTGGGGGACAGCCAGACTCGAGGGCGGCCAGCAAATGTGACAGATGATCGTGGGGTATCTTGAGCACTTGCTCCAATATGAACTGCTGCATATCGCGATCGTGTATGCGCATCGAGCCTCCGCCCACCTCCTGGCCATTGAGCACCAAATCGTATGCCTCGGAGCGTATGGTCTCGAGATTATCGCAACTGGTGGCAAACTTGTCCAAATCCTCGACAAGCGGCGCCGTGAAGGGATGATGCACACTCTCCAGCTTATTGGTGGTGGGGTTGCGTTCAAAGAGCGGGAAATCGACAACCCAGAGGAAGCGATAGTCGTTGGGTTTCTTTGTCTTAACATTTTCCACGAGAAACTCGTGATAGTCCAGGCGGATGCGACCCAATAGATTCCGCTGTATAGGCGAACAAAATGATGAAATTGATAATCAAGAAAATAGAAAAGTTAATATTAAGATACTAACCGCCTCCACCTTGGGACCAATGCAGAGGAAAAGCAGATCATTCTCCTCTAGATCGAATTTCTCAATTATCTCAGTGGCCACCTCAGTGCCGAGCAGTTTAGTGAGCCGCTCCTGCACATCCTTGGCGAAATTGAATTTACGCACAAATAGGGTGCCAGGGAAGGCTTTGGCCAAGCCCTCATAGTGCTTGCGAGCGGCACCATTCCAGAAGGCATCGCTGGCACGCACCACAATCGCATAGGCACTAAAGTTCTCATATTTGTCCTTGAAATTCTCGCTCTTCTCGATGATCTCCGAGACATTGTTAAGCAGAAAGCCAAAACGTGTATCCGGTTTATCGTTGCCATATTTCTCCATGGCCTCCTCGTATGTGATGCGCCGGAATGGTGTCTGCAGCTTGGGCAAATGCTTGGGCCACGAATAACGTAGCGTCTCCTCAATCAATTGCATAATATCATCACGACTGGTGAACGACAATTCAATATCCAGCTGCGTGAACTCCGGCTGGCGATCCGGACGCGTGGCCTCGTCGCGATAACAGCGCGCCACCTGAAAATAGCGATCAATGCCGCCGGACATCAGCATCTGCTTGAACTGCTGGGGACTCTGCACAAGCGAATAAAAGTGGCCAGCCTTACGTGTGGGCACGACAAACTCCTGGGCACCACCGGGTGTGCGACGGAACAGCGTTGGCGTCTCCACCTCCACAAAGCCCAGATAATTGATTAAATATTCGCGCATGCGCATTATGACCGCCGAGCGTAAACGCAAATTGTGCTGCATGTCATTGAAGCGCAAGTCCAAGTAACGATGCGTGAGACGCAGGCGTTCGCCAGCGCGATTAAATTTGCGTATCTCAAAGGGGAGATTCTTTTTGGCCGCATTGAGTATGTCGACCTTGTCGGCCTCGATTTCGACATGACCCGTATTCATTTTGGGATTTACGGTGGCTGCTGGACGCGGTATGACGGTGCCCTCGACGCGCACAATCGATTCAATAGGTACACCCGATTCGGCATACTCTTCTAGGCCCTTTGTCTTCGGTAATATAAGCACTTGTGTCTGGCCGTACGCATCGCGCAATATGAAGAATTTGTTCATGCGCTGGAATTCCAGCCAGCCGCATATGACGACCTTCTCGTTGATTTCATTGGAAGTCAGCTCGCCGCAATTGTGTGTGCGATCTGCAAATTTATTGGTGTCCGCCACCTTAATGCGCAACTGTTCGGCACTCGACTGGGGTGCGCTGGGTGCAGCCGATTCGCTGCCATCCATGTTGCCTTCGCCATTGTTGGCGCTGATGGCATTGTTAGCAGAAGCAGCGGCGGCGGCAGCGGCCTCTTCGGCCTCGAGATCATCAATTGACATCTTTTGCAATTTCTCTTTAACCTTGATGGGACCCTCGTAGGGATCGTCGGGATTTAGGACCTTGACATTGGTCACACTGACTTCCACTTCACCAGTGTCATATTTCTACAGAGAAATAAAGAGCATATCTCAGTACTTTTTAGATAGTCAACTGTTTCATTCACTTACCAAATTTATGTTTGCTTTTGGCCTGCCCAGCACTTTTCCGACGATTTGCAACACCGTTTGCTCCGGTGTGGACAGGAATGTGTCCATCAACTGAAGTTAACAAAACAATATATTTCCATATTATAATCGATATTAAATGTTTTAAATGCTGTTGAGGTAAATAAATATTTACTCACAGATTGATCTTCGATCATCAGCTGTGTCTGACCATAGCCATCCTTCAGCTGTAAGAACTTGTTGTTCTTGGTCGATGGTATCCACCCCACCAGGGTCACTGTTTTGCCAACATCATCACGTCGCAAGTCATTGCAGGTGAGATCGCGATTCTCAAAGTATTTCAAAATATTCTCGTTCTCTGCAAGGTAAAGAACAATATGATCAGGATTTAGCGGTACACTTTATGTTGTTGCGCAACTTACTTGCAATCTTGTACTCGGTGCTGGTGATACCCAGGCTGCTCTGTTGCTGCACCATGGTACTGTAGGTGCGCTTATCGCCGGCACGTTTCGTTCCACTGGCTGGGAAATGTATGCTGAGTATGTCCTGCACCTCCACCTCAATTTCGCCGGTGGGCATTGTCTGGTTGCAAGAGTTGTGCGGTCTTCGCATCACTTGGCCGACGATTGTCAGTGTTGTGTTCTCGGGCATGTTGTTCATGCGTCTCGCCACGCGGGGATGCTTGTCCTCCAGTACGACCAGCTGGCAAGCGCCGCCATTGCGATCGCGCAACTCAGCAAAGCGATTTACGCGCTTTTTAATCAGTCTCCCCGAGAGCTCAACAAACATGCCGCAGTGATGATTACGCAACTCGCCACAGCTCTGACGCATCGGCTGTGGTAGCTGCGAGTTCATGCTAAAGTTGCTGGCCATGGCGCTCATCAATTGCATCAGATCATTGCCCGAGATATTGGGACCCACTGTGCAAAGAATACAATATTGAATTACAGTATTTAATTAAAAAGATATAGGAAACGTAAAATATACTTCTATTCTTCTAGAACTGAATACTCGGAGCATTATTTCTTTGGAATTCACCATTAAAGTCAATTTCTATAATTGGAAATCAGCTAAACATACTAATAAATAATTTTGAGCTTATCAGATTCCAAAAATTTTAAATAGAATTTTTTTGGCGCTGTATCTCGATAATAAAACTCGATAACGTTATCGATAGTGTTAAAGAACTTGACTATCGTTGATTGCTGTTGCAATTGATGTATTACAAATGAAATAAATTACTTACTGTTGAAGGGATTTGGTCCTGGACCGTAATTGTCGTTGTAGCCTCCTCCACAGCCGCCACCGCCTCCACGGTAGTTATCAAAGTCATTGTAGCCACCACCGTAACCACCGCCGCCACCCCCACCATAACGCCCACCACCTCCTCCCCCACCGCCACAACCTCCACCACCGCGATACCGACCGCTCATGATCTGTTGGGAAAATTAATAAGGATTTGGTGCTATTAGCTAACCAAGAGCCTCAAAACGTGACAAAACTTACGTGACTACCAGTTACTACAACTGGTGATGAGGTTTTTTCTGCCGGGTCGCTGCTAAAATTGGCTGATTCCTGCGTTGATTTTGCAGTGGCGAGGAACGCAGATTGTTTGCCGAGTCGAAGCAGTAGTTGATGCTGCTGCTGCTGGCAACGCCAAAGGTTTCTGCAAATTATTAACAACATTTTGTTTTATAAAGCGCTTTCGCTCTTCACTCACACGGTGTGCGTCTCTTGCAAGCCGATAAATAATTTTCTTTTCAAAGCACGAGCACCAACCACATACACATTGAAACGCTGTTTTTATGTGTGCGTGTACATATACGTGTACATACAAACATTTGAATGCGTGTGCATGTGTGAGTGCCGGGCGTCGCGAAAACGCCGACGAGCTATTGACCAATTTGCTATTGTGGTACTATTGCGCTCACCTTAGCAATATGATGGATTTATGTAGCTCAATTTTGTGCGAATTAAAATGCACCCAACACGATTAACTAGCGCACCAAATATTGCACATTTAATTTCAAATCGCTCGCTTTACGTATTGAGAAAAACTTAAATATGTTTTGGCTTGGTACCGGTGGAGGAGAGAAAAATTGTTACCACTAAGTCGAGCAGGCACTTATCGATAGTGTTATAAAAACATCGATAGAACGGCACGCAAGTGACGACAAATTGTCACAAGGCAAATGCTATTATCGGAGCGTTCCTCTTGAAACTAGCTATAAATTTAAATAAAAATAAAAATTAAATAAAAAATCCATTTTCTTTATTTACATGACGGCTTAAAATCATTAACAAATGCATGGAATAACAATAGAATTATGTTATCCACTGCAATGCATTCGCAAAACTACAAAATTGATTTGTATGTGGCATTCAAGTTTTATCAACTGGCATTTTTGGCTTATTTATTCTAAAAGTACAGACCAGATTATGGTGTTACCAAATGTCTAACTATTCTGAAATTCGGTACCATTTAACGCAGTCTGGAAATGTGTAATAACGTAGTCATGATAATAACACATTATGCACAATGGTTGACCCAAAATAATGGAAGCCCAAACAATAATATTTCCCATGCGTGGCCCTAATCGACGTTCTATATACCGAGATATGATCGACAGCGGTATCTGACCCATCATGCCAAGGAAGGCCCAAATTTTGTAGGTTTGCAACGGTACTGAACCTAACAGATAAACAAATATAAAACTCAGAATGCAGAAAAATAAGAAGTATGCGAATCTTACCAAATACTCATGGAAAAAGGCGCTGAACAGAAACACCATTGTGGATGCCTGACGTGAGGAATAACCCATCTGTACAACGGGAATATACAGATGACGAACACACCATCTGTGTACGGGCATATTCCAAGTGCGCCAGAAAGTGTCAATATTATTGGCATTCCACCAGTCACAGTAGAAATTGCGATCCGCAAAATACATCACCTCGCCAATAGCATTCAGAAATGAGTGGAACATCAGGTAGAAAAAGCACAGCCAGCACAAATGATTGGGTAACTAAACAAAAAGATATTTATATCAAACTGTGTGGAAGCCATACAGATTTCATAAATGATTACTTACAGCGAGTTTCAGCAAACGTTCCGTAGCCACTCCCATGTTCATATTGGAGAAGGGTATCAAGGAATTGCGCACAGAGGGTGTAATCCATTGTTGGACTATGGCCAGTACAACATTAACACCGACAAACGTTTCCAGCAAACGTTTCAGCAAAAAATGCTTACGAATCCGCGAAGTGCGCGGAAAATTGAGTTCATAGCAAAGAGTGGGTGCCAATAAGAAGTACATGAGATCTTTGTAGCTCAAGTTATCGGGATATTGTACCAGCTTCGCCACATCCTCATCGTCCTCGACACCACTCTTGTGATTTCTTTCTAATGTTCAAATTATAAACGAATTATTAAATATGATATCCACTAGTCAAATGAGAAAACAACTTACCAAGCTCGGCTACACTGATACTTGGTCGTCGTTCACGGGGCTGTCGCTGATAATAGGTCTTTCGACACCACATATTTGTCTGGACGTAGCTCCATAGTTTCAAGAACAGTATGGCATAATAGAAACACACAGTTGTGGCACCCACTAAAGGCGATGATACGGTTAATGAAGAACAAATCTTAACAAATTCTTAAGCGCCAACTTACTTATGCTAAACGTGGAACCCTTGAGATGAATAATCACAACAGGGAAACAAACCGATACAATTATGTTTATTGTCTGAATAAACATGCCAAGGCCCTCGGAAATTATTTCCTGCAACAGAGAAAGTAACGTTTCAAAAAAATTAAATACGATTAAATCATCGAATAAAAAGAGCTAGTTTTATCGTTTGCAAAGTTCATGATGTATCGATGAGCCCCTGTTATCGTTCATTGAAAGTGAGTCCATCACCGACACATCGTCACATTCGTCATTCCACCGTTTTGCACGACGCTTGTTCGTATTTCTTTGTGATTGCTATTTCGTTATATGTTGTAGAATAGGGTTAATAGAGTTAAGCAAGTTCAAATCAAAAACGCAAAGCAACGGAGATATAAATACATAAATAAAAATTGAATAGACATAGCAACAAAATGGAAGTCACTGATGCAAATTTGCAATTGCTAGCCGGTTATTTGCAACAGACGCTCAGCGCAGATCCAAATGTTCGCAGACCCGGTGAGTGTACGAGAGCATGCTTGTATGTGCTTAAAAAAAAGAGAGGCAGACAGAGCGACTGAGGGAACGCGCGCGCGGGAAAACGGCGGCAAACAATGGGAATAAATGCATTTCTCGCTCTCTTTTTAAATTTAACATTTTTTTTTTTTCAAAGCGGAAAAGTTGCTGGAGTCGACGGAATTGCAGCAGAATTATCCGGTGCTGTTGCTCAATCTGATCGACAAGGCGACAATGGACATGACCATTCGGGTAGCGGGCGCAATCGCATTCAAGAATTATGTGAAACGCAACTGGGCCGCACACGAGGATGGCGATGAACCGGATCGTATACATGAGAGCGATCGCAATACGATCAAGACGCTGATCGTGACGCTGATGCTGCACTCGCCGACTGCGCTGCAGAAGCAACTGAGCGACGCTGTCAGCATAATTGGTAAACATGATTTCCCCAAGAAATGGCCGCAACTCATCGATGAAATGGTTGAGAAATTTGGATCCGGCGACTTCAATATTATAAATGGTATATTGCAAACGGCACATTCGCTTTTCAAGCGCTATCGCTTCGAATTCAAATCGCAAGCATTGTGGGAGGAGATTAAGTTTGTGCTTGATCGTATGGCCAAGCCATTGACAGAGCTGCTGCAGGCGACAATGCAGCTGAGCACATTGCACGAGGGCAATGCAGAGGCCTTGAAGGTCATTTATAGCTCGTTGGTGCTGGTCAGCAAGGTGTTCTTCTCACTCAACTCGCAGGATCTGCCCGAGTTCTTTGAGGACAACATGAGCATATGGATGGGCGCATTCCTACAGCAGCTGGCCGTTGACGTTGCCATTCTGCGCACCGATGACGATGAGGATGCCAGCGTTTTGGAGCATCTGCGTTCGCAGGTCTGCGAGAACATTTGCCTCTATGCACGCAAATACGATGAGGAGTTCAAGCCGTACATGGAGCAGTTCGTCACTGCCGTCTGGGAGTTGCTGGTGAAGACCAGTTTACATACAAAATATGATTCGGTAAGAGAGGCTTCCAGCTGAGTAATTCCATTATTTCTAATACTTCTGCATTCTTAAGCTCGTCTCGAACGCTCTGCAATTTCTTTCGGTTGTCGCTGAGCGGAAGCATTATCACGGCATCTTTGAGAATCCAGAAATACTGGCGCGCATCTGCGAAAAGGTTGTCATACCCAATCTGGACATTAGACCGTCGGACGAGGAGCTGTTCGAGGACAGTCCGGATGAATATATACGCCGTGATATTGAGGGCTCTGACATTGATACACGTCGACGGGCCGCATGCGATCTGGTCAAGACTCTGTCTGTCAACTTTGAGCAAAAGATCTTTGGTATTTTTGGTCAATATCTGGAAATCTTGCTGGGCAAGTACAAACAAGATCCGGTGGCCAACTGGCGTGCCAAGGACACGGCCATTTACTTGGTCACCTCCTGGGCATCCCGTGGCGGTACACAAAAACACGGCGTTACACAGAGCTCGGAGCTGGTGCCGTTGCCGCAGTTCTGCGCTGAGCACATCATGCCTGAACTGGAGCGACCCAATGGTAACTGATCAGCAGATCAAATTTAAACTAAAATTGCAAATGGAATTTTAAAATTTATATTTTGCTCTGCAGTTAATGAGCTTCCCGTGCTAAAGGCAGCTGCAATCAAGTATGTGATGGTGTTCCGCAGTCTATTGGGGCCACAGACGTTGGCGGGCTGTTTGCCCCATCTCATACGTCATTTGCCCGCGCAGAGCATTGTAGTGCACAGCTATGCGGCTTGCGCGCTGGAGAAGATAATGACCATGCGGGATGCAAGCAATGGACTGTTGTTCGGGCCACAGGTTCTTGGGCCACACTCAAATCAATTGGTAAGCGGACTATTTGCCACATTAGCGCAGAGTGGTTCGGCGGAGAACGAGTATGTAATGAAAGGTGAGTTCAAGGTCACAAACTAGAATCTTACTTCAACTCATTTGTCTTTCCTCCCTCTCCAGCAATTATGAGAAGCTTCCATGTGCTGCAGGCGGGCGCGATGCCATATATGGCTGTAGCATTGCCACGCCTCACCGAAATTCTCACGTTTGTCGCCAAGAATCCCTCGCGACCACTCTTTAATCATTATCTCTTCGAGACACTGTCGCTGTCCATCAAGTAAGTCTTTAAAAACATTTAAAAGATGTCCGAAAGCATTGAACTTTTTAATTGAATATTCTAGAATCGTCTGCCAAGCAGATGCCACAGCTGTCAGTTCATTTGAGGAGGCATTGTTCCCAGTTTTCCAGGGCATCCTGCAACAGGACATAACTGAGTTTATGCCATATGTATTTCAAATGCTATCGGTGCTGCTGGAGGTGCGTGAGTCCAGTGGACCAATACCGGAACCCTACTGGGCACTCTTTCCCTGCCTGCTGGCTCCACCCCTTTGGGATCGCAGGGGCAATGTGACCCCATTAATACGCCTGCTCTCGATTTTCATCAAACAAGGCTCCGCGCAAATACAAGCGCTCGGCAAATTGGTAAGCAATCGATGGAAATACTTAAAGAAAATATCTCATTTAATAATCCCCCATCGTTTTAGAATGGCATTCTCGGCATCTTCCAGAAGATGATCGCCTCTAAGGCAAACGATCATGAGGGCTTTTATCTGTTGCAGAATTTGCTCTTCTATTATAACGCCGATGAGCTACAATCGAGTATGCGACAAATCTTTGGCTTGCTCTTCCAGCGACTGTCGCTTTCGAAGACCGCCAAGTATCTGAATGGAATTATTGTGTTCTTCAGTTTCTATGTGGTCAAAATTGGTGCCAGTGCACTGGTGCAGCTCATCGAAGAGATTCAGGCGGGCATGTTTGGCATGCTTCTGGAGCGTGTCTTCATTACGGACATGAACAAGGTCACCATGGCATTGAATCGTAAAATGGTAGCAGTGGGCGTTAGCAAAATGCTTACAGAATGCCCCGAACTGTTGTCGGGTCAATATGCAGCGTATTGGCCACGTTTATTGCACGCTCTTATCGATCTGTTCGAGCGCCTGCCAGAGAAGTTGCCCCACTTTGATATAGATGCGACCGCTGCTGAGGGCGATATTGTGGTAGACGCCGAGCCTGGTTACCAGGCGGCCTTCTCCCAGCTGACTTTCGCTCAGCCCAAGCAGGTGGATCATCTGGCCGAAGTAGCTGATGCTCGCCAATATTTGGCCAGCGCATTGTCCAACTTATCGCAGAGGCGACCAGGAGAATTAACCACTTTGCTTGCACCGCTCGAGGCCGAGTATAAACAAATGCTTCAGAAATATTGCGATCAGGCGGGAGTACGCATTGGCTAAATCATTGATTAATTTGTACACACCTCGCATACACACACCCTCCCATTTATATGTACGAAATTGTCATACGAAAATTATTTATAAATCAAATGATTGTAATTATGTAATCCAATATAAAGTTATGTTTGAAGCGTACCAAAGATTATTCCATTATCGGGCTAATTGTAATGAAACCATCACGGAACAGATACATTTTCTATCCGCTGTGCTCCGAATCAGCTGTCTAAAGCGGTTCCTTTTTTCGATTTTAAATTGAAATTCTTTGCAACAAGGCAAAAACAAAAACCCTCGGCAGAAAAATGTGCGTTACAAATGAGCACATTGTCCCAAATAAGCAGTCGAAATTGTCAGAGTGAGTAAAGCTTATATCGAATGTGAACTTGATATGTTTGAGGGCTACTTACCAGGGCGAGACCCTTCTCGACAGCCAAACAAATCGATATGTGTACGAAAGAGTCTGTAAAACAAACATTTAGTGTTAAATGAGAATAGCAAGATTTGAGCAAGTTAGGCTTAGTTAGACTTACAGAGTACTAGAAACAGGGAATTGTGTCCTTCGCCCTCGTTGCGACCGCTTAGAAAGAAATACCAGTCAATGGGATTGATGCGTATGCCATATCTGCAAAATGTCCCAGGTGTTAAATAGTGTACATATATATATTCTGTTGAACTCACTTGAGCAGATTCTCGAGGCCCAGACGCAGACCGCCCATGCAGAGCAGAAGAAAGGCCCAGTTAACCAGACCCGAAAAGTTGGTAAAGCCCGAGCTCCATGAGAACAGCGAGTCCCGTGGACGATGAATACTGCAAGTGTATTTAAGATTTAGTTATATTTTAAGGTAGATATAATCAATTTAATTGTTCACGTACGATCTATCGGGTTGGGCTTTGCGCTGTTTGGCCTCCTTGTTGGAGATCTCCTCTGCACGTGTGACGCTTTGGGTGCGTCTATAGCGCAGTTTCTTTTCACTGGTTCCATTGCCGTTCTCATCCTTGTCCAGCACCTTGCGGTACTGCTGCAAATCTATTGGATTGCCATGCTGATCGAAGAGATGCTGCGTGGACTTGCGGTTGCGCAGACTGCTCAGATTGTGCTCGGTTACGGAAGCGGATCGTCGCAGACGCTTCATAAGACCACCAGCTACTCCATTGGTTTGGGCCGGCTGTGCTGTTGTCTTTATTGTTGGTCCCTTCTCCTTGGGATCTTTGGTTGTTGTCATGGCTCCTAAGTGGTCAGTTCTTGCTGGGCTGTTTTTTATAAACGGTACAAACGGTCGCTTAGATTCGAAGTCGCCCGGTTAACTAGTAAATAAGGCATGGAATTTCTGAAATCTTATCAACCAAATTTTTTTGTTTTTGGTATTACCAAAAATTGCAATATACATTGATAAGAGAACACTTGCGATTCGCTTTGAATTTTCATTGAAATAATATTCGCACTCAAATTACTTTTGGTTATTATCAACATGTTCAACAAACTAAGCGAAGCAGCTGAAATTGAACTCACTTTTGCTTGCGTCGAGTTGAGAAAAACTTAATAGTAATAAAAATAAAACCTCATTGCGGTTAAAGTTCACCAGAGTATGTGGAAGCAGATTAAATAAACCAATATTTGCATGGATTAATATACAGACTTGTATATTTATTATACAATATATATGCACACAAATGTGCAAAGAGAGGCTGTTAACAACCTTCAAACCTGAACAGTGATATGAAATTACTCAAAATGCGCAACCGGTTAGATTAGATGGGATGCATTGTTAAACACGCCCTTGCAATTGCAAATACTATTTAACCAAATGACCCCAGAAATGTTCATTATTGATTGCAAAACAGTTCAGAAATTGTTTATCTAGCTTCAGGCACATTTTAAAGCCTTTTCAATGCAAACTTTTTAAAGTTGTAGTAATATTTTTTAAAGCTGGATTGCATGATTGCATACTTAATTTAGCTGAAACCAATTATCCAAACGGTCAGCAGCTCTTAAAAGTTATTTTAAAATTCATTTAAAGCTGTTTTCAAGTGATATACTTCTTTGGAATAAGTGTTGTGAGGCCCGTTGGAATTTTGTGGATTAATCTAATACATCTGAACCATTTAAACCAATTCGAAAACACAAACAAAATACTTGGCACATTTATTGTATGTACAATTTTTTGATTAACTCACTGATGGCTTCACACTCTTTAAAGTACATATATACTCTAGAAATACACACACAATCGACCGAAATTTGTATACCAAATAGGTATGTATATTGTATATAAGTTTAAAGACTAAAGGCGATCGTATTCACGTAACTTGTTGATTGTTAATGACGCCTTCTCACAACAAGATTTGATTAGAAAATTGTTTAAGCAATTAATAAAATTATATATGTATGCACCTAAATACGTATATTCTTTCCAATTCTGGTTTATTTATAAAGACACATTGAATCACAGTTCATTTGGGTTATCAAAAATGCTTGAGTAACAATATTATACGTCATTTGCATATCAAAATAAAATAAATAAAAGAACAGTAAAAGAACGGAATGAAAAGAAATTAAACTAAACAGTGAGAGTAATAAATAAAAGCGATGAATATCGAACCTTATCACGCACTGTAAATATTCTATTTACTGCTTCTCTAGACTGATAAAACATAAAGTGTTATTGTAATAAATACACACATGCTGTGCGTGTGTGTGTGTATGTGTGGGGGGTGGAGGTAATGCGTGCATTGAACTGATCTTTATATACCGCAACATAGCCAGCACGTTTGTTCACGCGTTATTCAATCTACAGTTCATGTGCATGCATCTGTATGTTTTTTAAGTCGAGTCATCGTGAGGCGTCTTCTTTAAGCAGCTGTAATGACTGAAGCAGAAGAAGACCCCAAGTGCACATGTGGGACTCCAACTACGCACACACACACACACACAACAAGTATGTATGTGTGAGCATGTGCATATAGAATACACACACACACACACACACACACACAAAGCAAATAAAAAGAATAACGAATACTTGCGGTGCTTGCTGCGGTTTTAACAATAATTTCACTGAACTTTTCGCTACACACATTCACTTAAGTATAAGAAGGGCCATTGACATTTACCATTATATCTTCTATATCTGTGTAGTCGCAATGGCAATTTGTTGTGCATATTACGTAATTGTTGTTGATTAAAATGCGTTCGACAACTGATTGAAATTCATTGCATTGCATGAGGCGTGTATTTATTTAATTTGATTTAATTGTGCTCAGCTAATTACAGCCGGAAACCGGTTAACACGTTGAACCTGACTCCTAAAGTAGGTCAGTCAAAATTATTGGCATATTTGCCATCATATCATCAGTTCAATGTTGAACTGTATTTGGGAAATGCTTGGTAAGGGTATTCCTCTGCTGATTACAATGTAAACGGATGCTAGACGGCGCAAACAAAAAAATAAATAAAGTTTGCCGGCTTATCAACTAGCTGCAACTTTGCCTGCTCGCAACAAAATGTTATCAGTGGCGTCTGGCTTTTTGCTGATAAACTCTCGAAAAACGGATTTATGATTTTCACACATATTTGAATGAGACAATTCCAATTGGCGCAAAAAAAATACCGATTTTCTGCATTGTATCATGTCTGCTCTTCTGTCTCTCTTTGTCTCACTCACGATCTACTCTCCCTTTCTGTCTGTTCGTTGTTTGTGTTTTGCACACTCGATCGGTGAACCTGTTTTAACTTAGAAGTTTGTTTTGCTGGGGCTGGATTGGATTTGTAGTTGTTGTTGATTGACGAGTTGCCAAAAAAACACATATATGTTTTAATGTTATTTCCTATGCCAGCAAACAAATCAAGGTTATTTAAACATGCACAAACACAGACACGCACACACATGCGTACACTGAAGCGTATAGAGTCTGATTAAAATTAAAGGCAGCACAAACAGATTTAGTCACATTTTCAAAGTCCAAAATGTGCGGGTGAACTATTTGTTATTATCACTAACTTATCGGTAGACAGCAAGTGAGTCATAAACAGGGCCAAATTCAGCACGTGTTTCGTGCATTTGTTGTTGCAGTCTTCTGCTTCAATGGAATCAGACGGAATAGAGACGAAGAAAATTGCAATTTTTGTTCAGTTCGTTGCGCGGTTCTTCCAATTTGGCTTTCTTATTAGACTCCCGTTCGCGCTCTATCTCGCTATCTCGCTCTTACACTTCAAACAAAAGCAAAAGCGAATCAGAGAGCAAAATAAAACAGTAATAACAATTTTTGCGGTCAGTTTCGCTTGGCAAATAATAACAATAGAAAAATTCTCAAATTCATCGTTTAAATCTGGCAACCCATTAAATTAAGTGATGTTAATGTATCTTAAATTTACACTTTTAACTTAGTTTAAGCACTTGTCGTACGTTTTAATTGAGTAGTGGTTGTGATTTGTCACCCACGACGCGCACGCTGTTTCTTCCAGAGAACGTTGGAAGCGTGTCACAATACCGTCCGGTTCGACGTTAAATGCTCAACTGCTGCCGTTGGAAATCCAAAACAGAAATAAACAAAGCAAAATTGCAGTGTGGGAGCGAAAGAGAACTGACGCCGTCAACATTATCCAGTCGTTTTAAATTTTGAAAGAGTAAAGAGTACTTTACAAGAGCGTAATTTATAAGCAATGTGTGCGATCCGTGTGTGGTTTGCGTCAACGCTCAAAGCTGCTATTAATAGTGAGTTGCACAACAGGTTCCTATATTAACTAAGCTTGCTGGCAACTGCTTGATCGAAGAGAATTAAATCCATTTAGAGGAATTTAGAAGAGATTGAAATCGCATATGGAATATTCTCTTTGCGGCTTGATGCTCTAGAATTGTTTCGAAATATTTTATGCTCACTATAAATATTGAAATTAATTATTACATCAATTTTCAATTGCTCACTTAACAATTCAAAAATCAAACCCGTTTTAAGTAATTGTATGTGGTTTGTGCATGTGCTAAACTGCTTTGCCAACAGGTTGTCATATGCACTGCCTGCTCTCTAGCAAAGTCAAAATCCTTTTGTAAACATGTTGCAAATAATTATTACATAAATTATTTGTTTATTGTCAATTATTGCACACTTAACAACTAAAAACAGAAATTTTCAATAATTTAATTTAAATTACAATACAGTACGAACGACACAATACAAGAAAACCGATTGTTCTCATCTGGTATTTGGATGATAAAACTTAAAAACTAACAACGTTAGATCAATCGATCCAATCTTTAAAGCTTAGTTATTTACATGTAAAACATTTTAAGTGTGAGAAAAATTTGTTCTGATAGATTTGGTATAGAGCACAGTTTTAAGAAAATATATAACTAATGTTGACGATGCTGCGGCTGAGAATTCTCATTATCAAAATCATCATCATCATCGTTTTCGTCATTGCCAGGCGAGAGACCCTCAATCAAATCATCCAAGTCATCGTCTCCATCATCCACTTCATCGACAAATTTATCGATGCGTTTGAGTAAATTATGTTCGCTATCTGACGTTTCTTCATCTTCGCTCACATCGCCCAGATTGTCCAGTTCGCCATCCTCCAACAGCTCATCATCATTATCATCGGTATCAGCATCATCATCATCTAGCTCGTAGTCAGGTTCGTCTTTAGACTCGGCCTTGATGCGAGACTCGGGCAATTGATCATAGTCAAAGATCTGTCGTGTGGCACGTGGTGGCTGTTCAGGTTCGGTGCTGGTCGCAATCTCTGAACCCTTCCTGACCTCATCCTCAGCATCCAGCAGGCTGCTCTCAATGCTACCCGCCTGGCTGCCAATGCGCGGCTCTGGTAGCTGTGGTTTCAGTTTCATTTTCATTGTCACCGGTTTGAGTCGAGTGCTCCCGCTGCTTGCTGTGGACATGATTGTTGTTGTTGCTGTGGAAGGAGTTGTTGTTGTTGTACTGGCAATTTCATGCGCTTCGGCAAACATGTTGTCCAGCAAGCTGAGCAGATCATCAACACCGCTGGGCTGCTGTTTAGTGCTGGGACTAAGCGAAGCTGGAGTTGAAATCGCAGTTGGAATCGCAGTGGGAATCACAGTTGGAGTCTTTGCAGTGGTTGTTGTCGTTGTTGATGATGTTGATGGGCTTGTTGTTGTCGTTGTTGTTGTCATTATGGGCATTGTCTTTGTATGCAAATGCTTGACCTGAAAGGTCTCGACTGTGCCGCGTTTCTCGCTGGGATCCGCAATCCTCACCACCGGCTCCCGCTTCGAGATAACGGGCACTATCTTGGGACTATGCGGATCCAATTCGTTCTGACCATAGGTCTTCACCTTGGAGTGACCCTCGATAATGAGATACATGGGTCCCAGCAGCGGCTTCGGTGGCTGCTTATAGTGTGAGAATAGAGCATCTGTGGTTAGTTCTGGTGCAGGAGCCACTGTCGGTCGCTGCTTCAAGTTGCTTGTCTGTGGGATCAGCAGACGGGTGCTGCTGCTTATCGTTGTCGGAGTCTGTGGTCGCTGATAGATGGGTTGCGGTGTCGTTGTCGTTGTCGCCGTTGTTCTTATTGTTGGCGAACTGGAGCTGGAGACGAGCATGGGTTGGAAACCGTAGCTGGCTGAGCTGGTGGGCGTCAGTGTTGTTGGCGTAATATATATTTCTGGGCGTGCGCTTGTTGTGGTAGGCGTGGCAATGGTGGGTGGACCGGGCACAAAGGTCACCGGCCTATAGCTTAAGGTTGGTGCATGGGTGGAGCTACTGTACGCACTCATCAAGTGCTGTGGCTTGGTGGTGCCCATTAGATACTTGGTGGCTGGCATTGTTGGTTTCATGCGCTGCTTCATCGTCGGCTTCACCAGCTCTTTCTGCAGCAGCTCATGGAGCCAGGGCTTGCGCGGCGCCTGCTTGGAGCCCATAGAATGCGTATGAATTGAGTTGGGTGCATAGCTCCCCGTGGTCTGAGGCCTGGAGAAGCTGTAGTGCTGCATGGACTCCAGATGATGGCCATCCGCGTAACTCATGCGGGAAGGCATACTGGTCATGCTGGGCGAATGGGTCAACCAGGATGCACTGCTGTCTGTGGCGGGACTGCTATAATAGTGCGTGGAGCTAACGACTGGCTTGCTGTGACTGCCGGAGGAGCTAGTATAGCTGCCGCCCATATTCATGCTCATGTAGGAGGAGCTGCTGGGTGAGCTCTGACGATACTCCACATGACCCATGCCCTTCATCATCATAGGTGGTGGCATTAAATGTGTGTGTGGCATGTATTGCATTAGTTGCTGTTGTTGTTGCAACATTTGTTGATGCTGCTGTATTTGTTGTGGCGCATAATAGCTCCGACGTATGGGCGCATATTTCAACTGCTGCTGATGCTTTTGCTGTTGCTGCTGCTGCTGCTGATGCTGCTGCTGATGCTGTTGCTGTGATAAACCCAATCCCTGATAGGACAATGGCTGCTGCTGCTTCGCTCTGGAACGTTCCCTTTCGCCAGCCACTCCCAACAGCAGAATCTCGCTTTTTGTCTTGTTGCGCAACAGCTCCGCTGGCAGTTTCTGTCTGGCATCCTGAGTACTGTTCACATTGTTCTCCGCCCAGTAGCGCACACGATCGAGAGCAGGCGGACTATAATCATAGGTGGGATCCTTTTGCAGTGGATCCCCATGGCCCAGTGGGCGCCATTCGTTGTTGTTGTTCGGGTCCAGGCGTGGTGCTGCAATGAATGAGAAGAGCGTTGCATCAATTAACTTGATCGTGTGTCTGCAGCTTTAATTGCCCGCCATCCAAATGGCCGGCGGGCAAATGACGCCGGCCACCAAATCATAACTCGTTAAAGTGTTAACAAATGTTTTTGCAGCGCCACCAGGCAGAGACACCACACAAATGAGTGGGTAACACGATACGTAAACCAAAAAATTATAAACTATTAAATGGCAAACTGCTAAAGTCAGTAAATCGTTCACATTAGTCGAAGAAGGTTATAAAAACAAATCACTTCATATAAAATAATAGTTAGTTTCCAAATTGAACGCTTATCTCAATCCTTATTATAGATGGGTAAATTCTTCTATAATATACTATTTATTAGCAGTAATTCTGCAGATCTAAAGTGTGTGTCCTTAAAGTATTCAGCGTTTCAGTCATCATCTTATTTACTAAATCCTTCTACTAGTTCCATGAACCAACGTCTTGATGAGATTGTTTTAAGCCAGTGCATATAATTTAAGCTAACGTGACTGCTTATGGCCAAAGCAAAGTTAATCCCGGAGCAAAGATGAGAGCACGAACAAAGCGTGGGCCGTGACCAATGTGCGGACTACAGTGGGAGTCGCAATCCAATAATGCTGAAGTCACAGTTCAAGTTGCGGACCGCAGGCCTCCTGGTGCGCTAGGAGGCAGTGTCCACCTGAATGCCACATGGCAATCACCAGGTAGATCACTGCCAGATCACTGGGGGCCATCAGTCAGGCTATCAACGAACAACAAACAACGAACAACACACACAACAGCTGGCCAGTGTTGGTTCGACTTGATTGACTGATCAACGGGGCAACGGCAACGACGTCGACGACGACGACGGCGACGGCGACGACGACGCTGACTGGCAGCTGTGTCTAAGCTGGAGTCTGGGATTGGAGGCTGAGTCGCCGACTCTGAGTTTTGGTGGTAGCCGGTATAAGTTATTAGTTACAAGCAGACAAATCGCTTTCCATTTGAATGCGACGTAGATCAACGTGAGGACCTGCAACTTGACTGGAACTTGGACTTTGTCTGACTGATTTTTGGGGAGTTGGCTTAGCGGAAATGTGGCGACTCATGCATTTCTGATCTGCCAGCTGGCAGTTTTCGATTTGTGCCGACCAATTGGTTTTCGCGAACGCTTTTATAAATTACCAAAGATTAAAAGCCTCTGGGGCGGCATACTACCTACGCTCCATTTGCCAGTTGGACTATGCATCGATGCGGTTTTGTTTTCTGTGTGTGTGTGTGTGCTTTTTTTTTTGTATCCCATTTATCCTTGCATAATTGCTGGCAGTTTGCTGGCAGTTTGCTGGCCAGTCCCAAGTCGTTTTCACTTTCATTTGCTGCACCACATTAAAATACCGCGCATGATTGCGTTAAAATTGTTTGGATCCCCTAATGCTGGCCATTAAAATAGCCTGCTACTGCTTCTCTCGCCTCTCTTCTCGTCGTCTAAAGCGGAGCAAACTGGTGGACTGCTCGACTGCTGACTGCTGGACTGGTGGACTGGCGAACAGGTGATGGCGTCTGGTCTCGTCGTCAATCTCGTGGTCGTGTCAATTATGTCGGCATTTGGTGGTTAAAACAAAATCAAAGTGCAAATCTTTCATATTTGCGGCATTTCATGCGGTTCATTGGCAGCTCACATCAGCTACCCCACCCCCTCCCCCCCTTTCCTAAGTGTGTCCCTCCCTCTCTCACCTGTTGTCGCATTGGGCGTTACAAGCACCAAGCCATTCACTTCATCCTGATGACTGCCACTCTTCGACGTCGTCATCGTCGCTGTTAGTGGCAAGACCTCAAACACCTCATCAGCCGCACAGGGGGCGGGGCAGGTGGCTTGCAGGCAGAGCCAGCAACAAAATATTGTTACCAAATTGAGGGTTTTGTGGCGTTCGCTAATCATCGTGAAACGGTGCGGGTTATCTGGAAATGCAAATCAAAATTATGCTTATTAAGCTTTTCCGGTTATTCAATCCTTGTCGTATTACAAGCCAAATACTTGGCCAGCAACATTTTTTTTAAAGGAAATTGTTCGAACATTTGCTAATTGATCTGTGGTATTTCTGGGTTGTCTCACTTTAAAAACATATTTTCTCACAACATGAGGATTGAGAAGAAAATATTGAGACAACAATCTTTATTAAAAATCGCCGAACAAGTAATTATTGCTTTACGGAAATCAATTAATTTCATCTAAAAATATATTTTAGTCACTAAAGTGTATTACTCAAGATTGCTGTCTTTAGCAGCAAACTTTGTGTGTCTTTAATAATAATTAAATTGTTCAAACATTTGCTAATTTATCTGTGAGATTTGTGTGATTTGTCCCTTCAAAAGGAAGAGGATTAAGAATAAAAGACTGAGAAAACAGTAAAAAAAAAAAACTAAAATCGGTGAACAAATTTATTATTTACTTTGTAATGAATTTAATTAAATTTTAATCAAAATCTTGGCTTAAAACCTTTTCAAGTTGATGGCTGCAATATTGCAGCATTGCATTAATGTGCCATCAACTGTCCTCGGAGAGAAAGAGGGTCGCACATCTTATAACTGACAACTTTATTAAAAACATATCGCATTCGAGACTGCGATCGGTCTGTGCCTGTTTTGGGTGGTCCTCTTTGAGGCGGCTCAGCGGCACTTTTTTTTTAGGACATGTCTTTAAGGTTACGTGCGCCTCTCAGCGGTTTTCGATGCGATGTGCCTTGTCATCGGACGCGTTCCCAACGAAAGTGAAACTTGTGCACAATGTTTCGATTTTGGAACATCAACAACAAAATTTGCATTTATTTTGCAGAGCCACGGGTTGTTGTTGTGGCTGCTGTTGCTGTTGCGACTGTTGCGGCTGTTGCACGACGGTCACTTGGCGGCAATCGTAAAAATTAACGTGATTACTACACGCATAAATAAAGCCATTAAATGGCGAACATCTCAGTACGGCGGGCAATTAAAATCAAATAAAATTCACCGCCAGCTTCGCAAAGAAGCCACCAAAAATGGTTAATTGTTTTGGGGGATGCGGAGGGGGTTTCGTGGCCTTCACAGAATAGGCGTTAATTACATTTTTACAACCAATATAAAATGAGTAAACAGGCAAAAATGCTCTAGTCGCGGGTGGTTGATTGAGATGGCTGATACCCAGTTCCGGCCATGCGCTCCTGGAAGTCCAAACAAAAAGCTGCTTAAATATTAGTTGACAGCAAGAAAGATGGAATGCCATCATCAGACCATCTAATAAATAATTCACTAGTCAAACACTCTCCACAATTCGATTCCCCTCTCTAGCATTAGCTGGCATATAATACCTAAATTAAGCCTAGATTTGTGACTATTAAAATCGAAGTAAGTTGCAATTTTCACACGTTCGTCTTGTTAGTTATTTAATGGCCGTCTACTTGCACGACCATTCACAATATATTTTGCATAATAAATTTAACTATGCATAACTTTTGTGTTATTTAATTGGATTTAATTTTGTTTACATGAATGAGCCGTGAGTTGGTCGTTAAACGAGTTTGTCTTACAAGCCAGGAAGTTGTTACCTCTTGCTGCTGTCGTTGTTTGTTGTAGTTGTTGTTGCTGATGATTTAACATATTATGGTAAACATCAATTACTGAAGTGATCCACTTAATATGCATTTATCATTTATCGATGAGCCATATTCCTTCACTAAGCCTTAACAATTAATATTGTACTAAATATTATCAAATTAATAAAAAAAAATTATTGTTAAAAATGTGCTTTGTTTTTTGCTTTGTTTTTTCAATTGGCAGCGGCTATAAAAGTTACTTTAAATTTACTCAGATATAGTAAGTAAATCAACTGCAATGTGACGCTGTGTGTGGTATTTGTTTTCTGTCTTATGTGTGGCCAAAATATTCAGTTGCTTCCAGGGCACTTTCAATATCTTCAAACTATCTGCAACTTCATCTTTTAAAAGCGCAGCGGCCCAACCCAAAACGCAATTGAGTTCGCTGGATGCATGCAAAGTTAACGTTTAAGCCAATGAGGCGGCTGTAAGTGCATGAATACAAACAAAAACTATATTGAAAAAAGTAAAAACAGCAACGCATAGACAGACAAATAAACATACAAACAAGCGCAACAACAACAACAACTTGGCACACTAAGTGACAAGCAAAGCCAAAGCCGAAGCCAAAAGATTCATTCAAGTGTGCGACACTTTTTATGCGTGACATAAAAAGCGACCACAACAACTGGTCAACAACAACAACAACAGCAACAACAAGCAAACTGGGGATGCATACCAACATGGCAGCGTATTAGCAAAGACAAATACTAATTGCAGCCAAAGCAGCAGCAACATTTGCAGCAGCATCAGCAACACCAGCAGCAACAGCAGCAGCAGCAGCAACAGCAACTTGCAGCGCAGTTTTTTATTTGTGGTTGCTTTTGCTGCCGGCAGTTAATTTCATTTAAAGAATGTCATCTTCACTTTAAGTGAAAGATAAATACACGTACAAGTAAACACACTCACACACACACACACACACACACACATGTGGTTGGGGAAAAATCGACAGTTGCAAGTGTTTGGCATTGTCTCCTTTTCCTTCAACTTCAACGCGAACATTTGGCGCTTGGCGCTTGGCTCTCGGCGCTGCCAACGCTGCGTATGAGGGATGTGTGTATTTTATTGTTGTTGTTGTTGTTGCTGCTGCTGCAACTTGACGCAGCTGCTGTTTGTTGATGAGCAGTGCGTCTTAATTCTTTGTGCAAATAGCGCTGCACATTCGATTTCGCTGAGAGTGCAACATCCGCTGAGAAAACTCGCAGCTTTTGAGTAAGTAAGACAAACACAACAACAAAAACAAACAGACAACAATAACAATAAACTATTGTGTTTATTGACAAAAAATTGCCAAATCAAAATCATTCTAATTACAATGGGAATTGCTTTAAAGTTTGCCTAAAGATTTAAATTATGTGAATTAATTATCTTTTGCTAACAACAAAATTCCAGCCAAGATGGAACATTTTTGGTCTTTGCATCGTGTTTTTAAATTGCAAATAAAACAAAAATGACAGAGTCATAAAATATATATTTTATATAGTAAATGAAAACTATAAAATTAATGTATCGAAATAAAAAATAAAATGGTAACCAAAAGTATCCAATGCATAAAAAATCAAAGCTAATATTATTATTTTATATCTATAATAATCAATTTGAAGTATTGGATGAATAAGACAATTAGATTTCGTATATTATGTATTTGTTATACAAATTATGTATTTGATATATAATCAAAACCAAAGGGAATTTCCGTACTCCTCCATTCTATAACATCTTCAGAATATTGGTCAATTTTGACGAATATGATTAATAAATTAGATTACAAATTGCACATATATTAAATGCAATCTGTATTTGATTTATTTGATTATATGCTCGAAAACTTAAATCACAATTTCTTGACTACTCTGCAGGTCTTCAGATCTTACATCATGCAACATTTGATACGTACCATGCAACGCGGGCACTAATAGATGGAAATAAAGACGAAACTCAATTGACTCGTTGTTGATCTATGTATAATCCTTTTCTTTCCAATTCGATTTTTGTTTTTGTTTTATTTTTTTATTATGGTAATCACTTTGCGTTTAAGTTGCACTCATTTCCATTGGCTGCTGCTGCTGCAATTGTCAGATGTGAATATTAATCACAGAGGGGCTTTATCGCTAACCCAATCCCATTCCCAGTTCCGATGGCAATTGCATGGGGCTGGCAAACATTTCATTTCATTTCATTCAGTGAATTTCACTTTTAAACGACGACGCCCGACGTGCCGAGACGAGTCACACTTTGGGCCCCGAACACCGAAGAGTCATTCGCACTTTGGCTATTGAGGAGCAGGAAATTTGCGGCTTTTTCGTTTTTGTTTTTATCGAGTGCGAGTCGCTGCTGTTGCGCATCCGTTTCAAAACGCGTCCGTTTGTTAACTGATTTCGCGTTGTGTTGGCCAAAACACAAATTCGAAACGGCTCAAAGAAGCGTCAATGTGTGCGCCACTGCGCTGCCAGCGTCGCTGCGGCAGTACAACGAACCAGACAACTGGCCAGACTGAGACTCTAGACAGACCAGACCTCAAGCCCCTCAACCAAGCTCCAACATAAGATTTCCCCTCGCCGACGACAGCCAACCACCAGACGCCAAAGTTGAGCGGCGTTTACTCTGCAACTTTGCTAGCTGCACTTGTCGCTGCCGCTGCTACAATTGACGTCGCTGTCGCCGCTGCTGCTGCTGCTGCTGTTGCTGTTGCTGTTGTTTACTGACCAAAGCGAATCAATATATGTGCGTCGCAGTCGACGTCAGCGTTGGCGTTGACGCCACTGCTTGCCGGCAACCAAAGTTGTCGTCTTTTCGCTTTTTTTGCTGCTGCTGCCACTGCTGCTGCCACTGCTGCTGCTGCTGTCTTTGGCTTTAGCTTCGGCATTGGCATTGCTTTTGGTTAGTTGTCGTGGCTCCTTCTTCGCACCTCTTCTTCTCCTGCGAACAGACTCACTTTTCACTGCAACATGTTGCTGACTAACTGACTGACTAACTGACTAACTGAATGACTCTATGACTGACTGGCTAGACAGACCATGAAGTTGTCTGCTCGGGGATTATCAAATACAACAAGCCGAAGACAATTTGATGCTAGATATAAATTCAATGAAATGTTAAGATTGATATCTTTATAATATATATATATTTATATATATATATACACACAAAGGCAGTTTTTTGTACTATATATGAAAAATACAAATATTACTTTAGCAGAATGAAACTAATTCAACTGAATAAAACAAAACAGTGGAGAGAATTAATCACCTGAAATTCCGAAAATAACAGATACCCAAACTGACTGGCCAAATTCCGATGGAGAACCGCTAGAGAAACCAACTTACTTCGACTAATATGTTATGAAAAAGAGAAATACATATTCTGATTTGAAAAGATCTTAACTCATATTAAGACTTGGTGCTAGGTAAAAAAATCAAACCGACGATTTCCACGGCGAGTCAAAAGCATAATTCTCAAGTTTTGCCAAGAAGCTTTGAAGAATCCAGCACATAAATCCTGTTTTAAATGATTTAAACTTCAACCTAAAGCTTATACGGTTTTAGTCTGTAGTTATCAACTGGTTGCAGAGGTTGTTGTTTTATAAAGCTACCGAGAAGTTGGTTCTGCTGTTGTTGTTGATGTACAAAATTGTTGGCTTTGTTGTGGCTGCTAGTGGAGGTGGTGGTGGTGCTGCTGCTGCTACCTGGGCGGTCAATGTCTGATCAGCTTTCGCTTTTGTTGCATGGCCGAGTACAGTAACAATTGGCATGTTTTGTGTGTGTTGCATAAAAAGCAATCGTCGTCATTTGACTGAATAAACATTTCTTTGGCGCTGAAATGGATAAATGCGTTTACAGCTTAAGGCAAATGGCAACAAACAAGCAAACCAAAATTGACAGTCAGTGGCCAGTGACAGTCCAGTCATGATGCCGTCGCCCAGCCCATTACTATTGTCGATTTCTTGTTGCTGTTGTTATTGGGCGTGTGTGCGTATTTGCGAAGACTTTTGTAGACGTCGATACTTGAGACATGCATAAAACTTGTAAAGCCATTAAAAGCGCTTACAGTGACAACAGCAACAGCAACAACAACAACAACAAACACAACTTGTGGATTAAAACAATCATCCTATATTGTTTTTAGTTACCCCTTTTTTTGAGGCGGCTCATTAGCTTGATGTGTTAATTAAGCGAAATGTCAAAAAATTGCAAACGAAAGACTTAGGCAACGAACTTGACGAATCATGACTTTCACAAAAGAATGCAAGACATGTAAATATGACACTGACAGACTGATTGACACACCCACACACACACACCCGAACACACACACCCAAGCACACACACACACACAATCAGCCCTCGCCGCTGCTGGCTTCTTTGTCGGCTTTTGCCTTGTGTGTCTAACAAATGTGTGCAGTCAAATTGGTCCATTGGTAAATTTTATTAGACTCCACACCACGCCTCTTCTCTCGCCCCTGCTCTAATTAGCGTTGTGTGTGTTGTTGCGTGTGTGTTGCATGTGCTGCCTGCTGCATGCTGCCGTCCTCGCTGCATGCTGCCGTCCTCGCTGCCCATATAAATTGTATCAATAAATTTATTGATTTCAACTGTTGCTGCTGACTTGTTAAATATTTTGCCAAACGATTTATGTTGCCAACATGCAAATTTGTTTTTTCCTCTCTTTTCTTTTCATTTACGAGCTGTGCCGGCCTGGTGCAGCTTTAATGAACATGTCGCCGTGGAAAGAGTCATCATCGACGCACGCACCAGAAGATATATATTTTTGTAGTGATTGCTTTTGTTTTTTTTTTTTTGTTTTTGAAGCAACCTTTCACTGGCCAAAAAAAGAAACATATATAAATACTTAGCTGTAATTTCACCCACAACTTCCGGGCCAACGATTGTGCGTAGAACACTTTCATTTGTTTAAACTTGCAATTGGGTTTAGGACAGTTTCGATTTGTTGGCTCTGCCAATGCCACCTGCCTTGCATGCTAATTGCGCTGGCGAAACCAGCGCCCCACAATATGTAGCAGGTGAAATGTTGTTGTCGCCCGGTGCATGGCTAATTAGATAAACAAATTTGTTTGGTTTCATGTGCTTTTTGCTTGCCTACGGCAGCAAACTCAGACTTTGGCTAGCTGCCTGGCTGGCTGGCTGGCTGGCCACATTGTTGCACGCATTCGAAATTCGAATTATTGAAAAGTGAAAAAAAAACACAAATAAACACAAATAAACAAACTGTGTTCGTAGTATGTGCGTCGGTTTCTAAAAGAAAGTGAAAAGCCAGCGCTGACAGAACGCAGTGTTAAGCGTTAAGCGTAAAGTGCGCCGCCTAATGGCCGTCAACGTGCAGCGCCAGGACCAGCCTCCGCCTCACCCGCTCTCAGCTAATCGAGCTGGCCGCGTGCCTCTGCCTCTCCATGGCTGCGTGCTTGCAACACGCACGACTTGCATTGCAGCCCATTTTTATTACAATTCTTGCATCTAAGGCAATTACGATGACTTTGAGCTTAAGAGAAGATTCTCACCTAAGATATCGCATTTAACCAATTATTTATAGCCTCTACAACTATACGAATTAAGAACTCAACATTAGAAGTAGGAAACAGCTCAACCAGCAGATGGCCCGTCTGTAAAAACTCTTTTAGATCAGTTAAAATTTAAATTTATGCATGATCTATTATAATAAGACTCACCAAATCTTAAAAGTTCTGCTAGTTGCACTTCTTAAACATAGTCAAACTTATGAAAGTAATTGCTTAAATGCATAATTCTCATTTGGCTTAAAAAAACTCCTTCTTAATATATACTGTAGCCACAATTATCCTTACATTTGCCACAATACATTACCAGACCTAGAGTCTAATCTAATCTAGTATTATATATGAAATGAGTTAAATGTCGTGCGTGGACACGCGCCCATCTCTGGCAGCCAAGCGGCACTGATCCACAGCAGCGGGCACAGTCATTCACAAGTTTTGATGCTAAACAAATATGACTAATTATGGAGGAACTGAGACTGGCGCGCACTAAACAGTGCCACATAATGCGATCGTCGTCTTCGTTTCGACGTAGATGGGCAGTCCGACTACGACTCCGAGTACGACTCCAACTGCCTCCAACCCCTCTCTTTCCCAAGTGGCCAGTAACCAGTAACCAGTATAAACACACACAAACCCAAACAGAAACACAAATACAAAGCAACACCCGCAATTTCGCCAATTCGTGGAAAAAGAAACAAAGTAAAAAAATACAAAATAAAACAAAATCATGCAATTGCAATTGCGAACTGTATGAATGAAATTCGTTTTACGCGACAATCGCTCTTCATCTCTACCTCTACCTCTCCCTCTCTCCACTCCTCCCTCCCTATCCTCAACATCATCTTCGCTGTCGTCGTCGTAGTTTTCACGGTATTTGGCCATAGCAACTCAACTCCCTCCCCATTCCCACGCAGCTCTGGTGGCAGCTGCACAGTGGAATTGCGGCAACCAGCAGCTGCATGGCAAACACTTAAGTCAAGTTGAGCAGCATGTGAAGACCCTTCGCTGGGGCAATGCGCCCGTCAGTCTCATGGCTGAGGATTTTGCCACGGCTCTGAGTGTGCTGCCGCCGGAGCAGCATTGCATCACCTCCTGCATGGCCAACTATCAATCGCAGGCCTGCAACTTTGCCGACAAGTATCGAGTGCCCAGTGTCTTTACCAGCTACGCGGAACTCGCACGCTCTCCCAGTGTTGGTGAATACAATTTCTATGCTTAACTCCTTGAAGATTTGAGCAGATTAAGATTCTATGTAAGAACTCAATCGATTTTGTAGAGCATTTATGGTTTGTCCTCCTTCAATTTGCAGACGCCGTTTACATATAGCCGTTGAATCAGATGCAGTGCGAGCTATGCCACCTGATGCTCAACCACGACAAGCATGTGCTGTGCGAGCAGCCGCTGTGCATGGCCGAGCACGAGGTGACCCAGCTGGCAAACAAGGCTCTGGCACGTGGCTTGTTTCTCATAGAGGGTTTCTGGTCGCGTTGCATACCCGTCTATAGCTTTCTGCGGCTCGAGATTAGCCATCTTGGGTTGGCCTCGGCACGCAGCACACATCTCTGCAATGCGCTATGTGGGCATAGTCAAGGATCTGGCTCCGTATGCCATACAGCTAGCACTCTGGATGTATCGAGAGGTGTCGCAGCAACGCTAATGGCGCCGATGTGGTGGCCTCCATTCAGCTGCTCTTCCAGGGCAATCGATACGCTCGACAACAATCATACGCGGCAGCAGTGGCAGCGTGAATCTAAGTTCAATTTTAAAATAATTTAAATAATTTAAAATTAAACTGCTAAGACAAAAATATTATAAGTTGCTTAAAACCAGAAATAAATAACTATTTAAGTAAATTGTTTTTAGTCAGTACAAATTAAACTGTAAACTTTAAGAAATATAACATTTTTTATTTAACTCAGCTATAATTATTTTGTTTTTACTTAGATATGAACAATCCGTGGTGTCAAACGTCCTTGACTTTTATTGACATATCCGGCGCGGGAAGTACGCAAATGCACCTTGGGCGGCTGCACAAAGAGCCAAAGATTAAACCATTCCAAGAGTCGACTGATGACCAACTTGACCAGTCAAATCAAAGAGATGCTTGTCGATAATTGTGAGTCGATAGAGCTACAACACAAGCAAGCAAGCAGTCTGCTGACCAGGCAAGCAGTGCTGAGATCGCATTAGAAACTTTCCCAATTAGTCAAATGTTTCCCACACAAACTCTTAAATTGCTATAACATTTAGCTTTTTTGCGTGGTTAGTCAAGACACTCGTCAAGCAGTCAATCTTAGCGTATGCAACAACCACCTGAGATTGCTGAGCTTTTTGCAAATATTTCAAATTCGACTAACTTATCTTGAAAAAGCTTCGTGAATTTTGTGTTGCGTATTTTCTGGAATTTTGTGATGAAGCATTGAAGCAGTTTGCGAGAAAGCCCGAGTTGTTTGAGTGACTAACACGTCTATCGTCGTTGACTGCCTCACACAACACAGCAGCTGATAACATTGAAGGACGCTTATCACCGGCAAGTTTTATGTGTAAACAATTGCACAACAATCAAATTAAAAGCTTTTGTTTTCTAAACATCTAAAGCCTACCGAAAATTAAGGGGAAACTGGGTCGTCGGACAAGGGGAGCACAAGTCAATATATATAAATATATATATATATATAATAAATAAGAATGAAGGTCTGTCTATATATATATTTATATATATAGCACATATGAGCACCAAATCACGTCTGCCCGTCTGCTTGAGGCCAAGTAATCATTATGTTTACGTTGACATTTGATTTGTAACGGAAAATTTTGTTGGCAATGAGCCGGCCAGTGACTTGAAAGCGCAACATGTGTTCTCACTGTTCACCTGATGATGCAACTGGAAGTGCAACTGGAAGTGCTCTCTCCAACAGGCCAATGGCATCGCAAGGGTTGGCAACGTGGCCTTATATAAGAACATTTGCATACATTGATCCAAGAACCGGGTGTATTATGAAGAACATTTTAAATAATTTAAATACTCGAGACAAAAAATTTGTTTGTTTGACATTGTCATTGCCTTTTTATATTTTTTGTTTACCGCGCATTTTGTAAACACAACACAAAAAAAATTTAATTGCGCAGCAAAAATTGTGCAAAGCTTTACACGTTCTCACTCTGAAGAACTTTTCGCACTCTCATTTTGTGCGAGAGTGAGAATGTGAGCACCGTAACTGACGCCCCAATGGTAAATGGTATCGAAAATTCTGAAATTAAAATTTGCTGAGCAAAACTAGAAAATGAACAAACAGTAGGCGAAAAGGCAATATTATTAAACTATTTAGCCAGTTTCTGTGCTAGACATCACTTTGTTTCAGAAATCGTTTCAGAGCTAGTCGGAAAAACAAAATACTAAAAAAGATTAAATAAAAACAAATTCTGGAAGTTTCTCTTGGTGCTATTGTATAAAGTTCTATGAACGCAAAGCAGGTGAAATCCAAAATTGATATGTAGAAAAATAATTTTTAAAATAAACTCGTTTTGTTCACAGGGTCTGTGAGCGCGAGAGCAGTTTGGCAGCCACTCTCACAACTAAAGAAAACGGCGAGATAAAAAGCTCTCGTCGGGTATAAAAGCAGGTATTCAACACCGAGAAAAAGTTCAATTTCCATTCGTGTTTCGAAGCGAGGAGGACGTGGACAACCAGTAGACGTGTCGCATATGCACCAAATAAAATAAAGAAAAGGAAAAAAAAACTCGAAGCCAAAAGAATCTACAAAGATAAAGAAGCCCTCAATTACAACTCATTTTATATAAGCACAAGATCTCAAATACAACATGTCTGAGGCACACTTCGATGAATACGAGCACTACAACTTCGACCATGGCAAGCACATCTTCTCAGGCCACAGCGGCAAGCAGCGCTCCAAGAAGGAGGCCAGCGAGCACACCAACCACTTTGACCCGTCGGGCCACTCGCGCAAGATTTTGACCAAGCTGATGAACACCAACAACAACAAGAAGACTATAAAGAACTGATGTCCGAGGCCAAGTCAAGGCAGCAGCAGAGAGAGACACAAAAAAATATTTGAGTAGGAAGAGAGTGCAGAACAGAAAAGAAAAAGGAAACGGAAAGGTAGAATTAAAAATCAAAGCCAGCAGCATACTGAAGAAAGGAAGAGAAGGAGGAAAAGAGAAGTGGCTTTAGCGGCGGCAGCTGGCACTGCTGTCGGCTGTCGGCTGGAAAGCAAAATACAAAAAGAAAAAAAATCAACACTGGAATATCGTATTGAATAGCTAATAATTTCAACAATTTCCTAAACTTACGTACTTTTACGGACTTATAATTTTAATTTTATTCTTAGTGCGTTTCAAATTATGAAGTTTACTTTAGGTCTAACTTATAAAATAAAAAGAAAAACAAACCAACTTGATATGGTATTACATTTAATTGAGAACATTTGCGGCGCTTGCATTGAAAGTGGAACTCTCACATACACACACGCAGCGGGGCAAAAGCTTTTAATATTCATGCAATGTCTGACTGCATGCATCTCGCCTCCGCTTTGGGTCTGTTTTCGCCTGTGTGTGTGGCTGAGTGCATATTTATAGCCTTTTCGTTGAACTCATTTGCACCCAGCTGAACGCCTCGAGACGACCGCCAACCACATGTTTTCCTTTGTTTTCTATAGTCAACAAACTTCGATGTAAAATGCCTATGCATGTGTTACAAATGTACACATTCGTAATACATGACATTTGTACATTGCCAATTTAAGCGGAAATAGTTGGTGTTTATGAAAAGTTATGCTACACGAACACAAGATTTATTTGGTTAAAATCATTATATAAAAGTTCCCAGACTTTTCTACGGATAAATCAATAAGCGATGTATTTTAGTTATGTTCTTTGTTAACAGCTGCAATGTTAACGCACAGAACGCGAACTGTTATTTTCAACAAATTTGTATCATAGCAGCGAGCTTTCTGTTACAATGTGGCCAGCTGTCACATGTGCGTAAGAATCGTTCAGAAATTCAACGGTTGTGCCACTGCTCCGTACGGTATGTTCTATTTGCTAAGCAGGCTAGCTGTAATCCACAATATTAATTTCTATTTAGTTTTCACTAAAAAACATTCAGCTAACTGTTCATATTTGCAAAATTTATTGCAGTATTAAATTATAAAACAAACGTGAGTATTCCAATGCCACAATACACCGCTCACAGAGCGTTACAAAAAAAAATCAATAAGCCAGAGCAGAGGCAACTTGGTGACAAATGTTGCAACTTGCCCGGCATTTGGCAATTAGCAGTGGCGATTTGCGCTCTGAACTCTGTGTGTGATAAGAGGGACAATTGCTATTACACAATGTTTCAACTCTATTTGCAGCACACCACACCGCACACACACACAAAGAGTAGAAAATGGCGACGTTCCTCAACGTAAATTCCGTAAAGCTGAACAAATGGCAGGTGGCTTTGATTCTTGGCACACCCGTCGCCATCGGCCTGGGCATGTATATGTTCAATCGGCGGAGCAACTGTGCCAGCGATGAGGCGACAAGTGGCAAGCAGACGAGTAAGTCGAACAAGGATACAGGCAATACACGCCAGAAGGGTAAAATGGAGACGCAAACGTTGTCCATTGATGGCACCGCGCCCGATTCCGAACTGGAGCGCAAGAAGAAGAACGCTGAACTCGGCGAACAGCTATCGCCGCTGAAGGAGGCCAACAATTACAAGACAGAGGGCAACAATTGCTATCGCAATGGCAAATACGATGAGGCAATCAGTTTTTATGATAAGGCAATCGACAAGTGTCCAACGGAACATCGTATGGACATGGCGATATTCTATCAGAATCGTGCTGCCTCCTATGAGATGCTGAAGAAGTGGAGCAAGGTCAAGGAGGACTGCTCCTTGTCGCTGGAGTATAATCCGCGCTATGCGAAGGCCTATTATAGACGTGCCCGAGCCCATGAGGCTACCAAGGACATGATTGAGTGTTTGGATGATGTGACGGCCACGTGTATTCTGGAGATGTTCCAGAACAACAACACCATCATGTTTGCCGACCGTGTGTTGAAGGAGACTGGTCGCATCGATGCCGAGAAGGGCCTGCGCGATCGTGTGCCTGTTGTGCCCTCGGCGAGCTTCATCAACACCTATATGCGATCCTTTATAGCCGATCCGTTGCAGACAATGGAAGTGCCGCCCTCATTAGTGGCGGATACGCCACCACGCGGCTTCCTGCGCGCCAAACGTGCCTTCGAAGAGCAGAAATATGATGAAATCATTGCGGCATGCACCGAGGAAATTGAATCCTCGGAGGCGGAATCACAATTCAAGGTGGAGGCGCTGCTAATGCGTGGCACATTCCATTTACTGTGCGGCTCCTTTGCCGAGAGTAAGCCCGACTTTGATGCCATTCTGGCAAACGGTAAGCGAATGCTAAAAAGATTGCCATTTGTTTTTATAAACTAGAGTAATAATTGAGTAATCTTTTGACAGAGGATGCGGATGTGACGCTGCGCTCCTATGCGTACATCAAACGTGCAGCTCTCTTCATCCAGACGCAGGAGCCCGACTGGGGATTGGCCGACTTTGTCGAAGCCGAGAAATTGACGCCCAACAATCCTGATGTGTATCACCAGCGGGCACAGATTCTGCTGCTGCTGGAACAGATCGACATGGCACTGCTGGAATTCGAGAAGGCGGTGCGCCTGGCACCCAATCATGCGATTGCCACCGTTCAGAAGTGCTATGCTGAATACCGTCTGGCCCTGATGACCGGCGACCAGAAACGCCTGGAGCGTGTGATAAAGGACTTTGAGGATGCCATCGAAAAGTTTCCCGATTGCGTTGAGTGCTACAGTCTGATGGCTCAGGTGCTGGCCGATCAACAGCAGTTCGCACAGGCCCAGCATTTCTATGAGATGGCCGTGAAGCGGGCGCCCACGAATCCGGCGCTGCTCGTCCATCAGTCCATCATGATGCTGCAGTGGCGTGGCGATATCGAAGCAGCTGTGGCGCTCCTCAATCGTGCCATCGCAGTGGATCCCAAATGTGAGCTGGCCTACGAAACACTGGGCACTGTCGAGGTGCAACGGGCCCAGCTGCAGCGTGCCGTCGATCTGTTTGAGAAGGCGCTGCTCTATGCGAAGAGCAAGGCGGAGCTGGTGCATGTCTACTCGTTGCGTAACGCGGCACTGGCTCAAATCAATGTGACCCGCAAGCTGGGCATCGACATGAATTCCGTTTCAGCGATGGCCCAGACCGGCCTACTCGGCCAGTAGATGGACAGATCAGCCAACACCGCCCAGCATTTAGACGATTCGCGCACGTTGTGCTAACTAAGTTAAAAAACAAACCCAAGCCCCAAATCCAACACATACCCATCATCCATATTATGCACACGATAAAATCTTGTTTTAGTTATTATGCTCCTTAAGTTTAGCATTGAAATGAAACTTTGATGTCTGTTAATCATATTATTGTGTATTATGAAACATATATACCTATACCTATATATATATATATACATATGCATATATATATATATATAAATCTATTATAATGTTGCCTAAGTCAAGACTATACCAATAGTTAAATTTTAGTCTAGGTTGTAATCAATATAAACATTTATAATTAACAATATGAGAGCATTTCAGACGCGAATGGGCATCTCATTGTAGGACTGCACATCGCCCGATATATAGCCGGCACAGACTAACCATAATGCGGCACGAATGGTGCCCACAATAGCGTACTCTGATTCCAGTTGCTGCAACAGTGGCATCAGCAGGCCAGGCAAGGCGCCCAGGCCATTGGAGATACCCATCAGGGTGCCGGCGAAATTAGGACTCATGTCCAGCGGGAGCAGCTTGATGCCCGCATAATATGCACCAAATGCCAGAATGATCCATGAACGTGCGAAGGATTCCTGGTGATGCACCAAATGCATGGAAATGCTGACAAAGACCAGCCAGGACATTAAACGTCGCGTCTGCGTCCGACTCAATATGCCCTTATCAATCAGATAGTCACTCAACGATCCGGATATGATCGAGGCCAACCAGCTGCACAGATGAGGCGCAATTAGCTGCAAACTGGACTCGAGTTCCATCCATATGGTTTTGCCATTCCTTTCCAGTTCATCCAGGAGCTGTACTAGCTCTTTGGCCAACTTCTGTTGACTCCAGTCGTGTTGCATATTGGCCACGACCAGTGCCCAAATGGGTGCATTCATGAGCATGCTGCTCCAGGGCACATTTCCACTGGCCCCCGCATCTTCATTCACCAATGTTGCGCTGACCTGGTCTCTGATGTAGTCCAGCTCGCCGCTTTCGATATAAGGCGAGGCATCCGGACTGCTGTAACAGACCAAGACCTGCCGGAGGTAGCAAGGAAGAGATCAGGAGATAATATTGGGTAACAGAAGGCACCACCTGATGTTCCCAAATACTTACGAAACCAACAAACCAGAGCAACGCACCACTGCCAACTACATAGAAGGCCACAGCCCAATCCTGATCGTTGAGCCCAAATCCACTGACCAGATGCGTGAATGTGGTGCCAATTTCGCCACCACTTAGGACACAGCTACATAGCAGTGCGCGCTCCTTCTCTGGCACCCATTGGGCCAGCAAAACGCTAATCGCTGGAAATGTTGGCCCCTCGCAGACGCCAATTAGCAGGCGCAGAAAGATCAGGGCGTTGGGGCCACCATTGCGCACAATTGTTGGCGTCAGCAGCGTCAGCATTGCTGACAATAATATGGAGCCACCCAGAATCCATTTGCCACCGTAACGTTCCGCCAAACGGCCGCCAGGAATGTGGGTAATCATATAACCTGCATAGAAGGATATGGAGACCAAAGCTTGCACCTCCTTTGACCAGATATCGGTGCTGTTCGACGTAGTAATAAAAAGATTTTGTGGCAACTTAATTTGCAGTGTGTTTTTGTGTTGCGGTTGATTTGTAGGGCTTCCGCCTCCCCTTTGCCTTGTCGGTGGATTGCTGGGGCTGCCCAGTTCCAGTTCTCCTTCCACCTTCAACTTGTTGGAGTCCCGCACAATACGCTGGAGTGTGAAATCCAAGCACAAGCGTATTGCATAGGCATTGATGACGGCCAATAAGCTGAAGCAGCAAACAACCAATCGCTGCGTCACCTGCAGATCTGTTGCATTTAGTTATAAGTTGGTCGAAACCAGGACCTCATTTCCCTTCCTTTATTTTTGGTACTTACGATTAAAGAGATCTCGTAATATGCATTGTATCACTGGCAGCATTATAAAAGAAAATTATATTTAAAAAAAGAAGTAATAATCCTATTTAAAAACCACAACTAATTTATATCATATCAAAACAATGATTTCAATGAGTTGTTGTTTTTCAAGATATTGCCTCACAATACAAGACTCGTTTTAATTGATTTACGCACTTTATTTGGACTAACATTATAAAAACAAATATGCTTCAACGATAGCGTAAAAACAGATGCATTACACATTGATCAACAATTTAAAAAAATAATGCCATACAATATTTAAATTTAATTTTACACTTTACATTTTGCATTTTGCAGTACAAATTAGGTACATCCTAGACTAAAATTGAATTTCGTTTCGATTAAATACTAAATAATAATTAAGAGAGTAAATTTCTGCAATGGGGCATGGAGCTGTGAACTGGCTTGAGGTGCGACAGGGGAGGGGAGGGGGACGGGGACGGGGGTTTTGTGGGAGATAGCAGAGCCATCCTACGTATTTCGGGATTAAAAATTAAAGCTTAAGGAACTGCAGCTGAATGCTTATAGATTAACATTTATATATATATATAGACAGCGCACTGGGGGCCGACATTTTGGCATACTATAAAACTAGCAATTGCAATAGGTGATCGCAAGTTGTACAAATCCGTGTTATATAATACAAACATACATTAACAATGTCTTCGCGGGCGGTAACCACAACAAATTCGCAAAATTCAACGGTTGCACACGCATTAAAACTGATATAGTACATATATTGTAAATATGATATGAACTAGAGCACAACGTTAATAGTTATGGCACTTTTGGTTACTCAGACTCTAGGAGCTGCGCTCCAGGGGCTTCATTTTATGCTCGGATTTACGCTCCTCGGCCTCATAGTCAACGCTGCGTGGCTCGATGGGCGCGTTGTTGAAGGGCTGTATCTCGCCGGATGCCCAGATGCAGTAGATGACCGCAGTGACGCAGAGTACACCAAAGGCCACCCAGAAGACAGTTCGCCACTCGAGCAGCGAGGCATTTGGTGTCATAACACCTACCAGGTATGGCGTAATCACACCCGTAATTGCACCAATGCCATTCGTAATGGCCATCAGAGTGCCGGCATAGTTGGGACTCATGTCCAGCGGACTGAGCTTCATGCCCGCATAGTAGGCTCCCATCAATCCCATGCAGATGGTGAAGAGGACCACGACCAGGGTGCGATCACAGCCGGCATATGAGGCGCCCACCATAAATATGGCCGGGCCAAAGGCCGCCAATCCTGTCATCATTTTGCGCGTATTTGTCGTATTCATAATGCCTTTACGAATCATCCAGTCCGCCACGAAGCCGCTGCCAACGGACACGATCCACATCATTATGTAGGGCAGGGAGGAGTACAGACCGTTCGCCTTGATGGAGAACTGCAGAACATCGGCCATATATTTGGGCAGATCCGTCACCATGATATAGAAGCCCCAATCGTGACCGATTTGAGCAGCAACCAACGCAAACATGGGCAGATTGGTGAGGATCGCCTTCCAGGGTGTGGGTGGCAGACTCTCATTGCGACCAATGCTGCCGATCTCCTTGATGAGATACTCACGTTCGCTGGGCTTGATAAAGGGATGCGAGCTGGGATCGCTGAAGCACAGGAAGACCTGCAACATAAGATAGACTCCTGATTAAACCTGATTAAACTAGGAAAATAATATTTCACTTACAAAGATGACAAACCAAATAACGCCAAGACCGCCGAAGAAGTAGAACACAAATGGCCAGTCGTAGGCCTCGAGGAAGACGCCCGATAGTAAATTACCCATAATGGTGCCCACTTGGCCACCGCCAAGAACCAAAGCGCCCAGTTTGCCACGTTCGTTGGCCGGCACCCATGCGGCTAGCAGGACACTCAAGGCTGGGAATGTGGTACCTTCGCCCAAACCCATCAGCACACGGGTCACAATCAGCCAGTCGGAGCCACCCAAGTCGATGGCCAGCGGTGTTAGCATGGTAAATACAGCCGTTGAGAGGATGCCCAGGCCGAGAGTCCATTTGCCGCCAAACTTCTCGGCAAGGAGACCGCCGGGCACATGGGTGACAATGTAACCAATGTAGAAGGACGACAAGATCAGGCCCTGCAACTCCTCGGACCAGTTGTAATCGCCACTGCTGGCAGCGCCACCATCATCCAAATCATCCGCCTCACAGATCGCATGACCGCCATCCTCCGTTTCCGAGTTGTTCTTCTTGATCACAAGGACAGTGATGGCCTGGGAGAGACACACGCGCATCGTGTAGGCATTCAGGATGGCCAGAAAGCCCATGATGGCCAATATCACACGTTGTGGTAATATAAAATCTGTTTGCGAAAAAGAGGCGACATTTTTTTTGTAACCCCATTACACTTAATCAAAATCAATTAACAAAACAGTAAAAATACTTAAGTAGTAAAGTATTGACGTCAATCCGTTCGGAATTTGAGAATGTTTTTGCTTCTTTTTCTCTTTTTGGTAAAATATTCATTGTCTTTTTGCAAACTTAATTGAAGTAAAATATATTTAGCATGCGAATAAACCGTGAAAGTTATTCAATTAGAGTGGGCAAATCAATGTGAGCTGATAAATGGAAAATTGCATTTGATTGCCAGCTGATGTCTATATTTAAATCTATTTATATATAATGGTCATTTCAATTAGTTGGAAACGGATCCGTAATACGCCTGAGTACGTCGTGAGCATTGCGACTATAAATTTCTTGTTGTGAGGCAAATAAAATAAATCATAAATATTTAGAAGCTGATGTATTATGCAAGAGTCAATATTGTTTTATGGGGCATTTGGAAATTGCTGGAATTATGGCAGTTAGAATCATAATTGGTTAAGTGAATTGATGTCTAGATAAGTTCAATTACCAAAGAATCGCGATAAGGTGCAATGTTAAAAATCCTATAAACATATACATATACTTATAACAAGTGTTCTTTTAACGGCCCATAAACCGCCGTTGTTTGGCAATTAAAATTGAACTCGACATATTTTTGAGGCCCTAAAATAGTCGCAACAATTAACATTAACAGCAGTCCAATAAATACCCAACAAATTGTTATAGATTTCTATTGAATTGTCAACTTAGACATTTTGTTTGCATACTGAAGTTCCTTAATTCTTTTGTACATTGAAATGTCAAAATTTGAAGGTTGAATTAATGTAAACAAATTCGTTTTATTTTCATCAAGGGAGAGAGCAGACAAAATTTGTATTAAGATTAACATTTACCCAGCTTGTCGTACTTAAACCATCGAAAAGTGATATCAACAACACGTTCATTAGCACATTATTATAATGAAGCCGTACCTCCGAGTATAAAGCACACGAAGAGCCAACAATGGGTTTTTTTTTTATCGCAAACCAATTCATGACAATATTATTAGAGCAAAAAAAAAAGAACATTTTTGATGTTCAGATTGTCACAGCCGTAATTATCCACGCTTCACTCATCAGCAGCTCCAAATAAAAAACTCTAGATTCCAGACCAGGTTGCTTTATACACAATTCATACAATGTGCACACTCAGGCAGACCTGGGTTGATTGTCATGTTAATGTTTGCATAAAAAGACAATAATTTTTATTAGTGAAGCGGTTTCCCTACAATAAAATGTAAAGACGTCACTGATTGCCAATTCAATTAGTATATACATATATATATATATATAATTAGCATACATAAATATATCAGTTGCAGTGGAGCTGACAATTTAATGATGTCTCAATATTTGCCATTTTATTTAACAAATGCTTTAACTAAAAGCCGACAACTGATAAAAATTTACAACCAACACGATTCTCAAATACAAATCAAATAATTGCTATATGACTGTATAATACTACTTAAGCAAAAATCGTAGATAATGTCAATTTTCATATCAGAGACGGAATCCGCGCCTAGTATATATTTTAATGCGACGCTAATCGTATCTACGAGTGTGACTCTCGAGTGTGGTCGAAATTAACTCGACTAATCTCGATTAGGTGTCTAAATTGAAGATATAGTAGCTTAATGAATAATGTCTACATACGTATACGTACATATGCGTGTGCTAATTACGAAATCATTCGGAATCTTGATGATTTGTGAGTAGACATATCCGGAAAGATATTGTCCAACATTAACTGACATTTACAGATAAGCGTTGCATGATTGATTTTTATTATCGACATTTATATATATACATATATATATATTTATATATACATCTCAACAGCTTGTAATCGTTCTACATGCGATAATAAGACATCATTTTTGCACAATTTCTTTGGACATGCTCATATTCGCATTCACTCTTGCGAAAATTAAGCACGAGGCTAAAGTACGACTTGTACTTACATATATGTCAGATATACATTCGAGTTCCAATTTGAGATCGGACAGCGCATGGAAAATTTGTTTTACGCTGATTGCAAGTTCACAAACTCCAAGCCTGGCACGGAGTTGGTGAAAGTGTGGCTGAGGCACTTGTTGTATAAGCAACTGCTCAACAGAATCCAAGAATCTGTCCTACACTAGCCTAATGATAAATCCATAACATGATGGATGACACATGATGGATTGCCAGTAATAAGTGTCAAGAGGCCCATTCCATTCCACAATATACAAATACTTAAGTACCTAACTCACGTTTACAGACAAAAGTAAATATAAAAATATAAAAAAAAATAACCGCAAAAACATTTCCAAAACTAAAAAATATTATTAACAGTTTTTTTTTCACTTGTTATTTATTTACGGTGCAAATAACAACAAATTCATTTGCATATGACAAATAACAAACCTATAAACAAAACAAATATATAAATTACGGCTCGAAGCGTTACAACATTTTCATTTCTCGCCGATAATTATATGCAATACACATTCTTTTAGAAGAAATGATTGCTCAAGAATAAAATACTTATTATGAAACGTATGCGACATAAGCAGAAAGAGGGAAAAATGGAAAAAGCGAATTCTTTTATTGCATTGACCTTGCCCAAAAACAATAGAAAGGAAACGAGCGATGGCTCTATAAGGAGGTCAAACTACCGCTAGCCCCAAAAGAAAAAGACGAGATTATTTTTATTGTTTTAAGAAGGAGTTACAGCACTTCAAAGCTTTTTAGATTCGATTAGAGAAAGCATTTTTCCCTCACGAAGTTTCAATAATATCAAATCAGATTTACTTATCCAGGCATTATTATACATAACATATGAAATCGTCTGTACATATCTGCTATAGTACCACTATAATACAGATTTCGCTACACACTCTTAGGCAATTTTGGATTGAATTTTTTTAAACTAATTATATATTTTTAGATTTTTTAATAGATATTTAAAATGATATTTTGGACGCTGAAGCAGTTTAGTTCATTATACCGAAATGTTTACATATACTCTAAGAGACGAGAAGTCTATTTCATTTCATTGTCATGATAAAAAATCAAGATATATACAAGAACAAATGATCATATTCTGTTGACATCCCGGTAATAAATCCATCTAAAAATTACCTCTAAAAAAAAAGTTGTCAGTCGACGTTTTAAAGATAATTATCTGTCTGGCCTGTTCTATGATAACACAAAATTTATTCATAGAATTATAAATTTGAAAACTAAATTAAATGTGTACCCTACGAAAATGCGTAGACAGCCATAGCTGTCTAGAAGAACAAGAAGTCTCTGAGTCGAGCTATATACATTCTTATACGTATATATTTTTGATCATATGATTTCGACTTCTTCCGAATATTATGTTCGTCATCGTCTCGCCTTTCGTTATTCAAATGCTAATTGGGTTGTTCGGAAAGGCATCATTTGTACATAGAAATAGTCGAATTAAGATCGATATACCGAAAGATTATTGATGATTATGTTGACGCGTGCCTGGCATAATTAAGCTAAACAAAAAGCGCAGACAAAACAACCAAAACTACAAAAAGATCAAACAGCTTAGTATCCGTAACCAAAGCATGTACGGAAAAAAGAAAAAATAACACAAAAACTGAATCGGAAGTGCAAATGCAGAGAAATAAAAATGGTTTGTCATTGTTTATTATACGATATATACGATGTATATATATGTTGATAGATAAATACATACATATATAGATTCATAAATATATAGTTATAAGCTATGTAGACTTTATATACTTAAGTTTGCATTTAGTTTTGTTGCTGTTGTCGGTCAATGTCGGTTAAACAATAATTAAAATAATTTAACAATGTTGAGCTGGAGTTCAATGAATTCGAATTCCAATGCGAATTTGAATTCACAATTCAAAGCACAACACTCCTCTCTCAAAACACACATGCACACACACACACATCATTTTGTTGTGGGATTCTTGTTGCACTTACACTTTGATAAACTTATGCCCCATTGTGGTTGTTGTGTCATCTCGACTGTGTTCTGTTGCAACGTTAATAAGTTGTTCAGTTCCTTCGCCACGGTTACAAACAAGGATAAACTGAGTGCGGCAAACAACTGCAGTTACACTCGCCACACACTCACACAGGTCCTTGCTGGCTTACACCTTTCTCTCTCCAACACTTTTCACTTTTGGCACGCACGCGCAACAACAGGACTGACAGCGAAAGTGGGAGAACGACAAATAGACAAAGACGGCGAAAGAGTGTGTGAGAGAGATAGAGAAGCAGAAACAGAAACAGAGTGGCAGAGAAAAACCGTACGCAACGACAACTTAAATAGTACTGCGGACCGCGAACGAGAGTGGAATGTGCAATGAAAACGCACTGGAATCACGCACTTCTTGTAGTTTCTTCCTCTTCTGCTTCTACTCTTTCTGTATTTGACTCGTTTCTCGCTTTAGCGGTTTCTACACCACACGATCTTCGCGCTTTTTTTGTTCTGCCCACCGCGCACGTCGGCTGTTAAATTTCAAATGAGAAATTATTTCCACTGACTTTAGTTTATATGCGAACAGATAAGCAATGCTGCTGTTGCTGCTGCTGCTGCTCTGCTGCTGTCGCTGGAGTTGCTGCTGCTGCTGACGCCGCTGGCAGCGTCGATCGTCGAATAAGCTGCGGCAAGGAATCGTAAGCTTGTTGTTCCAAGGAGCTTTGTTCATTTTCACACTTCATGTGACTGCGAATGTAATTCGATTGGAATCTGTGTAGAGTATTAAGTGGTTTTTTTCGTGAATCATAAGCTAATCGTACACGCGCAACAGGTACCCCCAATAAGTGAGTATGTAATAACTCATACTACATATATATATATATACACTTATATGTATGTGTGTGTGCTTAACTGTAGCATAAAGTCATTAAACTATAAAAAACGGGTATTGTTTTTTGAGAACTAAATTAAAAAAAAAAAACAGAGCATGTTCAAAACGAAATTAAAAACACTGTACACTTAATCTTTATAATATCCACTTCAGATTATTTACTTAAATAAGTCATAATCTACAGTGAATAGTTTGTAAGAATAATATAATCAAAGTAGAAATGGGCATAGTTTCAAATGATAAGTGTGAATTCGCAATTAGATAAACAGAATTTCTTAGCTCGTTAATAGAGTATTCAACGCGTCTAATCACGATTACAATCTCAAATCACTTTTTATTTTTTTTACAAACTTAGTCAAAAGTTGTAAGCAGCTATTTGGGGTTTTTTTTTTGCCTTTGTGCAATGCAATTAACTGATGTTGAGTGGGTTTCTAGAGGCGGCAGAGAGGGAGGGGGAGCAGCTTCTAGGAGGGTGCTAAAGTGAATGGTTTTACTTTAAGTCGACTCAGCACGCTATATTCGTATTCGTATATATATTATATAAGTAGATTATATGCTTTGAAAATTCTAGCCGCAATTGATTTTGCGTTTTTTTTTTTTATAAAACTATTCTGCATTTAAGTGAACAATTGCGGTCTAATGCGGTTGAGATGTAATGAATACTCACATATATTCAATTTATATAAATAATTATATATATACATATATATACTAGTAGTATATGTATAATTAGTAGTTGTACTAACTCAGAGTTTCAGCCCAAATCGAAATGAGCGATCTTAATGGATGATCATTGCCAGCTGTTGACGTTTATTTAGGAAACGTGATACGTTTGGCAAAAAATAAGATAAAAGCGTTTGTATTTCAGTATGCTTTGAACTTAAATACCCATAGTATAAATACTTATTACCACAAATATGTGTGAATAAAGGCATTTACACATGCTTACAATCGACTTTAGATTATTGAATCTCGAATCTAAACAAATAAACGTCATATTGTTAAATCGCAGTTAACCAGCACTTGGGAACAGTTCAGTGTTAGATTCAATGTACATTCTCTGAATATAGTATTTAGTATGTATATGCGTGTATAATGGGCATACCAGGTTTATCAGTGAACTTTTTGTTGTTGTTTTTGGTCATTTTTTTTTACATATGCTTTCTATTATCAATGGCACACTTTGTCCAGACTGCAGAGTTAAATATACAATTGAACTCAAGAGGCCTGATAATCCAAAGCTGTTGGAAGAAATGCACCAAAGTTTATGGCATATGTGACTTGGATTAAGTTGTTAAGCAATAAAAAGCAACTTCTACGAATTTGCTTTTGGCAATAATACATATTAATTAATAACAACGGCCGTTAATTAAACAAATTTATTAATTGTAAATGCTATCAGCACTTTTATTTATGGCACTCACAACTCCCCGCCAACATACCGACCCGACCGATGTGTGTTTAATGAATGTCGACAGCTTAAATTAATGTGCATACAATTCACATCAGATCCTATTCCATCATCTCACATTGCCCACGCATGTGATATAATCCGATGATACGATCATATCACACATTTGGGAGCTATGTGTGTGCTCTGATCTTCAATTTGGTGGCTCTCTTTTTAATTGGCCGGCAAGTCAACGAAGCAGCCATCATATCATAGTACCAATCCGCAGCATGGGTGTCTGCAATTGAAATTGAATTGTTTGTCAACACATATATTAATTAAAAATTATGCCAAATATTAATAAGAAACTAACGCTTTCCAAGGGCTTAACGAAATTGGTATACCCTTGCCAACATACTAAGTGCCAAATCCAATAAATTAAAAACATAATCTAATTTTAATGCGTAACTTTAAAAATAAAAGAAGTAATATTAATTAATCATTTTTATTGCCAAAGCAGATTTAAATTAAACATATCTAATACGTTATTAAATAGGTAATCCCCCCCAAGAAAAACAAAAAAAAAAAACTCATGCAAAAAGTCGGGCGTATTTACATGTAAAGCCAAAAATCCGGCTCAAACCGCACGCCGAGTGTCCCTGACCGAAAACATTTCCGGCTCAAGCTGGTACGTCTTTTATATATATATATGAATGTATATATATAAGTCAACAATAACAACAACGGAGTACTGTCCATACCCTCAATATCCAACTTGCAACTTGAGTATTTTGTGTTATTTATTCGTACAAATTAATTGAAGCGTACGAAATGAAATGCCATTCGTGGATGGATGCGGCCAGAGTTTTGTCAATCAGTAGAGTGCGGACTGTGACCTCTGAATTTCTGAATTGATGGAACTCACACAAACACATTCGAACTGAAATATAGCTATTCAATAGGCGCCGGTCAATTAAAACCCAACTCGAAGGCGCTCCACATCAGCGCCGCAACTCTTTTGGGCGGGGGCACAGACGCCTCTGTGCTGGCGAATTGTGTTGCATCTATATTTTGCAACAGGACAAGCTGCAGATGCTGTCATAAGAATGCGCTCTTGATTAGCTTTTAAGGGAAATTATGGCTCAATGCACCCCAGTGGCATAGTGCCATTTAACAATCAGATGTCCAAGTGTCAACCACAGAACGCAATTCCATTTGTATTGCGGCAGTGGAGCGCCAGCAGCTGGAGCACATCTTGTTCAATGCGTCTGTTGTACAGTGTATGAGTAATAATAATCTCAATTAAGGAACGACGTGATTCCCTGCAATGTGTGACTCTTTCAAGGCCAATTTCAGGCAGCTCAAGGCAAGTTCACAGATAAACAAAGCGCCTGACCTTGACTGAGTAGGAGTGATAATATGAAAGGTTCAACAGCCATTTCTCAAAATATATATCAGCATTTTGCAATATATATGGCTAATCCCCGAGTTGCTGCTGCATATACTCTGATATTCATAGGGAGTTTTTATGAAAAAGGTGTTTTACTCTTGCACTTATTACTCAATATTATAAAGGACTATATACGAGAACGGAACGTTTCCTAGGGAAATATGTTTTCGTCTCGGAATACACAGAAATCCTTAACCCGACAAAGATTCTCGCATTCGCTCAGAAATTAGGGTTGACTGGAAAGCTATGGGCTCATAATATATTTAGGGGCATAATATATATAACAGTTATATAAAAGTGTTTATAGAACTGTATTTTAGCTGTTTTTCAATTTTTATATGCACTCATATTCACAATAAATCTGGTTTTTATAGCTAACAAACGGCTTAAGCGATTTGAAGGTAATATTTTGTTGGATTTTCCAGACCACTTCTAAACATTTTAAATTTACATATATGGATTGTATATACATTAATATATGTAGATAAATTGAAATATACGAAAAATTCCCTTAGCCGGGTATTTTTTATAAATGAAGCATTGAAAAGCATTACACGGTTTTTTTTAGAAGTAGCACAAAATCTATGTAAGGCAATACAAGATGCAATTGTGAGTTTTACACTGTTTTCAGAACGATAGTAATTCAAGAGACTAATTAACATTTTCGTTTCACAATAGCCGAGGCAACAATGACAGAAACCAGTTAATAAACAGTCATATAATTAAAAATAGTTGCTTTAAATTAATCGAGCACTTGCCGCACAGCTTTTGACACTTTGAGGGTCACTATGCCAGGAAAACCGACCGCAACCACAGATTCTTGGTGTTAGTTGGCAGCTGGCCATTAAATGTGCATTAGTATTAGGTTTAGTATTAGTCGTGGTCACGAGACTTGAACTACTTTTGGCTGGAGTGGCTCAAGTACCTGGCGACTCAATCTCTAAAGAGTTGACATCAGTTGAGTGATTTCCAGGGGCGCCAACGTATTGAAGGCTGTCAAGTTAATTGATAACCATGTCAGTGTGTGTGTGTGTATGTGTGTGTGTGTGTGTGCGTGTGTGTGTGTGTGTGTGTATGTGTCTGGGTTTGAGTCGGCCAATGTGTTTTGATCTTTACCCTGCATTTATGTTGGGTTATTTATTTTTTTCTAGTTTTTTATTCCTTCTTTTAGCTTTTAGCAATATTTGTAGATTGGCATTATCTTAACTAATGTACAAGTCGTAAACGGAGCAAACTGCTATCTTAAATATAGCATTTACAACTGTACTATTATAATACTGTCTAATCTTTATAGTGCCACCGACTTTGTACCAAAGGCAAAAGCATTTTACCTTATGAAGGTTCTCGCAGATAAGATTGCAGATTTGTACTAACGTCAGGAACATGGTGAATCTATATGGGATACTAAATGTATATATATATATATCGGATATGCATAGTAAATCTTGGCAGCATGTGACTCATTTTATTGAAGTCGCACGCTTCCAATCCAAATTTTTGGCCATAATTCGTTTTGTGGGTGCGTCAGCTAATTTAGTAATATCAAAATACCACAATTGCTCGAGCAGCTCAGTTATGGTTCAATATCTTTATTAAGCCTTTGTTTTAATAATACAAAATGCATATTCGTATATGGCAAATTTCCCAAACATTTTAAAAACTTTTTAAATGCCCTAATTATATATACGAGTATTCAGTGCAATTTCATTTTATAAATACATAATAATAATATGATAAAGAAATTATCAAAAAATAAAGACACAAGCAGCTGGTTAAGGGGAGGCATATTAACATGCATATTCCAGTTTTATAATAACGTACATATATGTAAATGTATATTTTGAATGCATGCAAATCTGTATAATCATTTCGTGTTCGAAACTCATTAAAAGTGTGAAAAGCTGTAAGAACCTTAAACAAGCAAAGACTACACGACCTGGGCCGGCTGTCAAGTGAATTAAACGTTTAATTGTGACATTTTTTAAATATTTGCTCGAGACTTTTTTGATAAACACAGCCGGATTCCAACTGGAGGAGGCGGGGCATTTGAACAAAGCGAAAGCCGAGACAGATGTGTGATGCACAACAGTTAAAAGAAAAATAAATAAATACATATAAATTTAGCTGGCAATTTATAAGAACGGAAGCAAACGGCACTTGTACAGACAGCGACAAGTTGTTTCTCTTGAAATGTGAGTGTGCCTTGAAAACGGATATTTATTTAGAGTGTCTATCGAGTGGGTGAACTCGACAGATGAATAGATTTCCCATAATCCCTGTGGCAATCATTTCATGCCTCAGGCAGGTTGACAACCACAAATATGTGTATGCAAACAGAAACTAACTAACTCAAACACACTCACACATCCATTACAATAAGTACTCATATAATGAAACAAATTGACTTCTCAGGGGTGGTGCTATTATTGTTTGTCCGCTCTTTTAAATGCCGACAAACAAATAGTAGCCTAGAATCCGCATTGATAAGATTAGGCTTACAGAGGGCATGGGAAAACCCGCTAAAGAATCTTTAGCAAGATGTTGTTTATGAGATGTAAACACAAACTATATCAAAGTTGTGGAAAATTTATGTTTGATAATTTACGCACATTTATTAAAACGCGCATATTTATGAACGATTTTTATATATTTCGGAAGAAGAAAAAAATCACCATTGCTTTCAAAATAGTGATTCGTCTTATGAGTGTCATTTAAATGGGCTATCAGATTATTCAAATATTTTGTTGTGTCTAATGAGCGGTGTAAATACCGAGAGTCTTGATCCCTTTTTACGTATTTTAATTGTCGTCTCGTATATGCTTTGTTAAAGTGTAAACAAAATTCAAAATTTGCTGATAACCGCAGTGAAAGTGAAAATACGCCCAATTGCATCGCCTAAATGAGCAATTAATGAACTCAGATTACCTACGGACTGTCATTGTATAATTAATGTTTTAAAATAATACGTTTTTTGGTTGGTGGTTGGTTCTTTGAAATAACAAAAACATGACATTGGTATGTGCCGCCAGTCAACGAGCCGGAGCCAAGTGTTTTCACAGCATTGTTGATGCCGCCGGCCTTTTGAACTCGACACACATAAATAGCGTATTGCTTGGCCGTTGACCTCTCGACAAGCGGTTTTCTAAATGTCCAGCAATCAGAATTTTAACCTTTAGTCTGTAGTTTAATTGTGAAAGTATGGGTGCCGTTTTTATATGTGCAACGTGACATTTCTTACTAGTTGAAGTATAATAAAAATTTTATAAATTTAAAATGTTATCGTTTAAATGGCCACTTAACAAATGATTTGCGCGTAGTATTTTATCGCAAACCAAAAATAATCGATTTAATTTTATGGTATTTTTTTAGGCAAGGGTCACTCTTTTGGCTCAGCTGATAGTGCTGGGAAACAACCACCGACTATATCGAGCTAGAGATGGCAGCGTGGCACGTCACGTTGTGTCAAGCTGCTTTAAACGAGTGATTTGCATTGTTTGAAAATAATTAGCAATATCAAATTATACAATGTATGGCGAACACATTGAAAAAATAAAGAAACCATCATTAGTAAAACTGATTAAAATCGTTTCTGTTTTTTTTTTGGAAGTCTTACGAACAAATTGCGCGTTGGTTCGTGCTTACTGTCTGTCGTGATAAAACATTGCGAGCCATGACCATCTCTACATTTGCACATTTAGTTTTGTTATTGTGTTGGATCTACTTTTATAGTTGGAGGCGGATGTTGCAGACTTAGACATGGGTGATATCGATGATGCGATATGGCTAGAAATCGGTATTAATCCTCAACACGTTGTGCGTGAGTCAGATGAAGGTCTCCACAAGCTAATATGCGACAAGGCCTGGCTGCAGTCGCTGGAACGACATCGCCAATTGACACACTTCACACACTGGCCACAGCTGGACAGACGGGCGCATCCCACTGGACAATTGGAGCATCCATGGACACGCCTTCTCGTGCAAACATATCGCAAGCAGCCGCACCGCAAAGTCTATCCACTGCCCGTCCGCGTCACTGCTGGAGATAATACGCAATTCCCATTGAGCTACTCGCAGGCCGTTTCCACTGTGACTCACCTCAATTTTAAGCAGCTGTGGGAATCAGCCTATAAGCAGTATGCGGGCGCCCATGTCAAACAGTGCAGGTCGAGTACGAGCACAACGCAATCCAAACAGCTACCACAGACCAGCTATACTGGTGGCGGTAGCTTTCAGCCACATGATGTGGTGCTCCGCGAGCTAATTCAGCGGATATACAATTGTCCTGTACTTCAGTGTCAACAGGATGGGGATGGCGCTGCTGGCGCCGATGCGGATATGGCTGGCGATTGTCATGCAAATGTGCTGCCCGCTCTGGCGGCCATTGAGACGAGCGCACACTTCTGCGTGATTCATTATCCGCCGGCGCTGGAGTGCAGTCTGTATGACTGCATCACCTATAGTCCAGCACTGTTGGGTCGGGGCTACAATAAGACGCTGTTCATCATCTATCAACTGTTGCAGCTGTCGAAACACTTGGAAGCCCAAGGCCTTTTTCTCGGCGATCTGCGGCTGCAGCATGTGATGTTGCGTGAGAATCTCTGGCTGCAGGTGATGCCGCGCCTGCAGTGCAATCTGCTGCTGGGCGAGCAGTCGGCAGCGGTGGACATGTCACCGCTGAGCTGCCCAGAGCTTCCGGAAACGCCGGAACCGCTGCCATCCAGCAGCACCATCGATCTCAAGCTGGCCTACGATCCGGCTCAGTTCAATCTACGCGAATATTGCGAAATGTGGTGCAACGGACAGTTGTCCAACTTTGACTATCTCACCATACTGAATAATGCGTGCGGCAGGAGTCTGACCAATGCCGCCCATCATCACATTATGCCGTGGGTCACGGACTTTGCTGCGCGCAATGGCCTCAACTGGCGTGATCTGACCAAGAGTAAATACCGCCTGAACAAGGGTGACATCCATTTAGATCTCATGTACACGCATCCCACGCAGCATGCGCCGGCTGAGGCAGTAACGCCTGTGGAGCAGCTGCAGGTGCCGCATCATGTGACCGATTTTCTCTCCGAAATCACGTATTTTGTGTATATGGCCAGGCGCACACCTCAGTCGATCTTGTGCGCCCATGTGCGACCCATTTGGGTGCCCGCCGAGTACCCGGTGTCCATACAGCGTCTTCAGGAATGGACACCCGATGAGTGCATACCCGAGTTCTATTCGGATCCAATGATATTCAAGAGTATACACGAGGACTTGCCCGACCTGGAGCTGCCCTCCTGGGCCACATGCCCGGAAGACTTCATATGCAAGCATCGCGAAGCCTTGGAGTCGCAGTACGTCAGTGAGCGACTGCATCATTGGATCGATCTCAATTTTGGGTACGTTTTTTAGAGTATTTGACTATTATATTATGTTATATTTAATCCTATGCTTTTGCAGCTACAAATTAAGCGGCAAAGCGGCAATCAAGTCAAAGAATGTCTGCCTCAGCCTGGTGGATCAGCATTGCAATCTCAGCCAGCGCGGCATCGTGCAGCTCTTCACCCAAGCCCATCCGCCGCGTCGATATGCCTCGCCGTGGTTTAATAGAAGTGCGCCCAGACTGTCGCAGCTCTATGGTAATAGCAGCGCCTACATCAGCAGCACTGGCAACAGACGACTCGCCAAGAGCAGCGAGAACCTGAACGCATCCAGCCAGAGCAACAACAGCTGCTTGGATAACAGTTCGCCTCGGATGTCGTTGCGTCCGAATGATGAGCAGACGACAGGATCAAGCGCCAATTTCTATCAGATGACCAACTTTATTGAGCTGCCGGAGCAATATAATCCGGCACTGTTGCTGCAGCAATTGGAGACGCTGGAAACGTTTTATGCGCGCACCTTTCCACAGCAGCGCGCCTCAGCCAACCCCGAGGAGAAAATGATCAGCAGTGATCTGCTGTTCGAGCACAACTCGGCTGAGCATTCCTTTACGAATCAACTGTTTGCATTCGATGCGGCCGTGCAGACCAAGTCGAAGAACCTACTGGTTCCGCCAGTACGTCGCCAGCACAGTTTGCAGCAGCTGCTGGGCGATTGTCGGGAGCGGGAGCTGCTGGTGCTTGGCTGTCTGCATGTCGAGCTGTTTGCCATGCAGCGTTTGCGTCCGCTGCTGACGAGCAACGGGCCAAGTGCGAGCTTCGAATGTCGGCTGACTGCCTGCCGCACGCTGGTCCGCCTGCATGGCCAGGAACTGCCCAAGCCGGTGCGTCATGTGGTGCGACTGCTGCTGCAGCTGGAGAGCGATGTACCCGCCCAGGGGCTGCCAATGCCAACAAGTGCCGCCCAGTTGCTGGAGCCAATGTTCACCAATGCGCTGCTTCCATTCCCCAGTCACTATATAGCAGTCTATGCATTTGTGCGCTCCCTGCACGCCTTCCAGCTCAACTTTGAGCTGCTCGAGCTGCACACACATCTCAATTGCAGCGGCGGCAGTGAGTGTGCCCGCTACACTGAACTCGATCGCCAGCGAGTGCTCTTCGAGCGCAAGATTGCCGAGTGCAAGGTGATGGCGTCTTGTGCCCATCTACGCCGCTTGCTGGAACCCCTCTCCTTTGCCTATGAGCAGTTTGCTCCGGTAGAGTTGCTGCTGCCGCATATCATTGATCTGCTGCATGATGATCGCACCTCCATACTAACGGCCTGGAATCTCTTTGATCCCGTTGCCCAAGCTCTGGGCATTGCGCAGACCCAACAACATTTGCTGCAACCGCTGCTCAAGCTGTACGATGTGGAGAGCAACGCTTCAACAGATGATGCCTCGGGTAGCAGCAGCAGCAGCAGTAACAATAATGCTGGCCACCTGCGCTTCTCCTCCAGCAGCTCGTTCAAATCGCGCAAATCCGTGAAGCTCTATCATCACAGCTTCCTGCTGCGGCTGATTGTGCGCTTCGGGTTGCGTTGCTTTCTGCAGCATTTTATTGCGCCACTGATCGAAGCTGTCGGCGGCTACAAGGAGCCGGAGCAGGGTAATGGCTATCACTATCACAGTGGCGCCAGTCGACGCACCAGCAAGAATCTTAGCTATGCCGCCGAGGAGCCGACGACGTCAGCGCTGCTGCAGTCGGCAGTGACCAAGCCAGATGTTGAGGAGCTGTTCACGTTCGAGGAGGATCAGGAAAACAAATCGATTGACTCGTTCGACATGCGTCCCTCGTCAACGGCAATTGCGGAGGAGGCGCGTGAATCAGATGGCAGCTCACCCGACAAACTGGCCATCAATGAGTTGATGTATGGCGCCAGACTGTCGCCAGATAAACTCTCCCTACGCAGTCAGGGACAAACACCGCCGCCCACACTGCCAGCACCCGTCGTCATTGGACCACGCTCACCCACAATTGAGATACCAGCCAGTGGGATCAGACGTAGCTTCCAGCTGAGCGCTATCGATTGTGACATCGGCTCCCGCAAGAGCGTCGACAGCTTCGAGCTGATTAGCCAAGAGGCAAACGCAGCAGCCAATAACAATGAGTCAACGGAGTCGGCTCCGTTGCAAGCGGAGAACGAGGGAGCTGACTCATTGCAGGCATCGGTCATATCGCGCATCTCGGAGGCCAAAGCGCTGCAAAACAATCGCATCAGCGAGATGAGCGCCGAGAGTCTCGTCTGGCTATCGCATCGCCTGGGTCCAGTGCTCACTGCCCGCCACATCACTCGCAATCTGCTCAAGCTGCTCTCCCTCTGCTATGTCGGTCAGGAGAACCTGCTGCCCGAAATGGAAGCGGTCTGCTGCAGCGACTTATCACAGGATGCCTCCAATCTCAATTACTTTAGCATTGCCAACGCCCGAGTTGTAGGCGATCGCAGCGCGGCTCGCGTTCTCGAATGCCTCATGTCCATTGCTGGTAAGTCTGATAAGCGATGATGACATCATGCATTGATTCCACTTGTATAATTAGCTGGTTAGTCATTGCATTTAATTATCTATTTCCAACTTGTAATTAGCTGTTTTAACTCGAGTCTGTGTCATGACCAGCCCTTTAAATTGTGCATAGATTTTGTAGCCATAAAAAGTAGCAGGCAGCTCATCCTCAAAGCGATGTGTTCTCTACCTTTTAAAAATAATTGTAACAATTTGCTTACAACGGGCGAGAATGTAACTTAAGTCCAGCAAACCTTGGCCTTTCATTTCCAATTTTTAAAATTGACTTTATGTTCAGTTCATTAAATCTAATAGCAAATAGCAAATTGGACACGGACACTTTGCACAAAATTTATGCATATGCAACAAATTCAATCTGGATTTTTTTTCAGCTTGCTTTTATAAATATTCTTTCATAGAAGTCCTTTCTTCTCTCTATTTTATCAGCACTCTACGGCGAGAACTTTCTCCTGGTACAGTATTTACCGCACATTAGTGAACTGATTTTACTGTGCTCCAAGCGGATGACGGGCAGTCTGGAGGGAGCCATAATTAGTTCACTGCAGTTGATCAAATACATGCTGCCCTGTTTGATGGATGCCACAATAATGGAGCACTTGCAGCACATTCTGCTTGATGCCATTCTGCTGCCCATACTCCGGCTGCTCAGCTCAACCAATCTGCTGATGCCCAGTGGTTATTTGGGACGCTCGCTTTTGACACGCAAATTCCTGGACGCTTGCTATGCGTTGAGTGTGCGTCTGGGCTCGGACATGACGCGTGAGCATCTCTGCCAGTCGCTGCTCGCACCGTTCTTCCTAATCTTCAACAAAGCATTTGGTCTGCCCAACGATTTCAGCTGTCGTGTGGCCAATCTGTCGCTGAGCGGCGGTCCCGCCCAGCAGCAGCGAGCTCTGGAGGAGCTGCGGGACGTTTTTGGACCGGAGCTGGCCCATACCGCCTACTTGGCCTTTCTGCGCTTCCTCGGCGAGTCCATAATGCAGCGCACCCTGAGCAACATGGAATTTGTGCTCACGCTGTGCCACGAGCACGAGCAGCCCGTCGCTGGCCAAGACAAGGCGGGAGAGCATCGAGAGTCGTCGATAGTTAGCTCCGTGGATGTGCCGGATGCGGCGCCCTGCAGCGAGACGGCTGCGAATAGTTTTGGCACCCAAATCGTTGGCAATCGCCTGCAGGTGCTCAGCAGCAGCATGGAACTGCTCGATAAGGTTGCCTACAAGCTGGATCACATGCCCAGCACAAGGCATCTCAAGGGCAATTGGTTGGCCTACTGGCGACACGAGACGACGCGCAGCGACAAGGATAACCAGGCGCTGAATCTCAAGCAGATCCGTCTGCAATCCTTTGTCGGTCACACAAACTCGGTGCGTGCGATTTATGCGCTGGAGAACGAGAATAGCTTTGTGTCCGCTTCCAAGGATAAGACGGTCAAGCTGTGGTCGTTGCGCAGCGAGGGCGATGGACGCAAGAGCACCGCCTGCCAGTTCACTTACACGGCCCACAAGAAGTCGATCAACTCGCTCAGCTTCCTCGAATCGCTACGCTATGTCGTCTCCTGTGATTCGGGCGTGCATCTTTGGGATCCATTTATTGGCAGACCACTGGGCATATTGGATGCGCCCAGGCACAGTGCGGTCACCGTTGTCAAATGCTTGCCTTCGCATTCCCCCCTCGTCGTCGCCGGCACCGCCGAGTCGACGGTAAGGATTATCGATGCCCGCTCCATGCAGTATGTGAATGAGTGGCGCGTCTGTCATGCCGCCTTGCCAAATGCCACAGTTCGCTGCCTGGCGGTTGCCCCATCGGGCAATTGGCTCGCGGCTGGCCTCTCCTCCGGCGGCATTATGCAGCTGGACACTCGCACCGGCACTGTGCTCAACTCGTGGCGACCCATGGAATGCGATTTGCTGCAGTTAACGGCGCCCAGCGATCAGCTGCTCATCAGCTCGGCACTGGATCACAGTCTGGCCGTCTGGCATGCTCTCGACGGCATCCTCCACTATCAACTAAGGTTAGAGTTAGCTTTGAAAAGTGGGTCCATAAAATAAGACTTAATTTTTCATTGTATTTTGTTCTTTCTTAGACCGCCACCGGAACCTGCACATTTTCTACAAAGCGTTGGCTCTTCGCTGGTCTATGCGACCACGGGGAATCGTGTGGGCGTCTATGCAGATGTGGCCAACTCACATGCCCTGGACACCGTTACCAAACTGCGCTCCGAAACGTTTCGTGGCGTGCTCACCTCCCTCGCCGTGTTACCCCTCAATCGGGCCATCCTGGCCGGCAACGAGAGTGGGAATATTGCACTGCTCTGCTAGCCAAGTACAACAGCGTTATTCTTGCACATTAATTTACGTTTATATAGAACAGATATCGGTCTGATATATAGCAATCTGTATGAGCTCTAATTAAATCTCACCAAATATTATTTTAATGTACCTAAGGAAATTATTTAATATACTCAATCGGAACATTCGAACTCTTAATAAGTATCAGTTTAGGACAAGTGCTAGACGCTCTATTGTTGTCTACACACACAAATAGAATTCCACTCCAAAATGTTTATAACAAATATTAGACTTAAGCAATATTGTTTATATATTATTTGGTAGAGGTACTCCATTCGTTTGTATCATATAAATAAACTATTAAAATGAAACAAAAAATGAGTAGTATAAATTGAACAGCTCGTGGCTTCTTTATGCCCTTGTTGAACGAACTGTGCTGGAAGCTGTGACCAAAAGCGGAGCAAAAGTGAAACATGCTATGGGAGCACAGAACTTTAAAGACACACTCAATCTGGGTTTTGCTTTTGTTTTTGCTTGCGATGTTTTTATTTTGTTCGTAAATTTTTTCTCAATTTCCTGTTCCACGTTGCGACGACGCCTTGAGTTCGGCCAATGAACTTGGGACACTGAGTTAATCAACGAGTTGCGATCTCAAAGGCAACTACTCTGAATGTGTGTGTGTGTATGTATGTGTGTGTGTGTGTGTGTGTGTGTAGGATGTATACTAAGTATGTGGGGAGCGCATTGCATTTATTTTTGGGGCGACGCCTTGCAAAGCGACTTTCAGCGATGCGACGACATTTCTCGTGGCTTCTTTTTATGGCAACTTTTTGCATTGGGACTTTTTTCTTCTTATTTTATTTTATTTTTTTTTTGCTGATTTTATTGTTGTCGCTATATGCACTTTACGGGAGAGTCAGGGCGACGTATGCGTAAGACAATGATTCTGCGCGCTTGTTACAATGAGGATTTACAGAGGACAATAGTGCGTCTAACTCACAAGTTGGAGCAACTCCACCCAAACGACCACAACGACAAACCCAACGCGTATGCCTCCAGTGCATCTACGGTCTCGCAGTCTGCCCTGCCCCAAAATGCTGTCAACTACTCCAAATCGCATTGGGGGCCATCCCAAGCGATGCACCTTGAATTTAAGGAGTCGTCTTGGCCAGCATCCATGCGTAAATACAACAATTTACATTTGCAATCAATGAAAGCTCAAGCTGTTCCAAGTGAATGAAAGAAGTTGGCCTTGAGTTATGTTTTTGTTGCATGTTGCATGGAGATGGCTGCTAACATGCTGCAAGCGGTTCGCCATGGAATACGTTAGTTTCAAAGGGGCAATCAACAAAAATAAGGGTATGCAAGGCAAGTTGTGGGTAATAAGAATAAAGAAAGATGTGATTAATATTAAGAAATAATTGTTTGTCTTTTGATATAGCTTATTAGGGCAAAGACAATTACTAACAAAAAGTAATAGATAAGGTAGGTCAAGTACAAGTACAAGTACTTAGTTGGTGACGCACAACAACTGACAGTAGATGATAACACATTTTTGAAAATCAGAAAAGAGCAACAACAATCATGGAACACTGCCCCAGTCACGGCGTCAAACCAAACACTGAGTAGCTCAACACACATCAAACTCAAACGTCATGGTCACGCAATTCAAAAAAAAAGAGAGAAAAAAATAACACACAACACACAAAAAATACGTATCGCGACACAAAAGTATGCGGGGAATTTGAAATGTCCGAAGAATGGTTTTGCATGAAATTTCACTTACTTGCCCGAACAGGCTAGCAGCGCAAAGCAGACGGCATTGTTATGCTTGGAATGCTATGGCATTTGGAGTAGAGCGTGCCGACAGAGGGGCAACGCAATAGCAGCAGGGTTGCCAGAGCGCTCACGAGGGCCAACATGCTGTGGCGTGGCGTCCAGCGATCGAATATGGCAGCCCGACAACACTGCCACGAAACCGCAAGAATGTTGAGGTTGAGGTTGCCTCCGTAGACAAATTGTTCAGTTTGTTGGAGTGCACACAAGCTCCAGGGGAAATGAAAATAAAAAAGTATCTACTTATTTGCTGTGTGTGTGTTGCTATTTACATAGCCGGCAGTTTTACTTAACATGCGCACTGCAGCCTGCAGGTGCGAATGAACGGGCAACAGCGGCGTTGCCAGAGTAGCAGGAGCGGCAGCTGCGGCCGCACTTGCGGCGAGAGACAGTACTCAAAATGACAATGTTACCAACATACAAGCGAAAATTAACAGCAGGCGCACAGCAATTGGCGAAAGACGAACGCCTGGCCGCCAGTGTGGCCTGCTCATATTTATAAATTCATGACAGTTTATGCCATCAATTTTATAACTCACACCCGTTGCCGGGGGCGGCGAGTCAATAAATTCTCAGAGGCCGACTACGTATTTTATAGTCGCGCATTGCAGATCTGACATAATAACTAAGAGGCGCGCAGAATGCGTAGCTGCTGGTCTGTTAGCTACATAGACAGTCGAACTCGACGCCGCTGTTACCTACCACTACCCCAACTTGTTGGGGGGGAGGTACACGACTGGCGGGGTATCCACTCTCTCTCTCACTCTCTGTCTGTCTCACTATAGCTGAAGCGGGGCAGACGCTGCCGGCTGCCAGCTTTATTGTGTGGCTGGCCTTTGTGGGCGTTGCTGCATTCTATAAAATCGAATTTTTAACGTTCAAATGCTAACAGAGCAACAGCAATGGGCGTAGCGAGCATTTTTGATGTCTGCCTATCGATTTTCGTCATGTTAATTTTGGCGCGCTCGTTGCCTGCTAGTTAACAGGCGCCCACCCCATGAATTGGCATTACATATTAGGATTGCCAAAATAATAGCAAGACGATTAATGGGCCACACTACAGAGCCAGCAAAAGAGAGACAGAGAGAAAACAGTGAGTCTAAATGAGTGCAAGTGAGCCGCTCGACTGTTGTGAAAGTGAAGTGCAAGCGAGAGAGTAGCAAACTAATAAACATTTATGCCCAGTTGCAAACAGTCATGCGCAAGCAAGTGTTCAAATTCTACGATATAATGAATTTCGGCGAGTTTGCCAAACTGGAAAGGTATTTGGTGAGTGTGTGTTTCCCCTGTTACCTTGCCTCCCCTTGGCAGCAGCCCAATCAACGCTGCTAACAACCACCACTGCAAATTGGCAACTGGCAACAACACTCGTCGTTCAGCGCTCAGCGCTGCAGTGCGAGCGAGACAACAGCTGGGTGCTGGCAACATTGCTGGGTAGGCGGCAATTTGAAATCGTTTTAATTTCGAAAAATAAACTGCAACCCGCCGGTCGTCGAGTGCTGTGCGCCTGTTCGCAAACGATTAAATTCAGTTTAATCATCCACTAAACAGCTACGAGATACCGTTTCGTTCGTTATTATTATTATTACATGCAACAAGTCGGCCAGTCTCTCCATTCAGACAACAAGGGAAGCGACCAAACTGGCATCGGTCGGTCGAATCGTACAAGAGACCCACAGCCCATTAGCGTGTGTGCTTCTTACACACTGTATGAGTATGAGTATGAGTATGAGTACGTTGTGTTTGGAAGCAGTTTGAATGAATTGAGTGCGCAAATTGGATTATCCGACAATGGGGAGCACAGAGCACATCAAGCGAATGCAGCAGCAGCCCAGGCCTCAGCTACGGCAGAAACATCTCTAATCCCACTCTTACACACACATACTCATACACACACACACAATCATCACTTCTATTCACATTTGTCTACACGTATATATTCATCTCACTCGCACCTGTTGCTAGCTTTCTAACATAATTTCTATTGAGTTTTCATTGAAAATCTAATCGTGCTGTGTGAACGAGCATGCTGCTAAATCTCATGCAGACCTAGTAAAAATGTTTGTTGTTTCTTAAAGAGCAAGAAGAAGCCCCGGCCCCAGTGCGATGAGTAGTCGAATTCGACGAGTCTCGTGTTTGGTGTGGTCGGGTCGGGTTGGGTTGTGTTGGGTTTGGCGCTTGGTTGGTTGGTCGACGACGGTGTCTATTTGGCTGAACAGAACTGAACTCAACTGAATGTTGCTGGCGCACGAGTGAATGCTGCTCACAATCATCCGCTTCACTCTCCTGCCGTCTATCGTGCGCGTCACACAGATACACACATATACTGGCGCACAATCCAATCACTCGCTGCTGCCTTTTCTCAGCCAATCACGCTTTCAACTTTTTTGTAGAAATGTTGTAAACGGCTGCTATGCGCTCTGTTCGCCTGTTACCGTGTGGAACATTCGCTGAATTGAAACGCTGCTGTTGGCCACTCGGATTGGTTGGAAGTGCGCAAGCAACAAAGAAGCGCAACTTTTTCAACTTCCATTGCTGCTGCGGCTGCTGCTTGTGCTGGTGCTGATGCTGCTGCTGCTGTTGAGGCCCACAGTCAACTGGCGATTGCAACTGGCGCAGTCGCGATGTTTTTGTCGAATGAGAAATGAGAAAATTTGAATTGCCTTCTGGGCACACGATGTGCGAGTGAGTGGTGGTGGTGGTTGAAACGCTGTCCATTGATTGGGCATCTTTAAAAAGGCTGTGTGGACAATGTCCGCTGATGCTGGCTCTGCCATAGTGAATATTGCTCGAGTGCAAAGGCATTTGCTACCTTCGATCGCTAAAGTTATCGATCCTTTTCTTATTGTTATCCCTCCCAAAGTGTGCAAAATGACAGAGTCGATTTTTGAATGCCAACTTTTTTTGGTTTGTTTATTTTTGGAACTCTTTGCAGTTCATTGCGTGTGAGATATAGTCTATAGCTGTATTATTATCCCTAATTAATATCCATATCCAAGTCAAATCCATTAGTTTTGAACGCTCATAGCCAGCGTATCGCCACTCACACTGGCCACACTCTCCTGTCCGCCTGTGGAGCCAGAGCTAGCATATTGTTTCTCCCGTATGCCCAGCCAAGGTAGCCGACGTTCCAGTTCGAGGCGATACTTGGGATGGCTTGTGGCATACACCCAGGGATCGAGGCAGGACACCCCTTTGCAGGCCAATGCAGGCACCATGGTAACAAATGGCGTCAGCAACTGCTGCTCCCCAAAGCAACCAATCAATGCGACCACAGAATACGGCGTCCAGGCTATCACAAAGAGCATGTAGATAATCAGTGCTGCTTTGGCAATCCTCAGTTCCACACTCATCGATTCGTTGCTCGCATTTGCCGAGAGAGATTTCACATTCATTTTCTTGGCCTGTTCAGCCAACATCCTCTCATGGCTGCGGACATGGGTGAATAGCTTATAATATGAAGTAAGAACCATTGTCATCGGTATGGCATACGACCAGACAAATATGGTGCGCACAAACAAGCGAATCTCATCGGTGTTTGTCAAATAATCGAAACTGCAAGTCGTCAGGTATCCTTCTGCAAATTATAAACGTATAAATAGCATAACTAAACTGGAGGATTCAATGGCTCACCTGGCTTATATTGGCCCCAGATCTGAAAAAAGGGTAGCACCGAAAATGGTGTTGCCCACAACCAGGTGAACATAATACACATAATGATTTGTCCATAACTCAAGCGGCCATCAATTGGATTCGATATGGTCTTATAGCGATCGAATGCAATGAATGCATTTGTTATCGAGGCACCCATCCCAGAAATGCCCCCGCATACCGCATAGATGTCACAGCCCAACTCGCCACCGACCACATAGCCAACGGCAGCGTTGATCAAATATTGCGGCATATTCGTGCACATGAACAGATCAAAAACGGCCAGATTTAAAATTAACAAATTTGAGGGCGTGCGCAGGGACTTGGAACTGAGAGCAAGAAAGAAAATAGTTATTTTTTTAAAGAAAAATATTTACAAATATAGCATAAAATATTAAAAATCAAAACTCACGTCGTGAATATCCAGATGACCAATCCATTGCCAAAAATATTGATGATCATAAGCACAAAGTAGGCAATGTAAAGGCCGGCACGATGGTAAATGGGAGGCGTACGAAAGCCACGCCAATGAGCGAGTATCATGTGCTGATACTCCGCCGGATAGTCCTGGCCCAAGGGCAACACAGCGCCACTTGCATCGCCCGAGCTATCGTTCAGGAAACTCGCATACGACTGCGGACCGGCCAAATTGTCCTGCCCGCCGAGATACATTTTGTCGGAGGATTTTCACTTGAACTATTTTAGTTGCCGACTAATTTCGGTGGAGGCACATGCTCTCCATTGACGTCTCGCCTTTTGGCTGACATCTGACATGCTGGGCAACGGCATTTTTATAGTGCTCCTTGGGTGAGGGCATGGAATTTAATTAAGGTGATTAAAAATTGTCGCGGTGTCTTCGAGCGCACTTAGCCTGGATTAAATGCGCTTATCCGCGTCTTAAGACATTTTTTCACGGCTCAAATTACTCACGAATGTGCACACATACGTATGTATATGTATATAGGTGTACTACATATGTACATATCTAATTTCTTCTTCGACATCTTCGCCACTGGGATTCAAATTCAAATTCCAACGTCTCTGGCAGCGCGGCTCGTTCACTCGCTCTCGCTCGCTCTCTCGTCTAAATCGTAAATTGTAGCAGAAAAATACGAACGAACTTTTGTGCGAAATATGACACTAAGTAACAGGAGCACAGCAGCCCTCAGCTGGCAACTGTATTTGGGTGCGATGACGAGCACACGTGCCTCGCAGCTGTCGCCGGCCGACAAGCAGCGAGCAGCAGCAGCATTTCCATTTCCGCGGGTCTTTTGCGTGCTTCGACCTGTTTCTTTCAAACGCAAAAATGCGCACCGGCGCCCAGTACGACGAGCAGGGGTTCCAGAGCGCCAGAGCGAGACGACCACTCTAACTGCGCGCACATGGCCATTGGCACATGTCACAGACACGCCATCTCGCTTGCGCGTTGCATGCGACTGCCGCCGCTGGTGGCGGTGTGCTGTGCGCCTGGTTGGTTCGGCGCTGTCATTTCACAATGACCCACCTTCACGACGAAGTGTTGACGACTGACAGGATTTTTGTGTGTTGGTTGTTTGTACAACAAACGTGTGCTGCAGCAACAAAAAACAAGAACAGCAACATTTTCATTAGGCGGCCAGAAAACATCGTACACATGACCCTGCCGAGAACAAGAACTTTTTTTTTTCATTTTTTATATTGTATATGCTTATTTGCTTGTGTTTGCGTAGTGGCCTGTGTTGTTGTAGTGTTGTGTTGTTGTTATTGTTGCGTTGTATATCCGTAACCAAGTGAAACCTTGTGCGCTCTACCACCCAGCAACGCGCCATTACGATATACACACAAACATGCTTATTTGTACTTGACTAACCGTTGAACTGTTCTCACCTACTTTAATTATGTGGCCAGCTCTGCTGAACTGGGTCTCATTTCGAATTTCCTGAATTCTTAATCTGTAGTTTTGGCACTCCTAAACGGGTCAGATTTGATATATTTTATTTCCGCTGTCTGGGCATTTTCAAATAAAGATATGCCGTAGTTTGGTTTGTGTACCGCATTTGCCAGAACACAAGGCTAACGAACGATTTGTTCTCGTTTTTGTTATCGTTCTCGCTTACTTGACTTAGTTCGTTCGTGTGTTCGGTCGCCTTGACCGTAATTTGAGGCCGTTCCCATTGCCAAGTGAAGGACGCACCTTGAAACTCAAGGATTTTCAGCGAATTGCGAAATTTTGGCAAACTTGGCGGCAGTCAGTGGGTCAAAGCAAAATTTGGCGAATGCTTTTGTCAGTCAGAGAGCACAAAGTTTATGACATAAGCAGCTGATATCATTTTCGGATGGCCTTGAAAAACGGCGTGAAACAAGTTTACGTTGTGTTTGGAGTGCAATGGTCGATGGAAGAGGGTATGAGGGGATGAGGGGGAGAGTTGGGTGCTCGAATACGATTCACTCGATGCGTGGCAACACCAACCAACCAACCAATTCAAATGAACTCTCGCTTTGGCGTTTTCTTCTTTTTTTTTGGGCAGCCAACGCATTTTGGCAGCCGCAGACACTTGCTCTGAATTTTTGGGCGCCTCATAGCACAGGTTGTGATTTGAGCTTTTTTGGAAGCTAAGGTTAAGGTTACTCACTAATTGCCGCTATTGCCCTCTAACGGTAACTAACCACACTCAACACACGTGCGGCGACAGCGACCGTTGACGATTGTTGACGCTGCCGTTTCGGTTGTGGTGCTGTTGCTGCTGCCACACCAAATTTGCCACTCGAGTGTCAACGCCTGCAGCGGATACGTAATATTGTATGTACTATGTACAATATGCATGTCCGTCCCGTTTTAATTGTGCGGTCAGTCAGGCCCCAAAATCCAGTTTGGTGAACAGGCGCACACAACCAAGCAACAAGTAGCTCAATGGCCCCAATGCCGCTCAAAACTGAGGCGGCAACAGCGTAAATCGTAAATACGAACAGCTCCCATCTATTCTGACCCGGAACGGGACTTGTGCACGATGCTTATCGATAGTGATTACGAATTTCGAGAATATTAACTTGTCTCTAAGTTAATCAGAATAATTTTGAAACTTACTCCTTCCCTAAGCACACACAGATCTGTATCTATATCATATGAATTTCTGTTTACTCTTATTTTTTGTACTATGTTTACTACACTCTGGTAGTAGTAGGAGTAAACGAAATCAATCAAACATTTTCTAACTGATTCTGAAAGTTCAACAAGTCAGTTTGCCATTTACACAATAAATATATCAAAATACTTTATAGGCTTCATTTTGTGCACTTTTGTAATGCTTCTTTTCGATTTGGCTTGCTTCTTTGCTACTTGCCTTTAGTGTGTACATCATTTATGTAAATCTTTTACACTTGGGTCACACAATAGTCTGCGTTCTTCAGTTATGCCCCATTGGCGACAAATGAGCCTACATATTTGTACTATGCGCCTGGTAAGAGATTCTGCTGCAGCAGTAGGGTGACTTTTTTGAAAAAAAAATAGTCAAGGCAATCATCAAATGCTGACCACACACTGACCACTTACAAAGAAGAGCGTTGGAGCAGCTCCAACAACAACAACACGCACACAAACTGGTTCTCGCCTCTGGCAGCTTCTTCACAATCACGCACATGAATATATACAAACATATATACGTTATATATGTACAGACACTTGTGTGTGTGTGTGTAGTTTGTCTTTTATCTTTTTTGTTGGGGCACGCAACAGCAACAGCGGCAACGATCTCCAACTGAGCGTGCTGTTTGCCTGTTAGTATGCATGTGGGAAAACGTTGAACGCCCACAATAATAGATGTTTTTTTTTGCTCTCGCTTTGTTTGTTTGTTGTTAGTTGTTGAGCGTTGAGCGGACTGCTAGTTAACGCTAGTTTATTTGTAGTTGTGTGGTTGCCGGCGGCGGCAGCGGTAGTGGCGACGACGGCGTTTTGGCGGCCCGAGCACTGCTCAGGTTTGCTGCGAGCCTAGCTAAGTTTTGTGCAATAAGCAAAATGACGGGCACAAAACAAAATGTCCGGGCCCCCAATGTGTCGCTTCCGCTGCCGGGGGCCATGATTATAAGGCGCCATTGCAATCAATTTCAATTTCAATTTCTAGTCAGCCGGCCCCCTCCACAGTCATATAAAGCAGACACAGCAACAGCAACGGCAACAAATACAACAACCATAGCCACAACCATCTTATCGTTCGTTCGTTTGGTCGGTCATAGTTGTAGTTGTAGTCACAAATCGCAATTGTTGGCATCTTTTCTGTTGGCCTGTGATGTGAGCAAACAAAATGACTACTCAAATTTCCGCAAAATGTTCGTGCGACTGCTGCAACATGTGTGTGCGTGTGTGTGTCTGTGTGCCCGCCCAAAGGAGAGGGAGGGGGTGCACAGAGCTCTGTTGTTTGCCTTAGAAATTCAAACAAACATGTCGCTGCTGCTGCTGCTGCTTTTCTACCCACTTTGTTGTCGCTTCAGAGTTGGTTTTTTTTTTTTGATTTTTTGTTTTGTGACGCTTGGCAAGTTTCTGGGGGCATGTCCGGGCGCATTTGTGGGCGTATTCAGCCTGTTTGTCGAACGTAATTGTCGAGCTTGGCCGGGGGAAACTTGCAATTTGCCAGAGCGCCATCTATGGGGCGTTAGAGCCACTTGCAAATTATACTGCTAGTCAAGCCCCCAATTAGTGATGAACATACATACATACACGCATAAACATACACACAAACACAATTCACCTTCATGGCATACAAAGGGCGATAACCTGTTCGAGTTGTCAAACAAAAAATAAAAAAAAGAATAAGCGCTTGCACAGTGCTAACAGCTCTGTTTTAACTCAGTTGACACTGCAAACAATTAACTAGTCTGCCAGTAATATTCGTCTTAAACGGCTGTTACTTAGCGCAGTACTCAGCAAAAGAGCAAACAACAGCGACATTCATTCAGTATTCACAAACACAACGACTCACGCACACACACACACACACAAACACACACACTGATGCGCACACACAAACACACACACACACACACTGACGACCAGTCACATGGCAATTGAACCAAACCCCTGCCACTGTAACAGCTGCCATCTCGCTTGCACACACAACTTGGCCGCACCTTCTCCACCAGTGTTGAATGTGCTGAGACATCGTTTAGCTATTTTCGCTGTTCGCTTGGTAAAAAAGAGGGAATTCACTTTTGGCGGGGTCTCGTTTTTCCTGCTTTGTCCAATCGGCCTTTTTGTGGGCGCTGTCTAAACTAGTCCAATTGTATGGGCCGTCACCACGTCGCAACCCTCGGCCGACCAGTCGATTCCAGTTGTTGATAAGGCTAACTGGATGATAACAGCGCCTGGGCCTGGAGAACAGTTCTTGCAAATTAATTTGTACGGTAGGCGTGGTTGTTAGGCCTCCGCCCACACAGCACAGCACGTGTTGATTACAAAATATGCCATCATTGCGCATAAGGTTCGTAATGCAGAAACACATGCACATGTACAAACACACATGCACACATAAATACATACACATAAAAATGTACATAGAATGTATGCATCTTTGCCTGCGCACATTATGTACAACTTTAACTACATTCAGAGTATTTTAAATCGATTAACCACCCCCATTGAAACCGACCAATTAGTAAGCACAACATTTTACTCAGTCAAAAAAACATGGGAAATTTTTGAGTGTTGCTGCTGCCTTGCCTTATCTGTGATCAGCATACCAGTCACAGTCAGAGTCAGAAGCGGCGCATGAAATTCAACGACAGCGCCAGCCAAAATTGAACAAAGTTGGGGAAAGAATTGCAGCACATGTGCTGGCAGGTGTGTGTCCGACCCATGTGCACAGACCGTGCCAGACTTTTCAGACACGTTCGGTTTTCGGTTCGGTTTTTACCAGGCAAACAGCACAAAACAGAAACTACTCGCCAGGGGCCAGCTGTTGTGGTATCTCAGTGTCTTTATCATGTGCTAAAATGTTTTACAGTGCTCAGCAAATTGTTGCTACGAAAGCTGCCGACTTGTTTCTTACTTTTGCAATGTATTGAAAAATTTATTTTGGTAATGCACCTTGAAGCAGCACTGGTCTGCTGCAATAAAATTGTTTATGTAAAAATTCTAGTTAAGTTCATAAAAAAACGAATGAATTTAACAGCTGATTGCCTGTTTCTTTTAGGACAGATAACATACCGACACCATTATAGCTGTTGCATACATTGTCTATCGATAATGTTTATTATGTGCACCTATCGATATATTGACTTGCTTCGTATGGCCGTGTTGTCAAAAGTATCGCAAATATTCAGCGAGTCGAAAGGTGAAAGTGGTGATACTGTCGCTCGATTGTTTTATAGCGCGATTACTTAATGAAAAGCATATGTAATAGGCTAGCGACAAGGTGAAAGTTCACAGTCCGTTCAAAATGTCCGCAAAGACAGCAGCCAAGCCAAACAAAGCGCCCTCGAAGGAGCCGTCGGCGTTGAGTAAAATTTACCTGTTTGCTTACAATGCAGTGCAAGTGGGCGGCTGGAGCTACATTCTGTATCAGCTGGTCAACTACTATGTGCTGCAGGGGCCCCAGTTCCGTGCCCAGATCACGCTGTGGGATTATACACGAGTCGCTGTCATTATCTTCCAGAATGCCGCCTTTGTGGAGATCCTGAATGCGGTATTTGGACTGGTCAAATCGAATCCGGTGGTCACAACCTTCCAAGTGTTCAGCCGAATGATGGTTGTCGTTGGCGTTGTCATGGCCACACCCACGGGCAAAGTGTCACCCGGTCTGCCCATTGCTTTGTTCGCCTGGGCCATCACCGAGATCATTCGCTATGGTTTCTATGCTCTGAACATTATTAAGGTGGTGCCCAAATTTGTCGTCTTTCTGCGCTACACCACATTCATTGCGCTCTATCCGATTGGCGTCACCGGTGAGCTGCTGTGCTTCTGGTGGGCACAGCGCTATGCCAAGGAGCACAGCGTCTGGAGCATCGAGATGCCAAACAAATGGAATGCCACTTTCTCCTACTTCACACTGCTCTGGATTATCATGCTGGCATACATTCCCATCTTTCCACAACTCTACATGCACATGTTCACGCTACGTCGCAAGATCTTGGGTGGCGACGCCAAAAAGAAAGCCAACTGAACTTTGAACCCAATCGGGCAAAGCCAGCGAACAAAGCAAAACAATGTAAATTTCATTCGCTTTGCATTTCGCACCTTGTAGCTCTAAGTGAATTTGCATTTGAGTAACCCTACTTGACACCAAGCTAAGCTAATATTTAAGTGGTTTCTGTGTACAAAATAAAATCAAATAATTCCACAATTGATTCTATCGATGTTATTATTATTGTCTGCTTAGTGGCTTTACTCGTTTTTCATTGTAATGACAACTTTCAACTTTCTTCACTTTGCGAATGTAAATCCCCCTTATAATGTATACAATTTCAAGGAATAATTAATGGTGCTAACGACTCGTAGAAAGTTTATGATCCTAAGTAGTAAGATTCATTTGACACGTGGCTCGGAAGGATGCCCTAAAATTTGACCATATTTTGATATATATATAGTAATCCTCTTATACGCGTTGTTAAAACATCTTCGCGATTTCGGTTGTATATTCCGATTTGGCGGAACTACGATGAGGATACCGACCGCCATCCGGTTATATGATTTTTCCATACCTACCCTTTTTTCCACAATCCCTTAAATCATTGAAAGCCGAACGATAGTTTTTCTCAGAGCTCAAGTGTTTTATTTTTTTTTACAAGTTTTATAATTATTTTATGTGTTTCATTTGCAATAATAATTGGAGAGTGTATTTAGTGCTGTGACCATTGTATGGTCTTCAGGTCAATGCCCTCCTGCACCATTTCCCACAGTGGCGACATTTCACGGAGTCTCTCCACATGCTTGATGCACTTGTCGGCCGTATAGTCGACCTCCTCGATGGTGGTGAAACGTCCAATGCCGAAGCGAATGGAGCTGTGAGCCAAATCCTCATCGGTGCCAATGGCACGCAGCACGTACGATGGCTCCAGTGAGGCTGATGTGCAGGCAGATCCACTGCTGAGTGCGACATCCTTGAGGGCCATCAGCAGGGATTCGCCTTCCACGTAGGCAAAGGATAGATTCAGGCAACCATTATATGTGCTCACCGGATCCCCATTGCGTATCACATGCGATAAAGCGCTTGTTATTTTGTCCATCAGGCGCCTGGATAGGAAATCTACCCACTTCTTATCGTAGTCCATCTCTTGCATTGACAGCTCAGCTGCTGCGCCCAGACCCACAGCCAAAGGGGCGGGCACTGTGCCGCTGCGAAGGCCTCGCTCCTGGCCACCTCCACTCTGGATGGGCTCCAGACGCACACGGGGTCGGCGACGTACATATAAAGCGCCCACGCCCTTTGGGCCATAGATCTTATGTCCCGATATGGACATCAGATCAATATTCATGGCGTTTACATCCAAGGGGATTTTACCCACGGCCTGCGCCGCATCCGTGTGGAAGAACACCTTGCGCGATCGGCACAATTTCCCAATCTCCGAGATGGGTTGATGCACGCCAATCTCATTGTTCACCGTCATGATGGAAACGAGTGAGGTGTCTGGTGTCATTGCCTCGTCGAGCTGCTGCATGTCAATGATGCCATTGGCCTTGACGGGCAAGTAGGTAACCCTATAGCCTTCGTTCTCCAACGCACGGCACGAGTCCAGCACACACTTGTGCTCCGTCTGTGTGGTAATCACATGCTTCTTGTTGGTGCCATAAAATCGTGCCACACCCTTGACAGCAATATTATTCGACTCTGTGGCGCCGGATGTGAAAATGATCTCCTTGGGATCGGCGCCAATTAGTTTCGCGATTTGTTCGCGTGCCTTCTCCACGGCATGTTCCGTCTCCCAGCCGTAGGCGTGGGTGCGTGAATGCGGATTGCCGTAGTAGTTGGTCAGATAGGGCAACATTGCGTCCAACACGCGCGGATCCATCGGTGTGGTGGCCTGTGCATCTAAATACAAAGGTCGTCCCTCTGTCTGTTCATTCTTTATGTTGAATCGCACCTGGCGCTCGCGAAATTCTAGCATTGGCAAGAATTAATCAATAGACATGTAATGAATATATACATGTAACTTTATCTGATACCTTTTGATGTAGCCGCTGGTTTCACATCGGTCGATCGCAGTCGCACAACTACTGCCAGTGGTCTGGCACTTGGCCGTAGCATATGAGCCTGCAAGCGGCCCAGCATTTTATGCATATTTGTACTTCACGTGCGTTTGTGTTTTGCTTTCACTCTAATTTATTTATTACTTTTATTATTTCACAATCTAATCAGAAGCGGTCAATGTGTGTGTTTTTTACAACACTGTTGTCGCTATAATCGGTGTTATGCAGGCAAAACAGTGCTGCCAGACTGTATATTTTTGTTCGGCGCCAAATCGTTTGGTTTAAAAACTATAAAAACCAGACATACTTTTAATAATTGAAAAAACTTTTAAGTTTGAGTGTGCAGGTTTAATTGGACCAATTTAATACTTTTACGTTATTTAAACACTTTCTATAATTTCATGTTGTATATACATAAAAGCATAAAATATATATTGCAAAAATAGATATGCTATATGCCGTGGTGTAAAATTTTCTCATGCTTTATCTTTTGTTTTATATAAAGGTGTATAAGTATATATAAGTGTATATATATATTACATAATATGCCTATTGCTTGTAATTAGAATAATTTTTTACATTTGAACACTTAAAATTTTTCTGTTTGTCAGCTAGCAACGATGTTTGTTTACAATTTTAAACTTAGGGACTAAATAGATTAACGAGTGTTTCTTTTGTTTCTTGTTGTTTCGTTTTTAGGGAAAATCTGTTCAAGTGCGAATTTGTTCGAACAAGTTGGTTAAAATACATATACACTAACACAATGTTGATAATTTAACAGGAAATAATAGGTATCAGTTAAAAATAATTGAACTGGTTAAATAAATAATCGTCAACAAATCCAATAACCATTGCATATCTCATAACTGTCCGTCCGTTGTCAGAGCAATTGCTCCGTGACCAGGACAACGCTCTGTTCCAGTGCAATTGCCGCCAGTTCCTTAAGCCATTCATCCAGCAGGACGGCACACAAGGCCAAATCACGTGAGCGCTCCGTTCCGCTGGTATTCGCTATGATGCCCATCGAGGCTACCGAGTCCATGGATACTGGTTCCGAGTTAAAGCTGGCCGTCTGTGGACCACTCTCCACGCCATGCAGCGTGCTCGATGAGTGGGTTGCGGATAATGTTTGTGTGGAGCCACCAATGGAGCTGTTAGTGCTGCTCGCTGATGTTGCTTGTGCGTCTAATCGTGGCGTGGTGCTCAAACTCGTCTCACAGGTGTTTCCCCTCGGGTTCTCTTGTGCGACGCCACGTGAATTCACCTCCCCGTTGATGCCACCCACCAGCGTGGAAGCGGCACCTGTAAAATTCCAAAATATATTAGTTGTGCCTCATATGAAAAATGAATTTTCTGGGTTAAACGGAAACAACTACAACAATAACGTAAAATTGGTAAGCAAATAGTTATTAGGTACGTAGACACAGTTAAGAGCAATATATGTACAAAGCTACAGGAGGCGGCAATCTACTCAACAGATTACAGATTAATTAGCAAACAACTATATATGTATTTATATAGATATTTAGTTGAGTTGTATTATTTGGTATATTCTATATATTTAAGGAACTTTTACTTAAGCGTGAAATATTTACCGGTGAAGAATGCGTAAATTTGTGATAAGCCAGATGAAGCTAAGATTTTCGTAGTAGAAAATTGTTCGATTTGATAAAAACAAATAAACAATAAAAAAAAGAGAGACAATTCATTATAAGCAACATCTGCAGACATTGTACAAAATCTACACATGTAATGTGTTGTGATGGATGTGTAGTTCAATAGCTCAATTCCACTGACCAGAAAAATTCTCAATTCTGTCAGTGGAATCTTGTCTATTATAAAGTATTTAAAAATGTGTGTAGTCTTGTGTGTGTTTGTGTGTATGAGTTTTATGGTTAAAATCCCAAAACCGACTTTGTTCCAACATTCCCTGCAGCGTTGTTGTTTTTTTGTGAATTTGTTTTCTTGGTTGTAAAAAAGAAAATGTGCAATTTTGTTAGATGTGAACGCTGGCAAAGCATCACCTACCCGGATTTGGATTTGCGGCCGCTGTGGATGATGTGGACTTCCGCCCGAATATGTTCGATATGGACGCGCTAATGCTGCGTCGCTTATTGTCACTGCGTCGAAAGGGATCATAGGCGCTGGTGGGTGTGGCATGCATTGGTGTCGCCGCCGACAGCGTTGCATATGTGGAACGCTGCTGCGCCTGTTGCTGCTGATGTGTGGAATTGGTTGTATGTTGGAGCTGCTGTTGCTGGTGATGCTGCTGATGCAGCGGTGAATTGTCGCTAACCTTGCGCGCATTGATCAAACGAAATTCGCGATCAATCAGCGATGAACGCGCCACATCGATGATCTCCAGTGAGTTCTCCGCCACCGGCAGCTCTGCATCGATTTGCTGCTTCAGCATGCGCAGCACTTGATGGAACGAGGGCGTGTCCGACGTGATCGCAATGTCGGAACGCAGCAGCAGCGAATGGATGAGCGGCAGTGGATACCAGGCAAGTCGTGTAATCAGCCCAGTTAAATGCAGATTAACATACAGCGAGTTGCTCGTAAAGGTTTGCAGTTTGCCCCAAATGGCATTCAGAAAGGGACCTAAATAAATCAAATCAATATAGCAATTCGATTCCACATTATATGCCGACTCCAACTCACCCAAGTTTACGGTGCCCTGCGCAAACAAATCCTCCGAGAAGTCCAAATCGGTGAGCAAGATCTCATTGCGTGCGCTGTGCGAGACGCGCCACAAATCGCGCCGTCCACTACTGTTGATGCTGCTGTTGTTGTGATTACTGCTGTTGTTGTGCTCCACATCTGGATCGCTAGTTGCTGTTGTTGTGGTCGCATCGTTGGCATCGGCATCATCTGGTCGCCATTTGAACGACTCATAGCCGCTGGACTCACCAATAGACTGCAGGCTGTCCAACTGTTTCTCGCCTAGTTCGCTGCTAGCAACTGCCGCAACTGCGACTGGCGTTGCTGTGCCAAATTCGCTAAAGAACTGCCTGGCCAGCTCCAGGGCATGGGATGTAGCTCGTACCTGGCCCTGTCGTGGCCACTTCTGATAGCGATAGTTGTTCGCCCACTTGCCGCAGTCGCGTTGGCACTGAGCGATGCGTGAATGCGCCTCAAACAGATACGCCTGGATGTTGGCATACAAACTGTCGCCTGTGTAGTGACCGTAGTAGTTCCAGTTGGCGCCAATGGTTTTGCTCATCACCGGTGAAGGCAGGCTGGGTAGCATTGTGGACGATAACGCTGCTCCTGGATCAACCAGTTCGTGTACGCTTTTGGGGCGCGCCAGATCACGAGCTCGCTTCATTACGTCCGGAGTGAGCTCCAAGAAAAACTCGGTCGTGTTCAGATACGGATCGATCTTGTTGATTTTGTGGCGATGCGAGATGGGCACATGCTTGCCCGGCAGCATATACTTGAGTAACAGCTCCAGCATCAGATCCTCGCAGTGCAAGCCGAGCAGAGTATCAAACAGAGCCATTGTCACCATACACAGATTAGCATCCGGCGAATGCAGTCGCTCCACGAGCGCATCCAGAATGCGTTCGCCATCAAACTTCTCCGTGTCGAGTAGAAATTTGACAAAGGCACGCATCAGGCCAGGCTCAGTGATGGAGCGAAGTATCAGATCAAGGTACGACATGGCCGAGATTTGTGAGTCGATGTTCGTCTGAAAATGTTTGCCCTTCAGTGTCTGCGAATTGGAGCGCAAAAAGTTGTTTCGACATTTCGAGGCGAGGTGTTTGGTTAGCTTGGGGTCGGCCCAAAAACAGAAAGGATAGCACACACACTATATACTACGCTCATGCCGTAAAAGATATCGCCGATAAATAATGAATTTCCTCAGTATTTTTAATCAAAATAAAAAGTGGTTACCCTAAATACCCTGATAACTTTGTAATAGAGCACTTTTTTTGATTGATTCGATTAACTAAAAGCAGCGAATTGCGTATGAGCGTAGTAATAGAGATAAGTAAAAAGCAAACATACACACACACTGACACAAGAGCACCAGGGACAAGTGACAATTTTGCAACCAACACCACAAGAAATGCATCGAAGACAAGTTTTTACGTGAGAACAGAAAAGAGCAGGCGGAGACTCACCTGGAGTATAGCCGGGCCGAGCACCGGCACAATAAAACCCTGGTACATAAAATCAAGTAGCTGCTGCTTAATCATCTCATGCGCCACCTGAACAACCGCATTGCAGAACTCCAGGGCGTTCATGAACAACGTTAGCTCCGGAATCTCGGCGACATCGTCGGGCGTTATGCGATGCCAGTCAATAGCACTGACCTCGATGCTGTTGGGCAGACGCGAGTAGAGACCGCCGAGGCCAGTGACCAGCAGCGGGCAAATGGACGAGTATTGTGCAATGTAGTGGCCAATGTTGGAGTTCTTCTGCGATAGAGCCATGCACAGCAGCAAAGCATCGCGTGCCTGATGACCCAGACTGCCCTCTCGATGCACATATGGTATTAGCAGCGAGAAGATAATGAAACTGGAGACAGCCGAAAAAACAAACACATGATTAATGAATGTATTAGGCAAATTAAAATTATAATTTTCAAACTTACTTGGTTGTTGTGCCACTTTTGGGTGCGGCCAAGCTGCCATTTTGAATTTGCTCCTGCACCTGTGTCTGGGCCGAGAAGAAGAACAAATCGAGTAGATGGACATTCTGCATGAGCACCACGCACAGCTGATTCAGCAGGATTACAAGACGTTTCTCTAGATCGGGCGGAAATATCTCGCCCTGACTGGAGGCGAGAATTTTGAGCAGCGGACGCAAAAATGGCTCGTGACACAGCAGCTGATGCCGTGAGTGACTCACGAGCAGCTCATAAAGTTTTAGCTGCTCCAGACGCACTGCATTCGCATAGCGACCCGTTGTGCTTGCCCATTCGTATAGCTTGTCCAGCAGATTCTCGCTGAGCAGATACTCCAGGCAGGGCGCTGTCGGCGGTGCAGCATCTGCCGTTGGCAGCGACACCTTGTTGCAATGATGCAGCTCCACAAGCAGCAGCGTCACCATATAATCCAGATGTGAGACGACGCCCAGAACATCGTCGTGCGTGGGCGGACCCGCATGCTGAATAATTTCATGTGCCTGCTGCCAGTGCTTGCAGAAGCTATCGTAGCAAGCGCGCGGATCACAGTCTGTGGCAGCGTCTATGGGGCGTTGACGCACCGTTGCCGAAGCATTGCCAGAGTTGCCACTGCCCCCGGAGCCGTTACCACCACTGTTGCGTGTGAGACTCTGACGCAATGGACTCGTACGAAGCCAGCTCATTGTTTGCTTGTTCTGTGCACTTTGGCGACGAAGTTCCGATAAGTGGAAAAGTTTGGCATGTACTTTGTGTGCTTATCTTTTGTGTTTAGTGATTTGTTCCAGCTTTGTGTGTGAGTATTTTTGACTATTCTCGTATTCCCAGTTTCCGTTACATCTACAAACACAAATGTACAAAAATTATATATACATGTAGCTGAAACTGACAAAAGCGCCAAAAACAGATAAGCTTCAAACATTGCATATGCAAAAACAACAACAACAATAACAAAATCATCAAGCTTTGGCACACACACACACAAATATATATATGTGTATATTTGGGTAGATGAGCAGCTAACTAGCAAGTGGCGTTTGCTATTCACTGAAGCGCAAATTGTTGTTGGTGTTGTTTGCTCACTGATTTTGCTGCTCACCTGCTGAATTTTCATAGTCTTCGTCTTCGTCATCGTCTTGGCCTTTCTATCTATTGCTAAATGGTTCTTGCAGCAGGTGTTGTGTTAAGCGCGCTGCAGCAGTTTGTAATTATCTTTTTTTGGCACTGGGAAATTAGAGCGAAAAAGACGACGTCGACGACAGCCAGTGGCCCGTCCTTGTGCGTGTATTTGGAAGGTGAAAAATATGCAATTGTTGAATTGTTCAGGTTGAACAACATACACAAAACCTGGTTTTCACTTTAATGCCTCATTTTGGACTATTTTAAATTGGCTTTTTGCTTGCTTAATGCATTCTTATAAATATTTACAACAAATAGAAAGTAATGAATGAATTGGTGGTAGTCGGACGATAAGTTGTGGTGGTAGTCCGATAACAATATGTACAAGCTGCTTGAAATGCCTTTTACAGCACTGGACCACCTGCAATCGATTTATTATTGTACACACGCCCCCAATTTTTGCGATAAATATTTCGCGGCCAATAAATGGCCTTATCGGCATTTTGAACAGATGAAATAACTATTGTGCATGTGCTGTATTGCAAATTTATTATTTGATATTAATAGACGTATAATTTTATATACCATACATTTATACATATTACAAAGTCGTATTAGAAACGCAATATTACAAATAAAAACAAAAGCACATAGTGTATATGGAGTAAATAGTATGTACGTGTATATGTAGACATCAACATTGTAAAGCTCCCAAAAACAGAGTACTCTTGCGGATTGTTTTCATTTGTTTTCTGACAATGCAAGACTTCTTAATTTGATAAGACCATTAACCAAGTTAGAGTTGCACATTTTATAAATTCTTTGCATGATTTTGCTAACAAATAAAATAGTTAAATAAATTGTCTCTAAATATTTGTAATAATAGTATGTTGTAAACGAAGACGAGCTAATGCAGTGTGTCCAAATCTAAACTCACATCGGCAATAGAGCCTGACTGACACTGTTATTGCGTGAGCTGGGCCTTTCAATGGTCATAGATTGCTGCGGCACTTGGCTATCTGTGCTAATGCCCAAGCCAGCGTAGATTTCCTTCATTACAAATAGAATAGTGTCCTCGGAGCCCCTGTAAAATCGAATATTAGAAAAGAATTACCAGCTTTTAAATATCAACTACTCACCAGTAACAAACATGGCTGCTTAGGGCGAAGATATACTCGTTGATGAATTCCAGTGGCGCCTCCTGTAGCACATAGTCGACGCGTTTCGAGTCGTTTAATTTACCTAGTGGAAAGTCGAGTTCAATGAATTCGGGGTCTGAATTACTTGTCGACTCGGAATCGGTACGATTGCGCGCATGCGTCGAAGTTGTCGCCACAGATGATTGATCCTGATCTTCTGTTTGCTTTTGGAATACCTGTGAAGAACTCTATAGAATGGGTTAGCATTAAATTTGATCACTGATATTAAATCGCCTTAGACTTACAGACTGCACCTCTTTTTCGAGCGACTCCTCGGCCTCCTTCTTGACCTTGGTGACGGTAGCCAGGAAATTAACGCTATCCAGTGTGGTCTTGAATGTATCCATGAATCTTTGCTTGATGTCCGCACCTACGCGAGTCATTGTCTCCTTCAGCTCCAGATGCATGCGCTTGCGACCCTTATGATGTGGTATTAGCACCGGTCGGATACCTTTCATATCCGGATTGACTAGTGCTTCTATGCGGTACGCAACCGGATCGAAGGGATGGAATATATTGTAAAAGCCCGGACACGTGGGTAGCCGAAAATCAAGACCCAGCTTATCGATGCCACGGATGGTCACAAACATGCCAATAGGCGAGCCCAGCGCAAAGAACTTCTTGGGATGGAAAATCAGCTGCGTGTAGTTAATGACGGGCTGTCCAGTGCCCGCCGGTCCCAAACCCATAGCGTAGCTGACCTGCTTGGGCATCATTTCATCATTGTTGGGCAGTTGCACCTGTCTGGATTCGGTGCCTTGTTTCCGCGGCAATTGATCAGGATTCTCCTGTTGTACGTATAACTTCAGTGTTACTTTGTGTATGGGCAGTTGTGTAATATTTGTGTCATCTTACCTTATTCTCCTCTTCGCTCTCCTTAAGTGACTCCTGATGGCACAGTAGATCGAACAGTATTAGTGAACCCAGACTGTGGCCAGCTAGTGAGACGCCGCCATTGAATTCGGGATGCCGCATGCGATATTTCAGATAGACCTCATTCAATGCATCAGCGACCGTGTTCATGATTTTCTGGCAGTACTTGGGACTGGTATAGAAAAGTACATCAAGCAGCGTGTCGTTTGTGAAGTTGCGCAACCTCGGTATCGACTCCAGAGTGATGGACTTGAGCTTCTCATCAATGCCCAGCTCCTCTGAATGCAAATGGCCATGCCACTCAATGGGCAATACTTCAACGCGACCCACCAATCCCATGTCCATGGAGTTCTTGTAATGAGATTGCACCAGCTGTAGTGCAATATTGCGAAAATCATCGACTACAAAGCAAATTCAACGTTTTTAAGAGTCTCCAATGAAATAGGTCGAGTAATTTTACACTTACCAACTTCCTCGACATTGCGCATTTTTAGGTCACAGGCAGATCCAATGCCATGCACCATGAACAACAAATGATCCACTCGCTGAGATTCGCCCTGCTGTATCTTAAAGTCATTCAAATCCCGCTTGACGACCAGCGGCCTCGTTGAGTTCTGCACGGTGCCGCCCCACGTGTCGGCATTCGATGGTGGCATAAAGTGCACCATGACGCTGGGACCATGCATGGTGACCTGCTCACCATTGACCAACATTATCTTTTTATGCCATTCGTTTGTTTCCGTCGCGCGTTTATATTCAATCTCTAGTGCCGCTGCGGTTTCCTCAGCATACGGCACATACTTCCCGTCCACGGCTTTGTAGAACCAGGAACAGCGACGCACCTCAATCGCCTTGCCCTCCCAAAAGACTGGTATCTTGGTGCGCTCTTTGATGTTAACGTCATAACGACCGCCTTCAACGGCCACAATACACGTCGAATCGGCGTCATCTATATGTGAGTGAATGCAAAAGATATAGAGAGAATTAGGATTTGATTATCGAATCAAGTTTTGACTTGGACTCTTACCACTGTTCAGACTGGTCTCTAGCAGCGCCGAGTCGTAGTGACTGAATGGGGTCCACAAATACTTTCCATCCACGATGCGTTTGTAGAACCAATGGGGCAATACGGGCGTATAAATCTAAACATAGGAAATTAAATAAAAATAATGAACACAGAAATGTAACTTATGGACTTACAATTGCCTCGGCTGGCGGCGCAATGGCCTGACCCTTTTCGTTGGCCATTCTCAGCTGTTGGAGGATCTCTTCAGGCAATTCGCCCTGATGCAATTGATGTAAATATTCTGCCTGACGCTCCGACTGCTGTACGGCTACGAGGCTTACGTTTGACGGTACAGCTGTGGAGAACTCAGAGCAGGCGGACGATGGCGGCTCGACCAGATTCGAGACAGAGGTCTGTGAGCGTTCCTCGAAGAGTTTGCTTGGCAGGCCGCTGTGCACAATATCGTATTTTAGTTCTCCGGGTGCAGCTGGCTGATCCTGCAGCGGTGGATTGTTGAAAAAGTTCTGGATGCGTTGATCCTCCTGCCCCTGGCCGCCTGCGGCAAAATTATCAAAGAAATTGACCGAGTTGCTGCCAGTAAGCTGTGGCTGTGGCTGTGTCTGTTCCTGCGGTGGGTGTGCTTGTCCGCCTGGTTGAGCTGGCTCTCCTGACCCTCCAAAATAATTTGAGAACGAGTTTACACTAGAATTTTGACAGATATTTCCAGTTGAGTTTTGAGCTTGCTGCGTTGCTTGCTGTGAATCGTTGATAAGTTGCTCAAAGCCAAGTGCGTGAGTGACAGGCGGCTCCTGTGCCAGTGCCGGTGGTGCAACGTCAATTTGAGGTGGTAAATTTGGGAACTGACCACTGCCTACTGCCTGAGTTGTCTCCTGTGCTGCTCCAAAAAAGTTGAAATCGCTGCTGTTGGACGCTGGTGTAAAGAAACTCAGCAATGGCGATGGCACCGCTGCTACTGAAGTTGCAACTGGTTCGTGGCTTTTTCGGAAAGGATTTGCCTGGGCGGAATTGTCTGCCTGCTTGCTACTAGGTGGTGGTGGCAACGGTGGTGCTACTGGTTTAGCGGTCTCTGTCTCTAACAGCACGGGCTCAATGGTGTGTTCCGCGAAGAGAACGTTGTCGTCTGCCTGCGTGCTGGGTGCCACAAATCCAATGGGCGGTGGCAATAGCTCCTGCGGCAGAGGCGTTGTTATCGTCTGTGCAAAAGGATTGAGAAATGTGGTTGTTGTCTGAGTGGTTAGCGCAACCCTGTGCAGCTGCGATGGCTGCGCAAACAAGTCGCTTGTGCTTAGTCCTGAAGCTTCCTGTGGTATTTCAGCTCTGGGAAGTGGTGCAAATAGGCTAGTGGCGTTGAAAGTTGCGGGTGAAGCGCTTGTTGTTGCTGAAGAGCTGGTTAATGTATCTGAACTCACGACCAGATCTGCTGTGTCTATTGGTGCTGGTGGGTATAGAGCTACTCCTTGATTTGCCTCGCCGTCTGGTGTTGCTTTAGGTACAGGCACAAATAAAGGAATTTCTTGATCAAGCTCAGTGGACACAGTGCTAGGAGCAGCTTCTGCTGGTGGATACAGCGGAAGTCCTTCCCGAACAGCAAAAGTTGGTATTGCAGCTGCAAGCTGTGGAATTTCTTGAGTTCCTTCTGGATTTGGTGGTGCGCTTGGTTCGTGTGCACCCCCTACAGTGAAGAGAGAAACTGATTGTCCTTGCGAATTTAGGGACAGTCCTTGCGGTGCTTCCGTTGGCGCGCTTGTGAATAGGGGAGTTTCCTGAGTGGGAATTGCGTGGCTTGGCGTGGATGTGGAATCTGTCTGGTATGGCTCTGGTTCCTTAACTTGTTGTGAAGGGAACAAAGAGTTTACTGTTCCTAGCGGACTTAAAGACAGTCCCTGTAATGCTTCAGTTGGTAAGTTTGTCGCTGTTGTCGTAGTTGGTGGTGCAGCCGACAAGTGAACTTCTTTAATTAATTCCGATATTGATTCTGTTTCTGTTTTCAGCTGTGGAGTTAAAACTGATGTTGCTGGTCCAGGTTGATATAGGGGCAAGTCCTGCGATGTGGGGAACAAGGCAATTTCCTGAATTGGCGCAGATGAAACTGCAGCAGTTGGTGGCGGAGCGAACAAGGAAACTTCCTGGGTTGGAGCTAAGATAGTGCTTGGCTCTGGAATCTGTGCCTGCGTGGCAAATTGGTTGCTTACTGTTGATGTTGGATGTAAGGCAAGTCCTTGCGATACATCAGCGACTGTGCTTTGAAATTGATGAACCTCCTGAACTGTGGTTGTTGGTACCGAGACTGGCGTAAAGAGGGAAGCGCTTGGTGGAGCTGCTGACGGACAGATCTCTGTCGTTGTATTCGTCTGTGTCGCAAAAAGAGAAGGTGGTGGAGCTGTTGATGGTCCAGCTGAAAAAAGTGGAACTTCCTGTGCAGGAGCTGCAAATAAAGCTACTTCTGCTGCTTTTGCCTCTCCAAATGGATTAAAAATAGCCGGAGTTGCAGATGTTGTGGGCGCAAAGGGCGCTTGATGACCAAAGGGCGTTGCTATAGTTGAAGTTTCCTGCGCTGTCAGCGGACTTCTGTAGAGTCGTGTGCCCTTCTGAAGGCGATAGGATGCTTGTGACAATCCACCAACTGAGGGTGGGGGAACTGTGGCAGCTGGAGGTGGTCCTGTGGCGGAAGTGCCCTCAACAAACGCCGTTAGCTGAGCGATTGACGACTGCGGTGAATGAGCGACTGTCGATGGTTGACCGACTGTCGGTGGTTGAGCGACTGTCGGTGGTTGAGCGACTGTCGGTGGTTGAGCGACTGTCGGTGGTTGAGCGACTGAAGGTGGCTGAGCGACTGAAGGTGGCTGAGCGACTGAAGGTGGCTGAGCGACTGAAGGTGGCTGAGCGACTGAATGTGGCTGAGTAGATGTCAGGAGCGATGTTTGAGCAGCTGTTAAAGGCGTGAAATAACCACCAATTGAGGATGGAGGAGCAGCCTCTGGAATTGAAGTAACTACGGATGGATTATAGAAACCTCCGCCTGTGTATGGTGCTGCAGTGGACGCCAAATAGCTAGGAGCAAAGGGTATAGCGCCCGATGCTGGATTTGTTGGCTGCAGTGGACCGGTGCTAATGTCAAAGTATCCAGCTGGATTAGATGCTGGGTTGGGTGCGCTGTAGTTGACAGCAGATGGTGCTGGTTCGTTGTTTCTGCCAGTGGCTGATTGCACTAGACCCGAGATGTTCTGTAGGACGCCAGTGGGCACCAGATTGGTCAGCGAGAAGAGGCCACCACCCGATTTGCGTTCCTCTTGAACTGGTCGTGCGAGCGGTTCAAAAGCAGCCGCTGGCTGTGTTGGATATGGTGGTATTTGGAAAGGAGCAGCTGTCACTGGCTGCTGATGCTGTTGTTGTTGCTCGGAAAGACCAGGTATGGGAGCGTAAAGTTTTTTTTTTGCGCTGATACGATAAGTATTTTGACCAGCCGAAGCGGCAGGCGGCAAGGACAGAGAGCCAGCTCCTATGCTGGGCAGCTCTGTGGGTGCATATAATTTAGGTGGCTCTGGCGCCGCTTCGCCCACGACAGTTGGTGGTGCGGCGTAGAAGGGTGCGGGCGGTAGTGCCACTTGGCCCGCCTGTTGTATATAAGTCGGCTGAATATCCAGTTGAGGCTGCGTTGGCGTCGTTGACTCGTCCGTCTCTCGAGTGCCCGCGTAGATGCGCTTCGAGAAGGTAGAAAAAACGTTGGAAGCCACCGAAGGCAACGCTCCAAACGAAGATGCCGCCTGGCTAAACAGCGAATCTGCACCTGTTGCCGGCTCTAGCAAAGGATTTGCGTTAGCATCCGCTGCGCTCTGATATGGATTGATTGATGCGTTTACTGTCGCTGAATCGTCACTTCCGCTCGCGTTCAAGTTAATCTCGTCAAGCGTTTCGTTATCGTCAAGACTCGATGACTGTCCAACTGTCACCAGCGATTTGGGCTCTGCAAGGTATGCAAAAGATAATAAATGAAAATGAGCGAAGTTTGAGTTTACGGAAATAATCTCATTATAAATAAAATAAAAAAATATTCTTCACAATATGCTAATCAAACTCGTCGTGACCTCAAACTACTTGTTATCTAGCTCGAGAGCAAAGTCCAGGCCTAAACTGCGCAACTCAGTTACTCAATGTCAACAATCAATATCATAATTACCGATTAAGAATATATTTTATATTGCTGACGGCTTTTTAACCCTAAACAATCAAGTGTTGTTTACATGCCCACAAAAACGTGTAAGATTAAAAGCCGCATTTCCTATTACTTGAGTTGGCAACAACTCAGATTTATTAACATGAGATCCGCTTACGATTTAAATAGACTCGGTGTGTACACTTCATTATATTAAAATAATAAATTATTGTGTACTTTTTTAAGACTGCTCCTTCAAAATTATAGGTATTTTAAGCAGTTGCCCAATTACCAAATACACAACTGGATTCGATTAACAAATACAAAATTGATGTGCTTGTGCTGGCTGGTCCGAGTATCATAAAAAGCCAAAAATTGGCATTAGCTAAGCTCAAATGTCATGACATTTAAATGAGCCAAGAGGCAGTTGATGATTTTTGCCATCTTGCTTATGGATATCATCAATTTCTGTGTGTTCGCCGAATCGTCTTCATTGGGGGCCAGAAAGAAAGTTGTTGCAAGTGCATTGGAAGATGATGGAACTGGCTTAGAGCTTGGGGCTCTTGGGGATCTGTCCATGCTTAGCAAACGTGCCATTTGGCTGGGTAAGCGGCTCTACCAAAGAATTCACCTCGATCATAAAACGTGATTCGGACTGTGAACTGTGTCTGCAAGGCCTTTGGTGGCTTTAACACCTAGTTGCTGAAGTCGGTGTAACCAGTGTTCAAGTATTCAAAGCATTGCAATTTGCTCTCGTAAATATTTATGCTCGCTTTTGGCATATTTGCGAGCACTTGCCAGCTGCACATGCGATAAGTGCTATGTGAGAGCTGTGAGATCACCAAAACCAAGCAGCTCATATCTCACGGTTAATGCTTAGATTGTTTCATAGTTTTCCCTGCTGCAACTCTTAGAAATTATCAGGTGTGATTCGGTTGCTGTTGCATAACTGCGATAAGTTCAAGTTGAAAAGTGATAAAGCAGGTACTCTATAAAACTGTATGGAGCCAATTCTCAGTTAATCCAAATGGTCACGAATAGCTGCATATACGCTTACTCTGAATAATATTTGTGAGATTTATTAATACACTCTCCCTGCTAGTATATTATTGACAATATTTAAGCGTTATGTAATAGAAACATTGTATTTTAAATTATTCACATGATTGGATAAGAAATATTTCAGTAAATTTGAATTTAATTGCTGAACAAAACTACGAATTGTATTTTGCATTTTTAATTGCTTTCTTGATTGTACAGAATAATTGCAGTTCAAGTAATGAAAGAAAAATATTAAAACAAATTTACATAACGGAAAATTTTGTAAGCCAATATTTGCATTTTAAGCGGAAACGATTAATACAAAAACATTTAATATTGAAACAGGATAATTTATACAATATTCATTTATTTAAATTTCGTAAGCTGGCGTACATTTATTTAGAAAATATACTTAGGCGGACCTTAACTAGCAAGCAACTGCTAAAACTCATTCGGCAAGCAATGTAAGCACAGTTGATAATTTATTTTACACATATGTGGGTCATAAATAAAACGTTGCACATTTCTACAGACAGAAACAAAATAACATTTCAAATATAATAAACAAAAAAATACTTTTGTCGCTCTCTTCTTTTCAGCACTTTTTGTGATGCGGTAATTGTGGGGTTCGTTTTTTTTTTTTGGCGTATTCCCATGTGCACAGAATGTATATATGTGTATACCTGAGACACTTGACATTGTCGCTTGTTGGTGTTTGTTTTTCTGCGTTGGTGTCTTTGCAATGTGCTGACACTTTTCGAGGCGTCAGCAATTGTTTGGCTAATGTAATTCCATAAAGCGACTAAAGCAAACAAATATAACACATAACAATGACTGCAACAAAAGCAAACAGCTTTAAAAAGAAGTTAGGTTATATACTGTAGACCCGCTCTATATTGAAAAACGATTTGTTAGAGGGGACGGGTACGGATCCAAGTCATTAAATAACTGCGAAAATTTCCAGTTTCGTCTTGAGACGTGTACATATATTGTTTATTTTTTTTTTTATTTTACATTTGCTTTTTTGTTTTTGGTTAAATATTTACAAAAGGCCGCAATGACAATGACGCATTTCTGACAAATTGTTAAAGCAAATAGGCGATTGTCTAACCGCAAAAGTCGAAGCACATAAGAAAAGTAGAACAGCGTATTTCAAATATGGCTCGAGCCTGACATAAAGCATAAAATAAAAAAAAATATAATAATAAAGACTGCGCACAGAAATGAAGAGGAATTCGCTTTGGCATGACATCATAACGATCATAAACGAATTGAGGCAGCATAAGCACTTAAGACAACAACACAAAACGAACACAAATACAAACCACAAAAAAAAAATTCCCGCCTCTGTCGTCTGTCCGAAGTGTCTGCACATAATGGCACTCAAATAAAACAATTAAGGCCCACATAAGCACGTCAAGAGCCCATGAAATCATTTGCAGGATACAGCAAACAATCAATAAAGATGCCCCGAAAAGATTGCCAACAATTTGGGCTTAAGCGCTTGCAAAAGGCTCGTGCAGGTCGCATGCCAAAAATGTGTATCTCAAAAAATACAGAAGAAGAGACAACTAAAAGACCCATAAGAAAAAAATAAAAATAAATAAATAAACACCAGCTTGGCATTTTTGGCATTGAACCCTCTGGCTATGAAATGCCCAAAAAAACAAGAGCAAAATGAAATCAAAATAAAGCTCAATAAAAATAAGTTGAGACGATGCTCGAGACGGTTTGTCTGCCAGCGGCAAAACGATGATATAAATAAAATGCACGATTTTTCTATAGCCACGACAAGAGGTTAAACAACCAGCAAGAAAATCAGCAATGTATTTTTTTTTTCTTCTTGTTTTTGTGATGTTGTCGAGACGTTTCTACACTTCAGTTGCTTTAGCGAATATATGCAGAGATTTTAAGAACATTTTTGAAAGCCAATTTGAAATATTATGACATTGATTAGAATGAAATAATAAAGGGTATCAGTCAGATCCGCTGACAATCATTCTGTTTATTTAAATGGCCTTTGGCAGTAAAGTTTTGAATTCTTGCTACCATAACTTTGTCAAAACTAAACCAAACGCATTACCTTTTTGATAAAATTACGTTCAAATTTAGTAATGTAGATTTTGTCAAAATTAATCTTAAATATCTACCCACAAGAACACTGAACTAAATTCTGCTGGCTTTTTCCATAACATACATATTATATGCCCCGCAAGCATCATAAAAAGATGTAGTTGACGCGACGCAGGCTCAAAACAAAAGACTTAGACAACGAACTCAGGTAGCAGCGAATTCAAGTTAAATGTGTTTCAAGACATTTTGTCAATGGGGTATTTCCAGCAAATGCTAATCAGGCAGACCGCCCCATCCCAAAGTTAAGTCCACTCCCAGTTGAAGTCTCACTTTAGCGGCCTTGTGACGCATTTGAGGCATGGTATGTAGGTTCTTATGCCTGAGCTATATAATCTTATCAATAGTATGTCAGATAGGGTGCGCCGTGTTTGCAACGTGAAAACGCATTGTCTCTATGTCCGTTTGCAACCAATTGTTCAATATTTAAACAATTTATGAGGCACACATAAGTACACAAAGACAGCAACTACAACTAAAGTTCGACTTGATGAACTCTGCGACTACAAAAGGCCGAGTAATTAGGGAACAATGTTTTAGTAGCGCGTCGCTGTTAAGCCCGTATAGAAGTGTATCAAGTAATGATCGCCTACGCAAGGATATTAACATATATATAATCGTGACTTGCACAGACTCGCACCAGTTCGAAAAGTGCGAATCGTTTATTGGACCGCAAAACGCAACAAGTTGGTAAATTTGTAATCGATTAGCACTTTTGAAAAACAAAACAAATGAAAATTTTATTTTATAAGTGTGGTTTTAATCAAATACATTCATCATCGCATATTCAGCGTTAATTAAACATATGTATATGTATTAAGATGTGAGTGCTCCCGAATCGATTTCCAAACATTGCATTTCAATGACTTGGGTGGCTTTTTCATTTACAAAAAAAAAGTAATTATAATCAAAATACGAGGCATTGTGTAAATAAATAAACAGCTTAGCAATAACAGCCAATTTAATTGCGAATTTGTAACGAAAGCGCGAAACTCATGAAAGTTGCGTGAGCCGCATAAATTCTCAGCGCAAAATGTGCAATAAATAAATTTATTGAAAGTGGGCACCAAAAAAACCCGCAAATATAAATTTAAAATTAACGTCAAGTAAAAAAAGAAATGAATAATAGAGCGTGACATTTAAGTGAACGAAGTTGTTATAAAATTCGTTATATAAGTCGAAGCCTTGGAAAGGAGTGGGTGAGGAGCTTCCAGATATAGTCTGGATTCTATTATGTCAAACCGAAAATCTTATAAATGGGATTTTGAACTTTTATTATACAAGTTTAGCTATCATCAATACTTTTTTAAACGGCTTTAGAAATCTAACAGTTATTCAAATTAAAAAAAGATCCTTCCACTGAAATAAGATTTATATGGGTTTTTTGCCATACCCAGGGTATTAAAGTTATTCCCAAATGTGTGTACATGCTTATGTCCGACATATGCATACATACACATCTAAATGTTGCAATTAAAAATTCAACGAACCACAAATCCGTAGCCGCAACAACAATCTTGTCAGCCACATTGAGGAAGCTCTGAGTACCGCACGTAGGTCATAACGCACACGATTTGATATGGAAAACACAATTTCAACAATAACAACGGGGTAACATTTGCCAAAAAAAGAAGATGAAGATGAGACATAGTCATATTTTGTTGTTGCTGGCATATATATAAGCGACGACTTCATTCAAAACAATGACAAAGCAAGCAAATTATAAAAATAAATATATACTTTGAAAATAAGCGATATGATTTAGAAATAAGAATTAATTCAAGTGCAGAAAAGCTCAAATCTGTATAGCTTTAAAATTGTGAAACTGTTAGACAGACAGAGATCATTGCATTCATAAGGAACAACAAACATTCTGTTGACATATTATTGCTGGAAGTAACAACAAAATGTCTCGTGTATCTATATAAAATATCTCGTTTTTTGTTGATGTTCGCATTGGCTAACGCATTAGTTTTAAGAGCAACATTGAAAGAACCTTGAGACGCCAACACAATAAACAAGCCACAAAGCGATTTCATAGTAAAGAAATATGGAATAGAATTTGGCTACAAAGAAAGTTGACTTTCAGATTTTTTTTGTTGGGAATAGGTGAGGTGCAACTGAAAATCATTAATCATTGGGCTTTGCGTTGCTATAAATGTTGTTGCATACGAATTTCAAAAAGTTCCGCGTGTATTTATTAAGTTTTAGTACGTTTTTTTATTGATAGTCAAATCGATCGTAGCCGGTTCCAAATCGAGTATATTTATGTGTTTTATGAGGTAGACAGAGCAAACTTAATAAATTCGAAACACGCTCTATTTTCGGCACCTCGCTAGGTAGTCGAACTTCCTCCTATAGAGAGTGAGAGACCTCAGTTTGCCTTGCACATTATTACATTTTTGTTCGACAGGAATTTTGATGACTTTAGGATGCACATTATTTTTATTGTTTTATTTTTAGCGAGACAATGACTTAAAATAAAAAAAAAGGCCAAAGTGCAAGCAACTTTGTCAGAAATATAAACAAATAAAAGTGTTGAAGTTCGAAATAAACACAACAAACTTGATAGATCATAACTAATAATTATATTTTAGGCATACGGTTTATGGCAGCATTAAATGTATTTGAAAACTGTATGCTAGGTATCTGAGAGCCAATCAGCTACACATAGAAGATTCTCAATCGTTATAGTTTGAAACAAGCAATACATAATCATCATATACCCAATAAATCCACATGGCGCCTATTCAAGTTTGGGGGCCAGCACGTTGCCACTTTATCAGCATCACGCTCACAAGATTCAAACTAAACGGAGCGAATGAAACTGAGCGCTGTGGCTGCTGCTACAACTGAGGCTGCAGCTCTAAGCGACAGCGTCGACAGCGCTGATCGAGCCAAGTTGAGTTAAGTTGAGTCGAGCTGAAACTGAACACTGAACACTGAGTGGCGCTGTGTGGTGCTGAGTTGGTTTGGTTTGTTCGCTGGTCGCCGTTTCTGTTTCTGCTTTCAGTTTCATTTGAGACGTCGTCGCGGCCGCAAGTGTTGAAAACAGCTGAACAACATCAGCAGCAGCAGCAACTACAACAACAACAACAACAACAATACGCAACGTGTGTGTCTCAACTTAATGAACATAATACAACCAACAACAAAAACCGACATCAACAAAAAAAAAATCATTTAAACGGGTTAATCAATATACGAGCAACAGTTGAGTTTTTTTCGGTGTGTCTGTGTGTGTTGTATTTTTTGGTCGGTCTGTAATCAAAACTGCACAAAGTGCAAGTGGCTGCTTTTTATTATTATTGTTGCTTTGCATAATCGTGTTAATTCATACACAATGCAAAGAAGTGCGCTAAAAACATAAATAAAGTGCAAGAGATTTACATATTAAGCCAATTCAATATATATGTATATATATATATCTATATATATATATATCTATATATATATTTACATTAAATCCGGCCTCTAAACAAGTTCGTTGCCTAAGTCATTTGTTTGCCAGCACCCAGTTCCAACTATCCATACTTTCAAAAACTTAATTATATATATAATACTCGCAATTTATTGCTAATATATGCAATTTTAAGCGTCCAGCAGCTCGCCACGTCAACAAGAAGTCGCATAAAAGGCAAGTGGGGTACAACAAATTCAGAATAAACAAAAGCAAACAAGAAGAATTTTGTGCTCAAAATGCCAAATGTCAAATTATACATAAAGCAAAAAGTTTATAAATCACAGACAAAATAATACAAAGAAATTGGTCAACGATAAGCAAAACAAAACAAATCATTTACAAAATTACTACGATTTCAATGTCAAGAAAAACCAACAATAAGTCAGTAAATGCTAATGCCGTTTTAGAAGGCGACGCGTGGGTTTCTCTAAAGGGTCGCCAAAGCGACGGCTATACTAGAACTGCCACAAATTGAGTGTATTTTATTATTGCCATTCCAATTTGTGTTGTTTGCTTTTCAAAAACAAACGCAACTTGGTAGAAAGCAATCAGAAAAACTGAAATTCGATGTATTCTGATTTTATGATTAACTTGGGTATACCCTGTGAACAGATTTCAAAATAATGACATGTGAAACGATGTTTGTTAGTGAACAAAGTAAAGTAAAGAACAAATCAACAAAAAATGTATAAAGTGTAATAAGCTCAGTTTGCACTTCATAATAATTTAGAATTGTATCTACTTAGAGAGCCTGTTAATAGTGACAGCTTAGAGTTTATTTAGAGTTCACGGGTGTTATGATTTATATTGTTGAGAATGTATGAGGTTCCAGGGGATTTCGTATTTTGGAGGTTCACAGTCACTTTTGCTTATTACTCATATATTTTAAGAACATTCAAGCTCCAACTCCATACTAATTTAAGTTATAAATTCACACTCAGTTGAAAGGTAACAAACTTTGAATATATAACTTCGAAGACAACATTCATTGCTGGCGATAGGCTTAGGGTATGTAAACACAACACAAAAGTGAACAAAAACGCAATTTGAATTTATAATTTTTGCAATTATTTCTCATTAATTTGTCGAGCTATAAAAACGGGAGGCAAGTGATATAAAAATCATAGCGCATATCTCAAATGCTTACGCGCTCTGTGAAATATATTATCTGCTCCGCTAACCCCGCTAACCCCACAAACCACCCACCTAGCCAGAGCAAACCGGGAACTCGAATAATTGCGCGTTTCTGATTTGTATATGGAATTTAAAAAATATCAGCTGCTGATTGATGAGCTGACGAAGCCAGTTTTGTAATTTGATGTTCTTCTTTAATTAAAAAATAAATTGCCTATAAATAATAATAAACAAATTACAGTCTGATCTCACACTTCAGCTCAGTACGGATTAGTTCAGTTTGCTGCGTTCACCGCAGAATTAACAATCTCACGTCAGCTGCAATCGAAAAGTTAAATATTTAATTCACTTTTGATTGATGTTAGATTTATGATCTTGTTAATTGTTGCCTTTGTTTTTAATTAAAATAAGCACTTATCACTTGAACGATGGAAATTTTTGAAGGCTTTGCAGTCTTTTAGTGATTTATGTATTTACTTTATTCTCTGAATAATGTCTTTGATCTGAACGATAGCTGTAAGATAACTTTAGATATTGGAAAGTTGCAGTCTAAGTACAGTTTTGGGATTATGAATGATGATGAAGCTAAACTAAACTAATCGTTTGTGATTTACATAGTCGCAAATACGTGTAAGGTCTCAAAAATCAAATGTACTCAAATGCTCTTCAAATTTAATTCTCAAGAAATGTTAAATTAACCTATAAAGCTTCAAAATAATTCTAATAATAATTTATAAATTATAAAACTTGCTTCATAAAATCGCCGCTGGCAATGTACTGTGATTACCCATAACATTGATTACAAGTGCCACTGACAATTAGCAATTTGAGCAACTGATTTCACGCTTCAGAGCACCGATAGACTAATTAAAACCCAATTCTGGCATTAAACTAATATAGAAGCATAACAGTCACTCCAATCAGTTTAGCACCTTCTGCTGACAACCGATTATTCATTAACTTTACTTTATTCAATCAAGAACTACGTGCGATATTGCACAGTTTGCTGTGGATTTATGAATGAAATTGTTGCATTTTGGATAAAAATCGATAAGCGGCTGAATGGCAATCGAACGTGTCAATTGACTTGCTAGCATTTATCGAAAATTGAAAGCGGAACTGCATTTTGCTTATAAGAATCTTATCAATTTTCGATAGGGGATTTGATGTCATGGCAACAGACATCAAGTTCTGTCTCTAAGTGGCGGTCTCTCTTCTAACGAACCGGCTCCACAAAATGCGCATTGACCTTGCAACGCCTAAAAAATGTAAAATACATTTTCGAGTTCGAGAAAAAAAACCGATGCGTGCGCAGCTGCCAAAAAAGAAAAACGAACGCAGAATATTTTAACTTAATTTATTTCCACATGTTCGCCGTCTTATTGTTGTTTTTGTTTTTGTTATGAACGCATATAAACGGCTTAACTTTTCAGTTTTTTTTATTTATTGTACTTTTGTTGTTGTTTTATATTTTATTGTATTTTTTATTTTTGCATGTCGTTCATTAATGACAACTGTTAGGATGAAGTGGCCACGTTGTTGCACACATCACGAGACACACAGCTAACTGAAGAGCCAAGAAATCAATCATTCAAATTGATTTGTTGCTAATTTGTTATTCAAACAAGACGCAAAATGCATTCATCAAAATAATAATAATAATAAAAGTAAATAAAAATAAATAAATACAAGGTATATAGATATTTACGTGTGTATGTTTGTATGTGTGTATTTCTGAAATTGTTGTTTGCATGGCCCGCAATCCAAGTGCTAATTGCATTTAGTTAATTGAATGTTAAAAGTTGATCAAATTGAGCGAAACAGCATTGGGAATTACCACAGCAAATTGACAACATGTTGGAAGATACTCTGCACATTATTCATATTTATACGATCGTTATGAAATGAGTACAAAATCAAAATATTATATTTTATCTTGCAAGCAGTTTTTAGCTAATTTTCTAAACCTTGTTCCATTCTAAGATTTCTATTACATTTGCAATACTCCATAATACCCCATTCCTCTGAACGATTTCAATGAATACGAGGTATAAAAACCCATCAAAATGTCAGGTTTATTCGACCGCAGGCATCAGTTTTATTTGGTTATTATGTTTTAATTATGGGTCTATGGAGCCTAACAAATACATGTCTTCATAAAGTAGCTATCAATGTTGTTGCTGTTGTTATTGTTGTTGCATTTGTGCGTCTCGCTCTTTAATCATTTGCTAATGTCAACGTCACAAGCGGCGGCTGCTCTTCGTTTTCCACAGCTGCAGCAGCAGGTTTCGATAAAAGCTTAAAAAAAACAGTCAAGAAACCTTGACCATATCGTGATTTGTTTATGTTCATTTCCCCCCCTCCCCTGCCCGCACAATCTATTTATGTATGTTTCCAATGCGCTACTCAATTTATTGAAGAGTTTTTCGGTTTTTAATTTTCTTAATTTAATTTTGGCAAAAAGAAAACTTTTCTCCAGATTAAAAATTGTGTTTATACATCATATTATTTATTTTGTAATTGTTGTCTTTCATTTTGTTTACATTTTTGAGCATTGTTAATGCCTTTTTTGCTCAGTCGTGTTCAATGTTTCACATTGACTCATGTTCATGAACATGACTTTTGGAAAATATCTGACTTGGTGTTTATCAAATAAAATGTGCGTGGTAAGCGGATTGTTTTTACCCCCGCCCCCACATAACTATCTCTTAATAGCAGCTTTCTGAGTGAATTGGTAGACCATTAAATACCACGCATTTTATTAAGAGTGGGTTGGAGTTTAAAGAGAGAAAGGATATGGGAATAAGTTAAGCTATATTAAATAATATAAATGTGATGAATATAGCTTAACTAATTATCATGGACTTCCCCTGAAAGTGGTTGCTTGGTTTGTTTTGTCTTTTCTCCCAAAAAAATTCCCACAATTTTCAGTTCAAGCCTCATTAAGAATCATCGTTAGTTTCACAATTTTACACACTCTCTTTCTCTGTCTCCTTCTCTCCAATTAGAACTAGTAAAAATTAGCTAAAATTCCAAACATAATAATTTAACTGCGAAACATTAAATATCTTCTTTTTTACCATTATCGATAATTATTAAAAATGGATTTAATGGCAGAATAATACGATAATTGTAAACACATTTCACTTTTTCGCATTGCGAAAGTATCGAAACTATGCAAACAACGGTAACTTAACAAAAATAAATAAATAATAATAATAATAATAATATGTGGCGCTTAATTGTGTCAATTTAACAAGCGACAATCAATCATGACTCTATTTTGGTAGCTTTCAAAAAATATTTGATTTATGACATTTATTGTTATTGTTGTTTTTTGCTTGCAGATTTATTTGAATGTTGATATAGTCGCGGCAGACACTAAGCAGAAGAGTAAAAAGTAAAACACCCCAAAACAGATTCCATTTCAATGATACTGCGAACAAGTCTCTGTGTGCTTGGTCTGCTTTGGTTGACGCTACTGCAGGCTCAAGTGGAGGGCAAGGATGAGGATTATGGCGGCGATAGCGGCGACATGGCCAGTGGCGGCAGCAGTGCTGACATCTACGAGCCAACGCAACAGGAGAGCGATACCGAGGCGGAAACCCAACAGCATCGCAATAGCATCGATGACGATGAGGGTCCACTGCACGCTCAGATTGTGAACGACCTGCTGTCCCTGGAGCAGCTGTCGACCACAGAAAAAATGGTGGTTGCTGACACCGAGGCGCCTCCTATCCCGCCAACAACTGCAGCTGCTGAGCCGGCTCAAACTGCGGAGTTCGATGAGAATACAGCGGCTGAGGTAATGGAGGATGCACCCACACAGAAAAAAGAGACGAAAGTCATGAAGCCAGTAGTTAAGAGTTCTCATCAGGACTACTACGATGAGATGACGGATGAGAAGCAGCCCGAAGAGCAGCAACCACCGGATGAACAGCGCAAGGAGCTAGCCACCACAACCACAGTGCCCGATTATGTGCGCAAAGCCAAGGCGGAAAGATATCCCCATGTGAATAGCGGCGACTATGCTGAAGAGGATATGACAGTGGAGCAGCAGACGCAGCGCATTAGCAAATCCAAAGCGCAGGACGAGGATATGATCTATCAAGATGAGCCGGCACAGCCACAGGCGCATATCCAACAGCTTCCCAAACAATACAGAGCTAAGCCTTTCAAGTCCAGCTCCGATGAGGACTACTATGAGGATCAGGTGGACAACGTGGACAGCGTGGAGCGACGAACCACAACACAAGCAACGACAACAACAACTATCGAGGCCCTACTGCCCGTGCTGCAGTCGCGATTCGGTGGCTTCGCTGGCTTTGGTGGTTGGCCCATTGGCTCAACGCCCAGCGCAGTGCCAACTGATGGTCCGCCAGTGGTTTTCACAACACCAATAACCACAACACCAGCAACGTCGACAACCTCAGCAACGACAACAACAGCAGCAACAACGACGACAACATCAACAATAACGACGACGACAACAACGCCGGCGCCACGCAAGCAATCGAAGCACATTCATCTTGCCAAGCCGGAATTGCTGCCCGCCGATCAGCTGCGCAACTACATCAAGGATGCGTACATACGGATGCCATTGGCAGTGATTGTGGATCCATCGGCGGCATCACTGGATCAGGCCAAACGCCTGTACATTGATGCGCTGCAGGACAAGAATATCAACATCAAAATTGTGCTCGTCACGCTGAATGAGTCCGGTAAGCAGCAAAAGATTGGCTTCGAATACGGATTGTGAACTACAGCAAACAACGTCTATAATTGGGAAACTATTTTAAGAATGGTGCTGCAATTTAAATTTACTGTGTTTGCTAAGAGCAGAAAAGCTAACAATATCCGAAAGAACATCAAAAACTAAAAACTATAAAGGGGTCTTAACATTTGAAAACTGGAGAAAAAAGAAAGCTTACATCGAAGCGTTATCGCTAATCAAAAATTTCAACCTTTCAGGTGTGCCATCCGCATTCAGTTTCAACAACACGCGCGAGTTCATTGCGGGCCTCAACAGCACCAAAGAGCACGAGGGCGGCAATGCGTTTGTGGGCGTGTTACAGGCCGCTGAACTGGTGCCCTACGACAGCGCCATATTTATCTCAACAGCTGCAATACCGCCACACACCGAAATGGTCCAGGATGCGGCAATAACACTACTAAAGAAGCGAATACGCGTAAGTCATGAAAATCAAATTGAAAGTGTTTAAATTGTTACTATAAAACTATATAAAGCTCCAAGCTCGACTACCATTCAATACAGTTTGGTCCCCAACTTGAACTGGTTGTGCTTTTTGCCTTTCGTCTTTCATCTTTCTCTTTTGTTTTGCAGTTGTTTATGCTGTGGTACGGTGAGCGCTCAGCAACCGAGAATGAAACCGAAGAGGCTGTGGGTGGCATTTTGGGCGAGGTGGCCATACGCTCGGGCGGCGAAATCATACACATCGTGAGCACAGAGCATGGACAGCATATAGCGGGCAATACGGTAAAGAGTCAACAACGATCATACACCTATAATTAGTATATATTAGTATAATTAAAAGGCTGTTTTGAAGCCAGTGTTGAAATTGAAAGTGGCGACAAAAACCAACCAAAACAATAACAATAACAGAAACACCAACAACAACAACAACAACAGCAGCAGCAGCCGTAGCAACAAGTGTTGCCCAAGCAACCAAGTGAGACGCAAATAGCAGCTTGGATTACCTTTCGGGCAGGTGCTCAAGAGCACGAAGCAATTTGTTGCCGTTGTTTTTTGTTGTTGATGATGTTGCATCTTTGTGCAAAACTAGGTTATGGAAAGAAAAGTGAAGGGCAATTTTGGTTTATAGAAAGGAAACTAGACATTCCAAGCAACCAAACAACAACTATTTAATGGCGCTAAATCTCTTTTCTTCTCTTCCCACTAAACTTTAAATTGCAGCTGACGCTCGTTTCGGATGCGTATCAGGGTGCCCAGGAGCTGGATCTGCCCGTGGACACGACGCTATCGAGTCTGCATGTGCACATCGATGCCAATATGCGTCGTGCCACACTGGCAACGCCCAATGGTGGTTAGTTCAACCAGTTAACCTACATCACAAAATTGCTATTTCACTCTTTTAGTACTAACCAAGTATGATGTAGTTGAAGTGTTGCAGTTGAAGAAGCATCAATGGCAGCAGACAATTTAAAGAGCAGGGTTGTTCTTCATACTAGAGCTTGTTGGTGTGTTGTATGAGAGAGTTCAGCGCGTACGGGTTCAACTATATGGGATCTTCAATTTAGTGGCACATTTGTGTATGGTCACGCCTAGGATAGCCTCGATTTAAGTCGTTTTGTAGCTAACTATATTATTACTATTACATATATATGTTAATTTAACTCATTCACACTCTATCCCTTTCTATCTCTAACTAAAGCCAGTGTTGTTAAATGTCTCAAGAGTCAACTGTACTTATTTATATGTGCTTAGCTTTAAGTTCTACATTAACTAACCAGACACCCTACCTTATCCCCCCAACTGATACTTTTATGTACATATACAGCCAAAAAAAAAAAACAACAACAAAATCCCCTAAAATAACTCCTCCAACGCTTTCCTTAACCAAAACGCTAGCTTTATGCTAAAAACGTAACATTAACAAGTAGTACAAAAGAATTTCTTCAAATATATGTTTATATATATATATAGATTTATATATATATATATGACGGACACACAGAAATGTATATGTCTATGTTTTACACAAATAAAATAATAAATGTTAAGCTTTAATGGTCTAAAATAAAAAACAACGTTTAAAAAAGACACACACACAACCAATTCTAGCTAATCACAACAAATATTTCTCGGCGTACTTTTAACTTTAGTTCCCAAGCAATCCTCAGCACAAGTTTAACTCGATCTTGCACCTGTTGTTCCTTTTTTGTGTTTTGTCCTACGCGTAAGTATATCGAGTATTTGTATTGTTTCTATAATTTCACACTTGTTTTCGTTCACTTGACTAACTCGGCTTTCGATTTGTTACTGCTTTCTAACCGCAATGCACATCTATACTTTATACGTAATTGCTATCAAATTAGCCTCAGATTAAATAGCCGAACTCTTAAATTAATCACCCAGCCATCGACAACACATGTCCACGTCGGCGAGCAAAGTTCATAAACATATAAATAGATTATACAAACAATGCAACCCAGACAAAAAGGCAAATATGACTCAAGACTCAATTGTCGAACCGTCTGCCTCAGAAGAGATTCAAATGTGAGCGACGCCTTATCGGCATAGCCTTTAAACATCGTAGATTATTAATTAAAAAAAAAAAAACAAACAAGATCTAAATTAAAAGTTGCCTCAGTCTGCTGAAGCCCACAGTTGGTTAGAAAGATCGGTAATTGGAACTGAAAGCAAACCAGTTCACTTATTATATTCTAATATTCTCGAGTAGTCGACAGTAAAAATAATAATTTTAAATTAATTGTCTATGACTCGCAAGAGCATCGTCCCCCTTTAACCAATTCAAATTGCATCATTGATTGTTGGTTGTTAAACATCAATTAAAATTGCTAATCAAATATTTGCACTGCTTACTAATCATCATTAAATAAGTTCGCAGTGAACTTTAATAACACAGTTATAAAAGAGCTTGCGGAAGCACTCACACCCACACACATTCACACACAGCCACGCAAAACACACAAGCAAGCAAGTTTGCCACCGCTTTTTGTACAAATCAATTGAAGTAGCCAACGTTTTGCCTGCCACAACTTGGCAAATATTGCAAGACGCACTTTGTAAAACGATTAGCGCATAAGCTAATCAGAAAAATGGTTAAAATATAACGTTTAAAAAATTCATATTTATCGCACACACACACACAACACACACGAGGCAAAATTGTTATTTAATTATTTGCCAAAATTGCCACATTGCAGCAATAGTCAGATATATTTATATTAACAAATTTTGTACATACACAAACACAAGTTGGCGGCCAACATGCATTTATTTGTCCACTGCCATGGCCAAGTTCAAAAGTGGCCTGAGCAAAATCGACTGCGTCTGTTGATGATGCACACGAACGGATGTAAATGGAAATTTACAATATTGCACGGCTGTCCATGTCACAGGTGGCAAGTGTGGCTTGCGCAACAATTTGGCAGCATCTAATTGTTTAATAATTTGTTTGATTTCACAATGCGAAACAATCGTTTTTATGTTAAGTATTTAGCAGAAGTGATTGCGTTTCACAACAACAAAACAACAACAACAGGAATCACACCAACAGCTGCATAACATACACAACACCACTCGGAGAGTTGCCAGTGCGCAATGTGGTTTACGTTTTGTTTCTAATAATTGCCGTAAATGATAATAGCCTGCACAATTGACTGCATGTCAAACTGCAATAATGTGCAGACGATTAGTTGCGTATATATTTAATTTTATTATTATTTTATGTACACAGTGTGCGCGCACAACAGTCTGGCAACGCTAAGCGTGAACAGCTGTACGCCCGCTTTCGTTGTGAATGGCAAAGGGGCACCTGTTAATTTATTGTTTATGTGTACATTTTCGTTTAGAAATCAACTTGAAGAAACTGGTTAAATTCAAGTCAACCAACGATACACGAAATACCAACAACGACGAACTAGACGCCTACGTACCGCTCAACAAACTGCGCAAAGCGACAATCCTCAGGTTGCAATTAACGCCACAATTGCCCAATGTCGAATACAATGTTTTTGTACGCGCCGAACGCAAAGCTGATGTTTTTCTGGGTGAGTTATTTTTTCTACTTAACGAAACAAATCAATTAGAAATTGTAAAAATGAACTTGTCGACCGCGCTTGACGCATAAAACTGAACAGGAACAAAATTATAATACACAGATGCGCTACTTGTGGCAGCAAAAAAAAAAAAGAACAAGACTTGCTGAATGTTGCTCTGTGCTTTGGCGATAAGAGGCCTGCCTGCCTGTGAAACTGATAACCGTACCAACCTTGAAGGCTGCTTAAGTAGCGTCATTCCAGCAGAATCGTTGCTGACGACAACCAACCAGCCAAGCGAGCCAAACAATCCAAGCAAGCGAGCATCCCATCCGTCGTCACACAATACAGAAACCTATCAACAACAAAAGAGATGTGTGCAACTCAAATCTGAGTTGGGCGCGTGTCGTGACACGACTTGACCCTCAAATTTAGGGATGTGAAATTAAGAAATACATTTAATAATCTGCAGAAAATTCGGAATAAAAACATTAAAAACAACTTTTAAAAAAAATAATAAAAAAAACAAGTCCACTATTAACTTTTCAATATTAAATCGTAAGAAAAATTGTGTTGCACGTATCAGCAATTTGAAAGTTGACAATTCCTGTTTGTGTTCTGAATTGCAGGTGAAATCATTAAGCGCATCGATAGCTACTATTCTTATGGACGCACTGAACGCCCTGTCGTGCCACAGACACGCCTGGCCAAGCTGAAGTTTCCGGAGACAAAGGAGAAGCTGGAGAATGAAGTGGATTCGCCCAAGAGCGAAGTGGAAACCTTTTCCGAAACGGAGTTGGTGCAGCCAGCGACGAGTCTCAATCAGACGCAATTTGCGGCTGCCACCGGGGAACGTGCCAACTTGAATGCCATGTTGCTGCAACGTTGTGGCACCAAAATTGAGCTGAGCACGCAATCCGAGCTGCTGGCAACGCCCGGCCAGGTATCCACGCTGCTCTTCGAGGTGACGAATATGCGTCCGGAGCGCGTCTATCAAACGGTGCAGGTAACAGACGAGCGACGCTTCCTCGCCCAGCTCAATCCAACGAGGTGAGTCAGAGAAGTTAACTACTTGTTGTTCAAATTCACATTCTCTCTCTCCGTTTTGCAGTTTCTATTTGCGGGCACGCGAGACGAACACTGTGCGTCTGACTGTACTCGTGCCTTCTGGCACACCACCGGGCACAACGGACAGAATTAGTTTTACCAGCTATGGCAGCGAAACGGCCACATTGGCGGTTAGCGTGAAAGCCGTCTCCAGCTTTGATGCCCAGGTGCGTCTTCTAGTTTTGACCAATAACAAAAAAACGTCTCTCATTTCCATTTCCACTTAAAGGATTCCACTGGACCCAACTTGTCCTGGGAGTTTGGCAATCGATGCAACTACATCTCGAACGATGGCCAGGGATGTGGCGATCGCTTTTGGACTTTAGACATTACGGCACAGGATTGGCAGTCGGGCATGCTGCGTTTGCAGACGACTCCGCCGGAGGGTCTCTTCTATCGCAACTATTACACGGCAGGCACCACCGAACCCCTCAAGGCCACCTACATGGCATCCTGCTGTGAACCCAAAATGGCCATCACCGCCTTCGATGCGGCGGGCAATCAGCGCAGCATTAATATCGATGTGAGAGATGTTGTCCTCACGGAGGCAGCAATTGCAGCCATCTGTCTGGGCTCAATTCTGTTGCTGCTGCTGATTGTGCTGCTCGTGTGGAGCATTGTGTGGTGTTGCAAGCGACGCAAGGTGTCCCTGGAGCTGCCCACCTATCGTTCCCACTCCACGCGGAGCATGGAATAGTTTTAGAGCATTTTGAAAAGATATTGTGCCAAAAATATGATAACAGCCTCAACAATGAAATTTAAGCAGTGCCCAATAAAAATACAGTAGTCACTCGAAAGTGTAAACTTTAAGAAAACCATAAGCGTAATTTTGTCATTCTAACTAACTAACTAATATAATAATTACAATGATAATATTTTCAAAAAATGACTATCAGAAAATGTGAGATTATTGTTCGTCACGGTTTTATTTTGCTAAGGACTACTGTACCAGAAAAACCCTTATCACAAAAAAAAAAACTAAGAAGCAACAAGTGACAATTGAACTCCGGCCCAAATTCGTTGATATAAATTCTCTATCTCTCCCTCAGTTTCTCTCTCTCTCTCACGGGTTGCTGACACACTTACCGCGATTGAGAATGCCAGCGATGAGAGCGTTCGTTGGCTGCGAGGGCGTTGCATGCACCACGGGCGGCGCTGCGGGCAGCAGCAGCGGCTTATTAGGATAATCATCGTAGCTCAATCCGGTCACCGAAGCGCTGAGCAGTGGATTTTTTACAATCCGATTGGCAGCATTGTTGTTGACGCGCGACGACACGTCACCTTTGGAGCGCTCAGACATGTTGACAGACGCGTTTTCGCACGCAGCGTTGCTTGCTGGCAATGACGCGTCTGTTGCGCAATACAAATTGCTGTGTAATAAATACGCTTTTCTTGATCGCACCGTTGGGCGAAATGTTAAGAAAACAACAAAGCAGTCAAAAAGTTCACTTGCAACGCGCACAGCACAGACACCAGGGCTGCAGCAAATCGGTCAAGTGAGCGCTTCGTCAAGTGTGGAGGCTCGTCAAGTTTAAAGTTGGGTGAACATGTGAATGGCATGTTAACAAGAGCGGTTTATTTAATATGTCACAAATTTGCACTAAATATGAATATTATAAATCTATTCAATTCAATTTTTAAAATTTGCACAACATATTTAGTAAGAAAAGAAATGAATGTGCTTTTATTATTTGTTGGTCACAATGTTCAAAGGTTTCTCTGTACTAACGGCTGTTACACCGCTGTTAAGGCAAGTGGAAAGTTTTGCCGCTTGTCGCATCGCAAGCACATCGCAAAGTTTGTAGTTATAAAAATAGTGCAATCATTTTAGTAGAAGTGTGTGGTAAGCTTTAAACATTACGCCCTATGTTAACAGGGAGTTTGAGGGATTGCTGAAATAAAGTGCTGAAAAATTTGTGTACAATTTACCGGCAAATTAGCGGCTCAAGGTCACATTTGATTTGATAATGCGACCTGTGTTTATAATATAAATACATAATGTAGCTATGCATATGCAGTATGTATTCAAATATATTTATCTATACAATTCTGCACAGATTTTTAAATCTGCATTAACAATAATTCTATTGTATTTTCATTTGCACCTGTGGCAAACAGTAATTTGTAAGCTCAATAAAAGCTTATGCACTATCAATACACAATCTGTAGTGTTATTCTATGTGTGTGCGAATGTGTATGTGTTGAGTACGCTTAGAGAATATCAATACAATATCATACAGCTGCGGTTAAAATAATAGATCTTTTGGAAAATGTTACAAATAATAAATATTTAAAATATAGTTTAAAAATTCTGAAAATGTTATTTAAACACAAGCAATCAATATTGAACCAAAGGTATACATTAAAAGTGTATTTTAAAACATTCCCAGCTGATAAACTAAACATTTTTGGTTTTGCCGAATGGAATTTGTCTTCATGTTGAAGATTTTGAATAGGTCTTGATTTTATCACCATAAAATAAGTCATATTTTGAACAAATTCTCCGGGAAGCACTACTACTATTATTTTGACCGCAACTGTATGTGTATGTATCTATTGCAAGACTTGCTTGATTGCACTTGGGACATTGTAAATAGTCGAATAATCCATTTTACCATATAAGATGTGTCGAATTAATATTAATTTCGATATTAATTCAACTTTAAATATTTTATAAATAACAACTTATAATTAAAAAACTAATTAAAAATATAGCGATGCCTGGTAAAAGATAAAATTAATACAATAAATGCAATATTGGAATATATATACAAGCATAGCTTGTTCTAAAGTAAAACAATATATAAATAAATGTACATAAAAGATACTCTATAAGGCTTTAAGATCTGTCACGTTGTCCGTTATTATACCCTCTGTGAAGGGCATCCAGATAAATATTCGAGTGCATACAATCAGACCTTATCTCTTTCTCACTCTCTCTCCCTATCTCCCTGTCTCCCTGTCTTTCTTACTCATCGCTGATAGCACTCCCGGATTTAACTAAGAATATTTAATAAAGAACCTACTCGCAGATCGAAGCAGAAACATTCAACATGTCATCGGGCAAACTCATTCGTTGGGGCATCGTATCCGCTGGCAAGATTAGCGAGGACTTTGTCATTGCGCTGAGCACACTGCCAGCCAGCGATCACCAGGTGGTTGCCGTGGCTGCCCGGGCCCAGGAGTGTGCTGCGGCGTTTGCCAAGAAGCACGAGATACCCAATGCCTACGGTAGCTACGAGGAGCTGGCCAAGAGCAAAGATGTGGGTGAGTTTCTATCATTGCAAGGCTCCTATTCGGATATTAATACCGGAATCCTTACCAGATGTGGTGTACATTGGCGCGCTTAATCCGCAGCACTATGAGATCTCCCTGCTGATCCTGAACCACGGCAAGCATGTGCTCTGCGAGAAACCTCTGGCCATGAACAAGAAACAAGTGGAGGGCATTTTAGCTGCTGCCAAGGCCAACAAGTGCTTCTTCATGGAGGCCGTCTGGTCGCGTTTCTTTCCTTCCTATCAACATGTGCGCCAGCTCATCGAAACTGGTGCACTCGGCGACATTAAAAATGTGGAAGTCGCCTTTGGTTTTCCCCTGGCCGCCGTCGACCGCCTGCAGTAAGTAGAAGACTGCAGTTGAACACAATAAGTGATAAGAGCTAAATCCAATTGATCCTTGCAGGAAGCGGGAATTGGGCGGTGGTGTCGTTTACGATCTGGGCATTTACACCATTCAGGTATCGCAGTGGGCCTTCCAGGAACCACCACAGAAAATCGAATCAACTGGTCTGACCAACAACGAGGGCATCGATGATGATGTCAGCTGCACGCTCACCTACAGCGGTGGTCGCACTGCAAAGATGCGCTTGTCATCCAAGGAAAAGCTCGATAACAAGGCAATCATCAAGGGCACCAAAGGTGAAATAACGGTAAGTCAACAACGCTTCATGCTTCAAAACATTGAAAAGTGTGTTCACATTGCCGGCAAATGATCAAAGTTTGAGTGTTTCTGAGACGATGACGAAAATGTATTTCTTACTTCAAGTTTATTGTTTTGATTAATTGTCATTTTCAGTTGATTGACTTCTGGTCTCCCAACAAGATCATCGACATTGATGGCAAGGAGAAGGAGTGGCTGCCTCCAAAAGGCAAGTACGCAACCAACTATGGCAACTCGGAATGCATGCGCTACGAGGCGGAGGCAGTGCGTCAATCTATACTCGCTGGCGAGATGGAGAACAAAACCGTCAGCTATGCGGATAGTTTGCTGTTTGCGGAAATTGAGGATACAATCAGGAAACAAATCGGTGTGCTCAACAAATATGATGAAGAGTAACCAAATACAAATACTTAAGAATTTATGAAAAATGTTATTAAATTTAAAAGAGTTGAATAAACGTTTCTAATTTTATATTTGTATTGATTTTGCATATTTTGATGGAGAAGAATTCTATTTAATTTCAGTTCAACTTACAATCTTTTAGCTCAATAAACAATAATAATAGAGTTTTATTTTAGAGATTAGATTGCCTATATGTGTATAATACCAGAAATCGTAATTACAAGCTATGACTTTGCTTAGGTCAAGCTATAATATATGTTCGGAAATCTAATCGCGTCTAAATAGTGATGTACATATAAGAGCTATAAGTAATTGAGTGTCTCTCGCTGTGAATACATATATTTAAAGTGACTAAGTCTGAAAGTAATCAATAAATGTATATTTTGGATCATCCTTTATTTACTATCTACATAAACCTAACCTATTGTCAATAGTTACGTCATTATATGATTAATCACTTCACATAAAAAGAGGGCTCGACTCTTAGGCGATAAGATTGGGCAAGTAATTACAGCTAGATAGCTTAGTATATAATATAATACATAAAAGTCATATACGTAATTCTGATATCTTATTAACAATAGACATTTAACATATTTTTAAATATACTTTTTTCTAAAGTGTTTTGATCGTCTGATGAACTTCAAAAATTGATTCACTTCTCATATTATACAAGATGAACTATACTTGTATGCTGAGAACTGACAGACCGTGTTATAACCCATGTTATCAGTTGAGAATGCAATGACGAAAGTTGCAGTCAATGCAGATGCTAGGGTTTGATAAGCGAACACCCGAGCACCAGATCCGCCTGCAAACAGTTACGCCAAAGACTTCGAGTTGACAGCACGGACTCGAATTCGAATCGAATCTGTTACGATGCAGAGCCAAACACTTAATTGGGGCATTGCAGCCGCTGGACGGATTACCCAGGATTTTGTCACAGCGCTGGGCACAATTGGGGGTTCTCATCATGCTGTGCTCGCCGTGGCGGATGTGGACGGTTCACGTGCCCAGGAGTTTGCACAGCGCAATCAGATAGTGCGTCACTACGATGGCTTTGAGGCGCTCTCCTTGGATCGTGAGGTGGATGTCGTCTATGTGGGCACACTGAATCCCTTTCACTATGCCGTCGTTCGGCTCATGCTGTCGCGGGGCAAACATGTGCTCTGCGAAACGCCGCTGTGTCTGGGCCTGCCACAGGCAAGCGAGCTCTACGCCCTGGCGGAGCAGCGTGGCCTTTTCCTCATGGAGGGTAAGTAAGTGTTTGCACCTTTGACTAGGAAATCTCCACCGTACACTCTGCAGGCATGTGGAGTCGCTTCTTTCCTAGCTACGATCGATTGCGCGAACTGCTGCTCAGCGATTGCATTGGCGAAGTGAAGCTGATCAAGTTGCAGCACGGGTTCCGTTTGGCCAATGTGGAGCGCGTGGCCAGCCGTGCGCTGGGTGGCTCCATTACCTTGGACATTGGCATCTATGCACTGCAGCTGGGTCAGTTTGTCTTTGGCACGGCGCCGGTGAAGATCATTCCGAGTGGCACTCTACTCAATGCTGATCGGGTCGATGTGCAAACGGAATTCATGCTGGATTACGGCGACAATCGTCGTCTGATGGCAGTTATTACGGGCCTGGAGAATCTGGAAAATGATGCGACTATTGTGGGCACCAAAGGCGAGATTAAGGTAAGGCTTATCGCACAGTTGTGACCTCTAGCAAGCCTTAGCTTATCAGTGACAATCACCCACATTGTCAGCTCTCCAACTACTGGTGCTGCACGCAACTGACGCGCTCCAACAATCCTCCGGAGTCCTGGCCGCTGCCTAGTGCCAAGTTTGATTTCCACTACACCAACTCGTGTGGACTGCGCTTCGAGGCGGAGGAGGTGCGCAAATGCATCGAGAAACGGCTGCTGGAGAGTCCCAAATTTACCCATGCCGAGAGCCTGGAACTGATTGCCCTAACGGACCAGATCCGCCTGCAAATTGGCGTCAACTATGACGATGTGCTCAGCAGGCAGACGTAGACAGGAATCTCTTTATATATATATATATAAATTACTTTCTTGGCATACTAAATTAAAGAATCTTATTTACTGGAATACTGAATTTGTAGCTTAAGCGTATGTCTGGGATTTCCGAACTTAAATCCTACTTTGATATATTTACAATCTTTTTGAAAAACAGTTCGCATTTATTGTCATTTGTTATTGATAATAAAGAATCCTTATTAAAGATTAGTGATTGTGTTCTAAAAACCTTTAAAGCTTGTCGACAGTCTCCCAAGACACATGAATGCAGTTAATGTTTGTATTTTGTATTCAATATTTATTTAAATAATTGCAATTACTTTTTACTTTTTACTTTTTATTTAGTTCATCTTACGTTTTCTTTTTTATGCTTTGTTTTGCTTTTTCTCTTCTGCTTTTATTTTATATTATTTTTTTATGGTTGCATATACTATTTATTACTAATTCATGTCTAATGTATATTTTTTGCTGTTGTTGTTTTTGCTGCTGCTGCCAGTTGTTTAGAAAGGCTTATCGGCTAGGGTCAAAACCGGGAACTTAAGAACTAATTGAATACTTAAGAACGTTGGCGACGTAAACAAATATAAAACTTTTATCAATTGAAAGAACATTTAATTTATGAATTATCAACTAAATGCAAAAGCAACATATTGAAATAAGTTAAATAATTAAAGAGCATTAATTCTGATTGTTCGCAAAAAAAAAATAAAATAAAAATAAAAGAAACAGAAAATACAAATACAAATAGTGAAATAGTAATAATTAAAAAGGATATTTTTCGTTTTTATACATGAATTGTTCAAGGCTCAGCTGGATTAAATTCGTTGGGACAACGCTAGACATAAGGAAGTAGCTGGTGATTTCGTCTCTGTAGATTAGATGATTACAATGCTTCTTGTATTACTTGTTGCAAAACGAAAAGAAAATAAAATCACGAATTATTCAAGATGCCAACCTAAGCAACGAAGTGACTAAAATTACAATATATACTTAAGACTAAGTAATTGTAAATTGTAACAATTAAAACTGATTTATACAAGGCGAGCAGGCATTTTTATGTGTAGCCCGCTGCTGCTGCTGCAGAGTACGGAAGAGTACGCAGAGGCGAGGAAGATGTGTGGGGCACAAATTATAATGTGTAGACACGCATAATATTTTTGTTTTTGATTCCGACGCTGCCACCACTTAAACATAATTAAGTCTTCTGCTGTGTATATCATTTCTATAAAAACTATGCCAGTTGTTTCGCTGCCAAGCTTTAATTGCTGCTGCTCGGTAAGGACTCGGCTAGACTGGCGCTGGCATCCAGCGGCTGGCGTGGCTGTGGCGTTGTTGCCACACCCATGAGCTGTTTGTGCTGCGGCTGCTGATCGAGAACGGCGACAATTGGCGTGGGATTGATTAGCGGCGGTGGCAGGCCCTCGAAGGTCATGCAGCTGCGCTGCGCCTCCTCCACAATGGGCGGCGTGTCAATTGAATCGATGGTGGTGCTTGTGTTGATGGTTGTTGTGGTGCCACTGGTGCTACTGGCGCTGCAACTGTTGCTGCTGCTGCTACTCCGCACAGCGGCATAGCCCTCTGAGACGGCAACCAAAGCCACGGTGGTATTACGATTGTGCTGCAACAGATCGTTGATCTGCGACAGACGCGACGAGCTGCTTATGGGCGCATTCAGGCTGATGAAATCCACGGGGCCAGCGCCGACAACACCACCACCACCACCACCACCGATCCGGGCCAGGCCGCTGGCACAGCTGCTGGCCGTTATGGATATGCTGCTGCTGTTGCTGATGCTGATCATTGTGGCGGCGGTCGTTCCTAACGCATTCGCATTCTGATATTGCGTCGCATTCGAGGCGGTGGTTGTGGCATTTCCAAACGGCGGCACAGATGGCACAGCACACGAACTATAGCCACCGACGGTGGCTGCAATGCCACCTCCTGTATTTGGCGTCGTCTGCTGATACCCGTTGTAAGAGTTGAGCTGCAAATGACAAAATGAAATACAAATTAATTTCAAATCAAATACAACTTGCAAATGTTCCTCGCATAATCTAAAGAGGCAATGTAAAATATACATAGACAAATTAAAATTAAAAATTAAGGCTACAAAAGTCTGTCAAAGTGCTGCGATTGCAGTAGCTGTTTCCAATCAAGAGTCAGGAGGTCAATCGCAAGACGAGCTTCCTTCAGAAGGTTAGCTTATTTTTTGCTGTCCCTGCTGAGGACATATCTGCTGAAAGGTAAGTTGAATAATTGGATGCTGTTTGCTTTTGGCAAGCATTTTGTGCTTTATAGTGCACAATGACATCATCATTTGACATCGACGTTGCCGTCCTTCGGCTGATAAGCTTTGACAAGGAATTGAGCAGACGCAGCTATGAGCCTTTGAGGTGCTTCCCCGAACGCAACCCATCTACATCAAGAACTTTTTGTTGGCCATGGTCTTTCTCTGGGCATTGTCATTGAGACCTTTGGATAGAGACTTCTCATTCACATCTTAAACTTTAATGTCATCATCTTTGCCATTGAAACTGAACTACTTATATAGACTTGAGCAATTCACTTTGAGACCGCTTATAGATATATCATACATTGGTCTTAGTACTACCTATAAAAATCAAATAATTTACATTAAATAAAAAAGGAAATATTAAATGAATATAATAATTATTCATATAATCTAAACGACACAGAATCTGTATAATGGATAGATACATACTTCTCATTAACTTCATCTTCAGTACGTCGGAGACGTCAGCTCAAGAATATATATGAACTTATAAACATCTACATTATCGATTTTCCTAGATACACATCAGTTATATCTTAAACCCCGTCAGATTTAGTAAACTTGTCAACATAGATTGAGTTCTGTTTGCCTAGGCAAAATCGCTTGTTTTGAGTCCCACACTCACCTGGTTGCTGCCATAGCTGATGGTCTGATGAAAGGTGGGCGTTAGTAGCTCACCGTAGGAGGGCGTGGCATTGCTGCCGGTGGTAAATAGGCCCGAATCGAGGCTGTCCAACTGTGGATAGATCGTCGCATAGCTGGACTGCGGCTGCGTCGCGTTGCCATTGACCGTGGAACCGGGTGAGGTCTGCGGCGTCTGCTGCTGCTGCTGATAGTAGCTGACGCTCGTCTCGGGCGTGTAGGCTGGTGAGGCATAGCCGGAGCTGTAATTCGACTGCGGCTGCATGAAGAAACAGTGCGAGGAGGCGGCAGCAGCTGCAGCAGCGGCTGCCACCGCCGAGCTGCTGTTGCCGGAGACGCTGCTGCTGCCGTAGATCAAACTGTTGCCGACGCTGCTGCTGCCGCTGCCACTGCCACTGTTCGCCGCCGAGGAGTGTGCCTGGCTCTGGCGCTGCTCCATGTCCAGCCGCATCACGGTGTGTATATAATGGGTGCGCACACGCGTCGGATTGAATTCGACGCGGCCGACGGTGTTGCCGCATGCCTCGCGCGAACATCCGCAGGGGAACATGGCGCGATCCACTTGACACTTGATGCCCGCCTGGCTGCAGGCGCACGTCTCCGGATCGCAGAATTCGCGACACGAGCAGCCGCACACCTCGCGCGAATTGCGTATGTCCCGGCAGTCGATCTTCTCGCTGGCATCGATCTTGCGCACACCGGCCGCCTTGAGCAGGACACGTCGCTGCTTGGGCGTCACCGGCTGCAGGAACCCATTGGAGCCATCGTCGGCATCGGAGCCGCTGCCCTCGCTCAAATAATCCTCCTCGGACTCTTCGCTATCATCGCTGCTGGAGCCACGCGTCTGCTGCAGTTGCTGCTGTGCCTGCTGCTGTTGCTGCTCCTGATTCTGGCTACGATGAGCGCGCCGCAGCTCAGACGCATGCTCCGCCAGCGTCATGGTCTTGAAGGCAATATGCCGGGCGCCCATGCCCAGTGTACAGCCGCCGGCGGTGGGCACACAGCCAAAGCCCTGTTGCCGTGGAAAATAGTAGATCTTAACGTTATCGAAATTAATGCTACGCTTGGGCCGCTTCTGTGTGATCGACGAGCAGCTCGAGATGGGTAGCAGTTCCAGCTCCATGGCATCATCATCCAGACGACGCTTCAAATTGGAGCGGAGCGGCTTCTGCAAGCTTGTCGTTGTTGTTGCTGTTGTTGTTGTGGTTTGTCTGTCGTTTTCACCACCCAGACCCGAATCGGAGCCAGCATCGCTGCGCAGCTCCTCCTCTCGCCGCCTGGTGGGTGGCTTAATAACTGTGCCTGCTGTTACAGCTGCTGCTGAGGAGGAGCTGCTGATGATGCAGCCTGCAACGGGAAGAACACTATTGCAGCTGCTGCTGCTGCCGATGGTAAGCTGCGCACTTGGTGTGTCCAATTTGAGCCAGAGCAGATCGCCGCTGCTGTCCGCTTCTTCTTCGTCCTCCTCCTCGTCGTCGTCAACCTCCTTTTGGGCGTAGTCATCTATGGCCAGGGGATCCTCGGATATGTTGTCGGAGGCAAGCGATGAGTTTAGATCTTGATCGCTCAGCACAATAATCTCATTGTTTGGAAAATTGTCCAGTTCGAGAAACTGTTCTTCCAGATCTTCATCGACAACATCGTCGTCGTCGTCATCCTCCTCCTCGACATCAACACCCACACTGGCCAGTGCCAGCGGTTCGTCCACAAAGTCCGCCAGCTCATCGTCCAGCTGCAGTTGCAGAGGCTGCACAAGTTTCGCCTTTGCCGCATGCACCTTGCTCGCATCAATGATCGATGTTTTTATTTGACGCTCAATGTCCTCATCGTCCAGTTGTTGTTGTTGTTGCTCCGCCTTCGTCTCCTGCACCTGCTCCAGTGGCAGCTGCTGCGCCAGCTCCAGTTTCTCTGCCTGCTCCAGTTGGTTGCTTGTGGCGCTCTCATCCTCCGGCTTTATTATGCTGCTTGTTGTTGTCCCAAACATTGCTCCAGCACTTGCATTTTTCTGAATGTACGTGAAAATCTTCTTGATCGGACGGAACATGCTCCTCATGGTCCCGCCCCCAAGAGGCTCAGCAGCGAGTTGTGTTGCTTAGTTCTTCAACCTGCCAATTAAATGCGGCTGCTGCTTCTGTTCCATCTGCAATGAAAGACGCAAAACAAACACAATTTAAGTAATTGATGGGACAAAAATTACAATTTTTGTTTAGAAACTATGCATTTTTTAAAGATGTTTTCCATTGGGCATAAATAGTTGAATATATTAAAATTATGAGACTGTTACACAATATTTATAATTAATAATGTTTTTTCAGAACCTGATCTAACAATCAATCGCTCAATTACTGTCTATATAGTTGTGCATCGGATATATATTTATATATATATATTGCGTATATAGTCTCATAATTTAAATATATATATATATTATATATACACAATTGAATACATAGATATGTATATACAAACATCGAGAAGCAGGCACGCCTAGAAAGGCAGGCAAGCAGGCAGGTGATGTCTGCAGCTGCTGCCACGTGCAAATTTGTCCAGGATTAGTGAAAAAAGGGTTTTTTACCAACTATGCATATGAATGAATGTGCAACAGCTTGTAGCACTAAAAATTAACTAAAAACTAAAAATGGAAGGAAAAAAAAACAAAATATAATTCAAACGTATTATGCTCAAGTAAAATCAATAATTTACGCACTTTTCTAACGCGTTTTAATTGCGCTTTTCCGTGACACTTGATGCAAATTTTCCAACTCCTTTTTCGAATTTGCGTTGCAGCTGTGAAATTGCGACGGGAGCCACTGTATGTGTGTGTGTGTGTGAGTAAAGGAGGCGCAGCACAGATCGCAAATGTCAATTGCTGCGAGTGTGTTGTGTGTGTGCGGTGTGTGAGTGTTCGCAACTGGACGCGGTTTATGCGTGTATTAAGTGCGACGATTCCCTTAAATATTGTTAGCACTATTATTAAGCCGAAAACTTGCTGTTTAACATAAATTATTTAATCAAATCTTGGATTTTTCAGATTTTAGATTGACGTTTTCACTTCCCGTCTCGCAATGTTATTACCATTTACTGTCATTCACAAAATACTCAAAATTAAAATCTCAATGTGACCAGACACGCGGAAATACCGAAAATACCAGTGTAAATCGTATCGTCTGCGACGATGACGTAGTTCGTTGAAGTTAACGTAGTCCAAGAACATTGATTTGACGCCACTTTAAATGGGAGCTTGATGCTTCCATCCATAACTAACTGATGTTAACAGAAATAACATTTAAGTTAAAAATGTCAAAGATTAAAGAAAATGTGTAGCACGAAATTATTGACTGAATAAACAAAGTACCTTTTCACTTGTTTAACTAACTAACTTATTGTTCATACTAGCATTAACGGCCTTACCGTTTTTTATAATTCAGTAAGTATCATCTCTAACACAGCACATTTTTGGGAAAAATTATACCTAAATATATATAGATAAAATTTTCATTCAGCAGGGATTAAATTTCCAAGCCAAATTAGAAATTATATTTCAATGGCATATAATTTTGGGCTTCTAAACACGGAGTGAGTAATTTCATTTAAAAATTCAAAATGTACTGTTCCGTTACATAAAGGGTACACTCGATGTGGGTCGATGTTTTGCAAAAATACAAAAATTACGATCAAGTATCGTAAAATATCGTCATCGCTGCAGCGAAGAATCGATTCATACATGTTCCGATGTTTTTTACATCACTAATTAAAAATGTAAGTGGATTCAAGTTCAGCAATAATTTAGGCAATAATTGCAACAAATAAACGTAGTGGTAAAAGCATTAAAATTTGCAAATTGCAATCCGAAGCAAATTGGCAGCCAATAATGTGCAAGTCACGCCAGCCATTGGATGCAACGCCTCGAAATTGATAAAAACAAGAGCTGCAAACTGCTGCGGAGTCGCGGAGACAGATTCAGATTCAGTCGCTGTCTGTCTCTGTCTGCGTGCGTTTGTTTCCCAGTTTCCGTGACTGCGTTGCGCTCGAAAAGCGCAAATAAGAATTCGTAAATCAAAGGCAAACACAAACAAGGAGTGTGTGTGTGGTTGCTGCCAGAAAAGTGTGCAAAACTTCTTCTAGCCATAATCAAAGTGTGTAACACTAAGTGCTTGTAATAAAAGAGGCGCTTTTGTTTTTTGCCATTAATTAAGAAAGTTGTGTAAAATTTTTCATGTCGTGTCCACCATGACAATCATCGTCATCGATAGCGGGCGAGCCGAGCAGAGAGAAAGAGAGCGCGAGCATCAATCAATTCGCCCCACAAAACACACACACATACACTGCTGTTGAGTGAGCGAATGCGATAGCTGGCCCTGAATTTGGGTGCGTTGCATGCGAAAGTGTGCGCGCAAGCGAGACAGCACTAGGTGGTTGTCATCATATTAGTGTTGGTGTATGCACTGCAGCGCGCACAGTGGCAACAAATAGCTCAATAAATGTGCGTTTGGTTTCGCACGATAACTAAAGGGGCAATATAACTGCGAATAATACAATTACAGGTGCAGAGGGAGTTAAGTCTAGCAATCAGCTAAGGCTTGCATCACTTAGCCCCAGTGTATATACCTGATGCTTTGTTTAGTCTTTTTGCGTCTTAAATCTGGAGCTGTGCATGCGTTTGTGTATGTGTTTGTACGTATGTTGTATGTTATATGTGTGTGTCTACGGATTTATCTACAATCGTCGTCGCTTATCGTCTTGCTAGCTACAACACTCCCCCACGCCCCCATTCCCATTGCCCTCTGATATTCCATTTTAATATTTTCAGCCAGTTTAATGTAAACAAAATGGCTTAATTCATATTTTTTGTTTATGTATCCGCTTTTAATTATCGCTGACACTTCTCAATGCACCCAATAAATCTGTCGGCGTATTTTTTAGACCGACTTTTTGTAGGGCTAATTTTTCCCTTTTTTCTATTGTGGTATTTTAGTCACATTTCCAAAAAAAAATAACGCATGGAAATTTTTTCATTAATTACACTTGTTGACTTACACTATGCTGGTTATAAAAGTAGTTGCACCCCGAGACTTTGTCACTAATCAAATACAAATATTTATATACACAAAAACCTGCGTTTGATAATATAAGAAGAATGGTAACAAAAGACGAGATTAATAAACCGATCAGCAAATTTAATGTCAATGGCTCCGTTTGATTGTGTTTGTGCTCTCTTTCTCTGTGTTTGTGCTCTCTTTCTCTGTGTTTTTACCATTGGCCACTTGTTCTCTTTGTATGAACGTGAGTGTGTGTGTGTCGACCGTTTCGTTTTCTGTGTGAATGACGCATCGTCAGCTGTTCAAGTGTATTGCTTACGGTAGTTTCCTGACTAGTCGACGTACCGTTGTTTTTATATTTTATTGAATTTTCCCTGAAGGGGTCGACGAGTGCCGCTTTTGTTTGTCGGTGTTTTTTTTGTTGTTTTCTACGATCGAAGTTAAACTGATTCAATTTTAATTTTCCTACGTGCATATTCAGCTGTGTTAGTATTTGCTTAAGAAATTAGCAATATTGGTGATGTTATTTACTGCTTTTGACTTGAAAATCATGTGATCTTTTAATTAATTCAAATGTGAAGTAATTTTTTGCAGCTGTGCGAAACAATAAAAAAACGACTCAAATAATGTGCATAATAAAAATCTGATAAAATGCAACGACGTCATAATGGAGAAGAGAGCATAAATAACAAGTGAAGTTAACATTTTTCTACTTCGACAGAGAGAGAGACATAAATAACACTCTCTTCAACTAGACAGTTGACCTTAGTGTGTGTGTGTGTGTGTAAGTCGCGCTTGACAACTCGATTCGTCTGTATGTGTGCACTTTGCTCTAAAGCGCCAAAAGCAAACAATAGAAAACGAAAAAAATTCCTGTGCAGCAAGCAAGTAGTTTTAACGATTGTCGGCGCCTGCATGTGTATTAGTTGTGTTGTTGTCGTCTTTGTCGCAGGCCTAATTTAATAAATGCCACAACGCAAAACAACAAACAATAATGACATTTAACTTTCTCCCCACAGCTTCTTCCAGCCAGCTCGCCCCACCCCACTGTTCGCTTTCGCCTGCCAACTGTTTAAAATTCATTTTGCATTGATTTTTATCACGCTCTCTTGTCGCACATGCCAGTGCCCCCACAACCCTTCCACCCTCTCAGCAAGATCCGCGCTTCAGCCGGCTCTCTTCTTGTTGTTGCCAACCGTGTTCTCTTAAATGTTGTAAATGTCGCTTAACATATGTAAACATATTCCTGTGTATACATCGTAACACATCGAAATGACGTATGCAACTTAAACGCAGTCTTTTACGAACTGGCCGCAGAATGTGTGCGAAAGGAAATGATTCACAGAACATGTTTGATAACATTGCCTGTTCTCTTCTCTTAAAGTTGTTTGGGGACTTTGCTTTCATTCAGTTGTTGAATTTTAAGAGTCGCATAGAGCGCAATTTTTAATCGCGCATATCAAAAATAGATTTCGTCACAGATCTTGAGCATACTTTTCAAGTATTTAACAATGATGACTTATCTATAATACTAGACAATTTTGCAAAGTTTGTATTTTTATGAAATCGCACGTTAAATAAATTATCTGTCTTTTTAACATACTTAATTTGTATTTATATTGTTTCTGTATTTATATTATTTCGCGAGCTTCTGAGTAATGCTGATAAGATAGGCGATAACAGCTTGCATTTGTCTGAGTGTATTTATTTTTGCGTGTGTGTTAGTTAGTTAGTGCTTTATGTTTATGGAGCGTAGCTTGCATAAAAATAAAAATCTAACCAGATGAGCAAATAAATACCTTAAAACCCTTTACGCGGTTGCTAACAGGGTACACACTCACACGCACACACACAAATACACACACACACATATATACACCCACACATAGAGAACAATAATAGTGCCTAAACATTTCTAAGGTTTCGCTTGGTTTGTTTTTTTTTTTTTGTTGCGCGTGTTTGAAGTATTTTTAGTTGTTTCGCTTCTTGTTTGTCTATTGTGATTAGTGCAATCTGCAATTAACTACGTTAAGATGTGTGTGTGTGAGTGTGTATGTGTTTGTGTCCAGTTTTAATGCTTCTCCACTTATTCTTGACATTGAACTTTGTCGCTTTGGTTAGCTTTAAGCTCTTTTTTGAGCTACTCATAACTACGTATTAAGTTGTAGATATGCGCTAAAATTTCGATATATTTACATATATGCGATAGTTGCAAAAGTCACGCACGATAAAACATGTTTTGTTTTTCTGTCTTTGATAACTGTATGAAACTTTAGCGTTGACCTTCTGTTGCTATTTCTCAAGATTATTCAACGTCAGCTTTTGTATGTAATATAAATAAATAAGTTCTTGGCTTAAATTACAATACGAGTTTCGTTCATCGCTATGCATGCATTTTATGCGCTTTCCAAAATATCTTCTCGTATTTCGCTTGATTTAATGGGGCGTTACTCGCATTCCCCTCTATCTCTCTGTCTCCCTCTCTCTCCCGCGATATGAGTTGTGCGTATATTCAATTAATTTCGATTAGTGCTGATGCAAATGAAGGCGCCACGCGGCCAATGACGTTCTTAATGTTATTGTTGTTCCTTTATTTTGTTTTATCAGTCACATTAAATTCTCTCTTCTCTTTTGTAGATTACAAACACACACAGGCGCTGACATTGACAGACAGAGAGAGAAAGAGAGCCATTGGAAGATTGGAAATAAAAAAGGAGCATTCTTTGACCGTCCGCTAAAACAACTCATCACATCAGCAATTTTTGTAATTCTTCAGTGCAATTAGCACATCAACAGCAGCAGTAGCAACAACAACAACAGCAACAACAGAACAACAAGATGGCAACAACACCACGCAGCGGGGGTTCCAATTCTGGAGCCGCACAACGACCCAATGGCACATCGCAGAATAAAAGTTGCCAGTTTAAGTTGGTGCTCCTTGGCGAATCGGCTGTAGGTAAATCGTCGCTGGTGCTGCGCTTTGTCAAGGGCCAGTTCCATGAGTACCAGGAGAGCACGATAGGTGCGGCCTTTCTAACACAGACCATTTGCATAGAGGACACTGTTGTCAAGTTCGAGATCTGGGATACAGCTGGCCAGGAGCGGTAAGAGTCAACCCACAACGCAAAGCGATCAATTTGAATATCAATATTTATTCAACTGTTTATGTTAATATTCGCTTTTGATTGTCTTGCTAATTTAAATGTTAATGTTAATGTTATTATTAATGTTAATGGTAATATTAATATTAATTATCATTTTAAACTTCATGTTCATGTTAATGCTAATGCTAATGTTAATATTATTGTTGCCATACATGCATGTTACTATTACTGTTACTGTTACTAAACTGTTATTATTTTTTTTTGCAGGTATCACAGCTTAGCTCCTATGTACTATAGGGGAGCACAGGCCGCCATTGTTGTCTATGACATACAGAATCAGGACAGTTTTCAGCGTGCAAAGACCTGGGTCAAGGAACTGCATAAACAAGTAAGTAAACGATCTCCTCTTTCTCTCTCTCCTCTCTCTCACTCTCAAGGTCAATGTAATTACAAGTGGATAATGTGCTCAATGTTCTGTTTGTTCTCTTGAAACACAATTTGCATTGTTTTGCGTGTGCTTGCTTCATATTCATATTTATTGAATTGACTCGTTCACTGAACTCAGTCATCGTATTCGGCATGGTTAACGCCTCATTGCGTTACATTGCAAGTTAATTCATGGTCACTGGCAAGACTAAAGTCCATTTGTTATTTGAAGTTTGTATAGTTTTATAGAGGAATGGCTAATTCAAAAATCATTACAATTTGTTAAGTAAGATCATAAAAATAAACTAAGCCAAACATTCTGAGTTTCCAAATCCATTTACTCTTCGATATATATTTTATTTATTTTTATAATATATTATATTATTTATATTATTATTAAAGTATGTAATGGAATTTTTCAGGCCTCACCGAACATTGTCATTGCGTTGGCTGGCAATAAGGCGGATTTGTCGAACATTCGCGTCGTGGAGTTCGACGAGGCGAAGCAATATGCCGAGGAGAATGGCTTGTTGTTTATGGAAACGTCGGCGAAGACGGGCATGAATGTCAATGATATCTTCTTGGCAATTGGTATGTACATAAACTCAACTCAACTCAACTCAATTTTGACATTCAATTAATGAGAGGATTGTATTTTCGTTAATGATGTGTAGCCAAGAAACTACCCAAGAACGACAACAATCAAGGATCTGTTATAAAGCCAAATGGAAACGAACCAACTCAAACGACGAACAACTGCTGCAAGTGATGTCCTTTTGTAGGTGTGTGTGTGTGTTTGGCCATTGGACGAATAAATTGGATTATAGTGAATTTAATTATGAATCGATTACTTTTTGTCATTGCAGAAAATGAAATTTCCATCGGGAGATTTGAAAAGTTTATGCTGATAATTATAAATAAAAAATTATTTAAAATTTAAAACTAAAGCCGGCTCATAAGGGCAAACAATTTAATTTTCATAATTAATGATGATGAAGATGAAAAAGAGAAACAAAAACAAACAAAAGAAAAAAAAACCGGAACATAAAGATAATATTAATTATAAATTAAATTAAATGGAAAAAAAGAAAAACAGAAAACAGAAAACCACAAACAAATCGTAAAAGCGAAAAGTTAGTTTAAATAAAATCACATAGACCCGTTAAAATCAAGCGAAACTTTATCAAATACAGAACAAAAAGCGCTCCTAACTTACTTCTATCTCTGGCCCCATAGTTCATAACCGCCACTTAGAGAGCTCCTCCTTCAATTTCATCTCAACCAGATGCGATATAGTAATAATAATAATAATAATGATACACTTAATAAAAGCGGGGAAATGTTTTCGAGAGTTCCACATCGTGTCGTAGAAATCTTTCAAAATGAATTGTACAAAAACAAAAGAGTATAAAATATTAAACAACAACCGTAAGAAATATGCTAAAAGTGTTTGTAAAGCTAAACATTTCATGTAAGTTTGAGTTACCAAACTGGGTGTCGAAACCAGAGAAATTCCAGTTGCAGTTGTTCTCAGCAGCGTTCCAAAAAGATAAGAGAGAAAGAGAGATAAGAAACAAAACAAAAAACCGAAGATCAGTTCAGTTTAGTTCAGTTCAGATCAGATCAGATCAGCAGCCGAAGATTCGCTCGTCCTCGATCTGTGGCAATGTGTGTGCCTGTCCAGCTGTCAAGTTTGCGATGGGCACGTGTGATAGTTGCAATTTATATAAATTATATATATATATACACATATGAAAAATGAAAATATAAAAAAACGAGAAAAAAAACAAAAGAAATACAACAATGAAAATGAAAAAAAAAAAATTATTCATAGTTAGAAATTTTTGGTTCCATTTATGTTTAGCTTTTTTTATTTCACATTCTAGCAGCAATCAAAGATTTAATGCTACCCCTATCTTAAAAAAAGAAACAACAACAATTATCCTAAACACATTATGCAAAATAAGAAGAAGCTTAAGCCGATAAAGTGAAGTCAACAACAACATCAATAAGAATGAAAATAAACCTTGAAAAATACTTTACCATAAATTCCCATTTGTTTATCTCGATTCACAAATCGTATTTGATTCCTTATCTACTTACTATATATATGTCTCATATATATCCAACTATATATATACTATATATATATATATGTCAACCAGCGATCAACAAAGCAAAAGCAACAAAAACAATATAAATTAACAAACTACAACAACAAAAACAACAACAACAACAATGAATCAGCGTGAGATAATAAAAAAAACCGACGCCTAACAGATGTGTGTGTATTTTTCCAATTTATAATTTTTATGTTGTATGTATGTATTTAAATTTAACATTTATAATAAAAATCGTATATATATATACATATGTAACAATCGAATCCAAATTTTATGGGTGTTGGTCATTGAACAAAATTCATTTTTCAAAATTGATAAAACAAAAAAACACTTACGGCTGCTGGTTTGGTTGTTTGATTCAAGTTTTAAATCCTTGAGTATAAGGATATGTTGCGAAATTGAATTTCAATAAATGCAGATTAGAAACTGTTCTTAAACTTACATGCAATACTATTATGAGAAAAACTTTTAACGAGAGTTTTCTGTGCTCTAACGAAAAGATCAACGTATTCATGCGGAGAGCAATTATAAATAAATTATTAAATTCCAGGGGACTGCATAATTTTAGGATTTTACAGTAATTCCTTTGTTAAATATTTTAAGAAAACAGAGCTTTGATGATAATGTACTTTGTAATTAATTAATTAGCGCGATTGGTTTTTGGGTGCAGCTGTGCAAATGACAAAGGTAAACTTGCCTCATGCCTAATAAAACACTACAGACTTGTGGTATTGGGTGATGAATCGGTGGGAAAGTCATCGTTGGTGTCCCACTATATAATAGGGACTTATCTGAATGTTAAGGAAAATACGCTGCTTGTCTCATTTTCGAGCATATATATGGAGAATTCTGTAAGATTTTATAATATATCTGTTAAGTGGCTGGTGCGCAACGGTAAGTATTCATTTTCAAGCTTTTGGAAGTTGCACTTAATCATTATGGATTATGGCCAGGTGGCATATATTATAAGGATGCTCAGGCTGTGCTGATAGTCTCTGATGTGCAGGATCAGGATAGTTTGGTATGTGATGAGAAAGTGCGTAAAATGGTTTGCATAATCACAAATTTAACTAAAACTTGCACTCATTGATCTTAATTTATGTTTCCAATCAGATTGATTTGTTGGACGATTTGTGCATTAGTTCGAAAGAGCTGCAACTGTTTGCTTAACAGAATGGCTATATATTTATGGATAACTCTGCTAAGTCGGGACAAACTAGTTTTACGTAATGGGTTATAGAAACTGTTTATATACACATGTTAAAATAAGAAATACTTATTCTTTTTCATTCAGAGCTGAAGAGATTAACTAAATTTGCATCTAATTTACAACTGCATTGCTTATTTTGCAATTGTTGAATATTATTAAATAGTTCGTACATTTATTTGGGCCATAGAAAACAATCGAATGGATCCAATCCAACAATAAAGAAATATTTTTATACAAATTACCATAATACTTTTGTCATTATCTATGGATTAAGCGTTTTGAAAGGGTTGAAATTAAAATTGTCTACAAATTAGGAGTTTTGTTATTATTTTCAAAAAAATCATCTCAAGAACGCTTAATTTCAAAGAGATTCTTAAAACTCAGGCAAATTACTGTGTAATTTAAAATTTACTTCATAAGAAATATTAACTTTCTATAAACCCATTCATACATATAATTATGTATCAATACATGTATAAGGTTATCAGTACCAGGCGCCTTTTATTTTATCCTGAAATCTATATCAGGCCTATCACTCTGAAAAGGTGAAATCATCCACAAATGAAAACTTCACGTTACTTAGTTGGCTACTTCATTTCATGATTCATTTTGGGAACAGCTATAAGGCTATTATAAAAATAGTTTTGGAGTTGTCATTGCATACGATATCCGAGATCGTGATAGCTTTATGGAGGCTTAGTCTTGGGATGCAGAACTTCGAGAAAGGTGAATATGTTTTTCTATTTGTATGTATTTTTTTTTATTTAAATCTTATCAAGCCCTGCACATTTTTTATATGTAGCTGTCGCCAGAGCTGGTCATTGATATATATGATAAATTTATATATATGGAAACGTCAGCAGTGAGCGGTTTGAATGTGACTAATTGTTTTTAGGAGAATTTTCCAAATAATTTCAGCTAAAATCTTAAGCGCCCAGCAAAATCATCAGAAATTGTTAACTAATAAGACCAAGCAAGGGGAAAAATAAAATCGCTTTGCCTTTGTTATCTATTTAAATCGAACAGGGATGTGGCGAAATCTTCAGAAAAATATTCATAAATAAATTGTTACTTATATAGAAGAACTTACCTTTAAATAAATGTAAAAAAATATGTAAAAAGCATATTAGGCCTATTAAGTCATTCTATTTTTTATTTTGAAATTATAACTCGAAATAATTAGTACATACTTAATGTAATTTCGGTTACATTTTTTGTTTGTTTTTATTTTGATACTCTTGCATTTAATTGTATAATAAAGTATTGTATATATGTATATATACATATATATATTTATATATATATATATATATTTCGATACACATATGTTTGTTTTAATCTTTTATATGTTTTCGCTACTTGTCTTCACTTTATAAGAATAATATTTGATGTATTGTATAATTTTCATAATTTATTTGAAGAGTCAAAGTTTTCTGAGTAGTTTTTTTTTGTTTTGAAAAACAGAAAATCATAGCGAGAGTTATACACTAACTTACTACAAGGCAACTAAATGGCTTTCAATTTGAGTAGCATTATGCTAATATAACATGAAAACAATGTTAAACCTAAAAAAAATTTGAGTTTTTTTTTATCCAAAATATTAATAAAATTAAAATGGCAGAAATTGTTTTAGGGGCAGTACATAGAATATTTGGTAGAGAACACATAAGTTATAGATAGATATACACAAATATAGAACACAAATGCTTATACACTTGTATAACAAAAATTGGCTCAACAAACAATATAGTACATCATGTATATATCAGTTTTAAAAGTTACTAATTGAGAAGGGATCTTTTCGTTCTTTGTCATATGCATTTCATGTTTATCATTATTCCACATTAAATATCACTTACGTAAGAGAAGTATCTGGTATTTTTGTTCTTTCTAGATTTAGATCCTAAACTACAATTTTGTTCAAGTGTTTCTTAGTTCATTCTTCGATTTATTGATAAACCACATTTTAAATATCATTTCCAATGAATGATTTTTATTTCATTTCTTTTTTTAAATCTAAAAATGTTGTTTTTTTTTTTCTTCTTTTTTGTCAGTTATTTCTATAAAATTTACAAAATTACTTTCCATTTCGTTTGCTCCATTTAGCGCCATCCCCCAATCTGAGTAATTTCCATCTTTTTGAAGGGGGGTTGTTCTGCTGATATAAATTCCCTTAATACTTAACCTAAGTCCTAATTTTCGGTATTGCTTGCCTTTTTTCAATTTCACTTGAAAGTTCGAGTGCAATGCAATTAATATACGAATAATTGGTTACACAATTTATTTCTGTCTATTTCGTTTTGTTTTCGCTTTCTTTCTTGATTCGTCTGTCGACTTATAGAACAATCGGCTCATCGCCGTGCAAATCACAGGAGCCAATGTTCTCGCCCTGGTATGCCGAGAAATCGCTTATAACGGCTTTTGGCTCTGCACCGAACTGTATGTCCTGCAGGCAACCCTTGAATGGCTCAAAGTAACGTCCTTGGGTCCGTTTGCTCACCGAGTCCTGATTTGGAAATCCACCTGTTGACCAGAAAATTTAAACGGGATTAACATTTTGCCCAAAAGGAAAACATGCTGAAGTCAGCTGTGCGTTAACAGTGCTGATCATAATATTTGCTTATATACAAGCAGAACAAATACTAAACATCAAAATATGGGAATTTTTACTCTAATGAAATATGTTTAACACAAAAATATAACAACTAATTTGCTTTGCTCAGGTTAAGTTTCCAAGCCCACTTTTGCTTGGCTTTTAAGCACCTGTCAAAAATAACAGATCATTTGAGCATAACAGCGATATTTTTAATCGGTACGATGTTTTGCGCCGTCGTCCATCTCTATTAACTCAAGCTTAGTAATTGTTTATACCCCTGTAGACGCGGCGCCTGCATCGCGATTGTTCGTTCATTGTGCTCTATGAAATGTTGGTGGTGATTTATTTAAAAATTTCGCAAATATAAATATATTTGAAAAGTATTACAATATAGAATTGCACAATGGTTTGAATAAAGTAACTCCAGAGGCAACATCGTTCTCCCCCGCTAAATGGTTCACATGCAGTGATGAAAATACGCATCTATCCTGCTCTAGCCTACAGTTATTCGTATTTATATTTCGGTTGCACACTTGCAGTTTCGACATCGTCGACCGGCGTAAAATTCGCTTTACCGCAATCGGTTTCAGTTTTGGGCAATCAATTAAGCTGAGTTTTAGTGATCGAAAAACAGACGAGCGGTTTTTAAGGTAAGTGTGCAAACAACTGCTTATTTTAATTAATGACGCAAACACACACGCGAAGAATGAACCAAATTCAGATGTTATAGCTGTCAGTATTAAAACAATATTGTGACGTCACAATGCAATTGAAATTACTCGCCTTTTGATTAATTAGTATTTATAATATTTTTAATAAATTAAGTTGCCTTAGTAGTCTAAATATGTTTGATTAAAACAATAACAGTCAATAAGCCATATTAGCTTAAAATATTATTTAACGAATGCCAAACAGCTATCGTATTTAAAAAGAAAATCAAATTTGGCGGGAGAAAATCTACTGTTTTCACTGCCCACAAACTTACCCAAATAGAAAATATCCTCATAGCTAATCGTTGGCTCCTTGCCACCTCCTCGCTGTCGCTGCAAAGATGTTGTAGTCGGTGTTGTTGTTGTTGTTTTGGTTGGTGAGCGCCGATTAAGCTCCGGCAATCGCTCGGTGAATATCACCTCGCCATCCAGTTGCAACTCGAGTCGAGTGCGATCCAGGAGGACGCTGGTGCCGTGCCAGGCTCCATCGGCGATGAAGCCGCTGGCTGGTGCCTGAACGGTGTCGTTGTTGCTGCCCAATAAATTGCTCGCCAGCTTCAGATGGCCATTCTCAAGGCCGAGGCCGAGGAATTTCTGGTGATTGTGCTCGCTCCAGAGCAACAGACCGTCCGGCTCAATGGTGGAGAAGTTCAGTGAGATTTGTATGGCTTCGCGCGGTCGCACATAGAGCGATGGCCCTCGACGCTTGTCTTTCATCGGGATGCGAGGGGGCGGCAAGATCAGGTAACTGTTGCCCCGGAAGCTTGGTGTTGTCGGCTTACTCAGCGCTGTAAAAGAGATCCCAGTTTAGATGGCGGAGAGGTGGAGAGCGGGGAGGTGGAGGGAGTTGAATTAAAATTGCATTAAACATATTGCATGTACAAGTGCATAATTGAATTACAGCATCGGCAAACAATGTTGCAGCAACACAATCAACGTCGTCACTATTATTATGCCACTTCGGAGGGTAGCACGAGTTGTGCAACGCATTGGAACAAGACCCCATTACGATTATAGAGTATGTATTTAATCTTGGTCTACTTCTGGCAAAACTTCACAACCAACTTTACTCGCTATTTGCTAATTGTCAGTTGTAACTTAGAACATATTTACATTGATATTTTATAACATTTACTTCTAGATTTGAACAATTATTTGTCGAATCTTTTGATCACCAAAATTTTAATAAGTCAATTAAATATTTGTTTTTATATTGTACACATAGAATTTGATATGTCTGCAAAGTGTATTTAAAGTTCGTCATGTCGAAGCTTCACTATTTCCTTCGTGCTACCATCATCTTCGTCATCTCAGCTGGGCTAGCTCATTATACCATTTGCCGTTGAGCATCTGCAAGTCCCTGATCTCGTTTGCCGCTTCTTTTGAGTGCTTCTTCTTGGGTCTAATCTGTTGTCTACATCTTGTTTCGCTGTGGTCTGGTCTGGTCTGATTTGGCTTTTGCTTTTCGCTTTGATTCTTGTTATGAATTTGCGTTTTGTTTTCTTTCATTTGCAGCCAGTCAACTTGGTTGCACTTGTTGTTTCGTGTTTTCACCAGCTCTTTTTTTATGGCTTATTGTGATTAGTGGCATGTTAATTCACTTTGCTAATAAGTGAAAGGCTGCCAGCCAGCCAGCCAGCCAGTCAGCCAGCCGGTCAGCTGATTGTGTGCCAACTGGCAATTGAATAACCGAGCCTGGCCACAAAACGAATAATCATGATACTCTTTTATGGCCTGGACTTACACTTGCATGTACACAGCTGATATTCGCAGTTGATCTTGAAAATGATCCCATACATAAGCAATGATGAGATTAGTTCTGGAGGTTATAAACCTCGAAGGAAATTTCACAATGAGGATAAATTGAGATTGATAGCTTCAGTAACACTTGAAAGCGCTTAAGAAAAATCTGTAATGCATCTATAATATTTATAAAAATATTTCTCAAAAACATTTAAAATTTCCACTTTGACAATAAGTGAACGTCAAATTTGTTTGTCAAATTATAACAAAAAAGTTATAATATATAGAAGCATATATTGTAATTAATTGAGTAGGTTTCATCTAAACGAGACATGCAGATGGTCGATTTATTTATTATAAAAATATTTTTAGCACGTTTGTCTATGAGTCATTTTTTTTGTTTGTAATTCCTGAAGCGGTGTTGTATCCGCTTTATTCAGCTAACGACCTTTACAAATAGGTCAAATTTCCAATGCTTTTTCTATTATTAAATCACGTTCTACTCTGAACAATGCAAATTATTTTTTTTTTTTATTCATATTCACAAATTCTAAATCGCTAATTTGTGGGTGATTTTTTTTTGTCTTTGCTTTGACACTTCCTGACCCCGCTGCGCACTGAACCATAAGATTAGCGGTGCTGTTAATGGCTTTGTTTTCGGCTCTCCCCCTCTAATTATTATAATAATATTGTTGTGTTAGATCTGTGTCTTTTTTATTTTATTTTTTTTGCATTCGTGTCGTTTGCTTTTAGCACTCAAAATTGAAAACTTGTTTTGGGCGATGAACAGAAAACATCAGATTGAAGCAATTTCTATCTGAAGTAAAGTCAACTAATCTGACTTTTAAAATCTTTGCGGTAGCTACTGTATAAAATCAAAACGAACTTTTACTTTGCTGACACATTGAAGTTCAACTTTGCTATGGAGATTTATGAAACTCGTTTCTGAAGATTTCCAAGTGAAATGATTTATGCCTTTTATCTTTGCCCTGACCGCTAATAAATTATAAAGTCATACTAAAATAAAAAAAATCATTGATGCTATTTTTGTTGTTGCTGTTACGGACATTAAGCACTAACTAAACATCTGTTGCCTGACTAATTCGATGACGAATTACCTGCCGCGAAACCCGCTGCCCCGCAGGAAACGACAAACCAACACACGAAATGGCAATTATAAAATAAAATAAATAGTTGCTCATAGCGATTCCAAAAAACTTTCAATTACATTCGCTGCGAGGTCAATGAACCTCCAGAGTTAGATTACTCACCAATCTCACAGTAGAAGCCGCCCCAGCCATTGGGACAGGAGCAGCGACCGCTGCGCAAACATCGTCCGTTATTCTTGCACGGAATCAGCTTGCACGTCTCCGAGTATTCACAGCGATCGCCCTTGGCATATTCCGGACAGATGCAGTGCGGCTGCAGCTTCTCATCCAGCCAGCAATGGCCACCAGATTCACAGGAATCCCCGCCACAGGCTGTGCCGTCACAGTCGCGAATATTGCGTGACTCTGATGCAAAGAGAATAAAGTTTGTGATTAGATTTCGGTCTTACCTAAATTTATATTGAGCCTGGAGCATATATCATAAATCGTTCACTCACCCATGATATTGGTTTCGTTGAGCACAATGCGAGTGCCGCTGACGACGAGGCCGCGTACACAGCCCCGGAAAGGTATGGGAAAGCCGGAGATTGCATTGTGTGGCAACTTGGAGACATCCTTGAGGCCGCCAATGTACAGCAGCGAATCGGGCTCGACCAGCACCTCTGCGGAGGGTGCCAGCGCTGAGGAGGCACTACCCTCCACCCACAATGTTAGCCAACGTCCACGTTGCGCCATCTTGATCTTGTGCCACTCGCCAATCGCTAACATGCGTACACTCCGGACGACGGTCACATGATTGCTGGGTCCCGAGATGCGGAACTCGACGACGCCTCCCTGCAGCGACAGCGAAACGAATCCAATCTTCTTGTCCAGATTGTTGTTTAGTGTGCCGAAATAGAGGAGCAGTCCACGCTCGGAGAGCGGACGCAATTGGAACTCAATGAAGAAGAATTGCACACGATGGTGCTCCTCGAATGTCTTGGATCCCATCAGCGGCACCGGCGAGAAACTGCGCTGCTTCTCCACCTCGTTGAGCAGCTTCATCACAAAATGTGTGCTGGGCGTCGAGATAGGCTTCGGCGGCATCAGCTTTTTGGTAAAGTTGCGATAGCTGGCCATTTGGGATCGCTTGGCGCCCAACTTATCGCTATTATCATACAGATACGGCCAACGCACGGCCAGATACGAACGACGACCGGTCAGTGAGACATCGCTAAGTGAACGTATTTCTACACCAAGTAAAGTTGCACTATTATAGACTATGTATATACTCACAGGAAGATTATACCGGACTTACCTTCCTCACAATTCTTGCCGGTGCGTCCCACCGGACAGTCGCATTCGTAGCCATTGACGAGCGGCACACAAGTTGCCTCCTCGTAGCACTTGTTGTTGAACGAATCGCAGGGATTTGTGGCCTGTGCACAAAGTGGACCATACCAGCCCTCCTGGCAGATGCAGCTGTGTGGGAAAATATTGATTTAACGATATAAGATAATTATTATACCCTTGTACAGGGTATTTTAATTCGATTCTGGATCAACTCTGGATGAGTTGAAATAGCCGTCTGTCCGAAATCTTAGATTTATATGGGCAGAGTTCCCTCAGACTAAGAGCAATAGGAGCTTAGCGGATAGGACCACTATATCATATGGTTGCCATAGGATTAATCAACCGAAAGACGAGTCTTAGGCGACAGGTAAGTCAACGCTTATATCAATCAAGAAAGAAAGGTTATCTTGGGCACGCCAATGATTATATAACACTGTTTATTAGACCAGAGTTCATCTGCTAACATCTGTCCCCGGTAGTACTGGCTTATCGGGAATATAAGCCACTTTGCTCATAGATTGATTAAAATGCATAATTATAGAAATTACCTTTAAGTTGATTAAACATTTCAATTCGCCAAAAATATATATGAAAATAATATTGCCAGGTATTTCATTCAAAATGTGAATTTATAATTTAATGCACATATTTTAAATGAAGTTTGCAATTGAAGATTTAGTTTTCATCCGCATTCCCATTAAAACATACCTCATAAATATATACACGAGCTGAGGCACCGAGAGAGTTCCCAGTTTTAATGGACTTTAACCAAATTAAGGTCAGAACAACCTAAACCATTAATACCAATCAATTGTTGTACTCACGTAAATGTTGCTCCATGCTGCAGACAGGCTCCGTCGTGCTGGCAGGCATGTCTGTGACACTCACGCGTGCCACACTGTCCCACTCCGCGACCCCGCACTCCACGCGTTTCCTGTAGTGGCACCGTCACCTGGCCGGCCTTCAGCTGCACATCATAGATGCAGCCCTGGAAGCCCGAATGCAGCGGCAGATCGTGTGGCAGCGTATTGAAGTTGGTAATCTCATGTCCGCCCAGATATAGTATGGGGAGCACATCCATGCGGCTGACGCTGCCCGGGGAGCGGCCCGTTATATTAAATTTGCCGTCGACCGATAGCCAGGCCTGGCGACCGATGCGACCCACCTTGATCTCGTAGGGTACACGCGGAGCGTCCAGTCGAAAATCGATAGGCTTCTGGGTGAAAATGCGACGTGGACCCGCGCCAAGATTCCACGTTAGCATTATATAGCCCTGTATGAAACTAACGGCCAGGTGATCACTCTTCTCATCATGATAACCGGACTGGCCGAGGAAGGCAAGCAGCGAAATTTGCGACATTGTCTGTGGCAATATCTTGAAGCTCAGCTCCAGTGAATACTCCAGTGGAATGGGCACCGTGTACGCCACAAACGAGGAGAGACCATTCACGCTGCCCGAGAAGGAGGGCAATGCCACCTCGAGATCTGAAGAAAATTATCATTTGAAAAGGAAATGTTTGGTAAATAAGATGTGAAATTTACTGTGCTCGCAATAGTGCCCATGCTTGCCCAGCGGACAGAGGCAGAGATAGCCGCTGCCCGGAAATTGGACGCAAGTGCCGCCATATTGACAAGGATTGTCCTCGCAAACGGATATCTCGCAGGTCGGCCCCATATATCCTGTGGGGCATTTGCATTTCCATTTCTCAGCCTTGTCACCGCTCACGTCCAGCTCATTTGATTCGATCTTGATGCAGGCAGCGCCATTGCGACATGGACTCGACAAACATGCCAATGAGCCGCATTCCGTTATGCCGAAGCCATCCAGCGCGTCACTAAAATGGTCACAATGGGTCAGGTCAAGGGGAGAGTAAAAGGTTGAAATTTCACGATTTGCCTAATTCGGATGGATACCAATTGTTTGGCACTCAAATTGCTTGGCCTCTTGTGCGCCATTTTCGATTTAGCCTACAGTTGTCAGCGCGTCATTTTGCCAACTACCCTCTAACCCATTACCCATTGTTGTTTCGATGGCAACCCAACTGTCTGGTTGTCTGATTGTCAAATTGTCTTTCTGACCAGCTGTCTGTGAGCGCGTTTTAATGCGCTGACAAATGGCTTCCGCAATTGTCGCCCCGCGAGAGAATCTCATTCAATCTGCAGCTTCTTCAATCGTTGAATCGTTGTCAATGTAACACAATTTGTGAAATACTTAATGCTCTTTTAATGCTTACATTTTGTTTGCCTTCTGCTTGCTGTCTTAAGTTGTCAAAGAATTAAGCCAATCAATTGTATTCAATATTTCAAATTATTCAACTTTAACTGGATTGCCATTGGTGCTCTCGGAAAAAAGAAACTAAAGCTGGGGCATCCAATATTTACTCATTAAGTATATTACACTGATAACTTCAAATAGTATTATTCACATCGTATTGGCGTAAACTGATAAATATTATCTTAAGTTGTACTTTGTTTTAGATTGCACTTTATAATTGATCTGTTCTTTCATTTCATCGGTAATTTCATCCTAAAATCCTGAAAGCAATTCATTCATTAACCACTCTTGAGTTATTTGTTTAATGCTTGGATTTGACTTTTAATTATTCATGCCATTCATTGAAGTATATTTTTTTTCTTCCTTCCTTTTACTTCTTTAGCGGCATTTCGTTGGCTTACTTTCTTTTCATGTTACAACTTTTTTGTTGCCCACGCCGGGTCTGGCTTATTGTCCATTTAATCCTACACAGTTTTTTTTTACTTCATCTATGCCGAGCTTTTCTTCAGCTCTACCTGCAACTTTGTGGTGCTGCGAGGCAGCTGCGTTTATGGCATAAGCATTTAAGAGGCAGCGTCATAACTTCGCCTAGTCTACTGATTAACTGACTGACTGACTAAATGACGGCCATAGCCATTGGCCATATGAGGAAGACTTACCCGAATATTTCGCGGGGCTGTCCATTGATGCGGAGAGTATGCAAGCAGCCGGTGAAGCCAGTGCCGCTTTGGGCTGGCGGCAGTTCGATAATAAGGCCAATTGGAGCCTGGGGTGCTCCGCCCAAATGCAGCCAAGTGTTCAGTATGACCTCCGGCGTATGCAAACGTGGCGGCAACAGTTTCAGCCATGTCGGCTGATCTCCGGACATGGCCAACGTGTCGTTGACGAGCAGCGAAGCGTTGCAGTGCGTATAATTGCGGCTGAAGTCCAATCTGAAAGCACACAAGCATTTGAGGGGATGAGCAACGATAAAAGTTCCCCACCCACCACAAACCCCAATTCAAGCTCAGTACCCATTTGGTAGTCCTGTCGGTAGTGCACATATAAAATATTTAATATGCCGCACACTGCGGGCAACTTTTTCGCTGCCTTTTGTTGCGTGGGGTATTCGGCACAAAAAAAAGTGGAAAAGAAAGAGCGGAAAAACCGACTGCACAGTTCTCTGTTCTCAAATCTGTGCCCCTAAAGCAAGGATTAAATGCTATCCTTTGACAAATGCCATCAGCATTATAACTTCTCTAATTTGAGTGCTGAAAACATAAAACAGTTTTTTGTGACTTTGTGGGCGATGCAAAGCCCATTTCAACGCTCTGCTTGATGCCTATTTATAAGCGTGTATAGTCCAAGTTAAAATCTCTAAGCAAAAAGCCAGACCGACTTTGAAAGTAAGACTAATATACTCTTTTTCGCCTTGGGATAAAGTATAGATTTATATACAACAAAAATGTATAAATAAAAGAAGAAAAAGTTATTTTCAACATGCTGAAGCGGGCAAATATTTATGACGCCCGCACAAAGATGCCTCATAAACTCCCGCACCAGGCATGTTTTTTTTTCTCCCAGCTGACCTTTTATGGTCCTCCAACTTAGCAACAGTGAGCACAAAATGGCGAACAAGCACCCATATATTGGTTTTGTATTATGACGTTTTTTTTTTACTAAAATGTGACTTGCTTTGCACAGCTCATAATTTGTTTCTTCCTCAATAAAACTCTGTCATCTATTTTTTTGTTGCTCATATCTATGACTGTGTAACTATAAATTTTTGATAATCATCGATCCACTGTGCAGCCCAGAACTACCAATTGCCTGTAATGTCAATCGACTGTCAAATTTTTGTTTCGCTTGTCAAGGAACCAAAAACCAATTCGACATTTTTTCGACCCTACCAAAAATCTTCTTATTTGTTGTTGCTTTGTTGGTGTTTTGGGTCTGGAATGTTTGCATTGTTTTGTGGGGCCAATGTCACCTGGCGTTATGTGGATGCCTTTTGTATAACACTTTGGCCAAAGCGGATCTGATTTGATTTCTTTGTTCGCATTTATGTATTCTGTCCAATATCTGAATTGGGGATTCATATCTCAGCTCGTCCATTACATTTAAATGGTGACATTAAATGTGAAAATCGAGACAACAATTGGACACAAAATTTTATCGTAACTGTTTTTTGTTTCCAGTTTCGAATAGCAACATTTTTTGACTTCAAAAGCGTATAGAGATACATGTGCCGCGTGTGGGGTATAGCAAATGAATATAGAAATGATTTCCAGATCGGATTGAGTTTTTATATATTTAAAATTCCCAGAAGCCTATATCTCCCGCAATTTAATAACTACAGTTACCAAACTTGGAAGGAAGATTACTAGGAACCTTCGATAATAATTTGTTCGGCCACGGCCACTAAATTTTCAATAGCCCATGTCTCCGTAATTTAAGAGCTGCGGTTCCAAGCTTCGAAGGAACGGTACAAGCTTATGTCGACCGTAATTTAAAAGACAAACTTGGACAGTATTTCTTGGCACACCCACCCTGTTCCTTTTTACTTGTTATCTGCTGGACTAACTTATGGTATCAAAGTATTTCGCAGTCGGTTACGCCCGACTGCAACGTTCTATTTTGTTTTTATTGATCCTCTCAGACTCTCACAGTTAACTCTTGGCAGCAGTCAATGCCAACAAACTCATAATTAGTAAACTACTCAAAGAATATTCGCACAGCTCTCGATACCTAAGAGAATATTGTTTTTGGTTCAATTAGCTGCGCTTGATTTAATAATAAATCAAAATTCCATTGTTGATGCGCACAATTAAATTCAATTTGCTGTTAACAGCATTTTTTGTATAGCTCGCTTTAAAGATTCCGGCCAAGTTGCGGCAATTATTGCAGTTAATTTGATTTGCATAATACAAAATGGAAGGGAATGAAACGAAATGAAATGGGCTGAGTGCAAAAAGGACCTTCAAGCAAAAGCTCCACAATTGTGAGCGCCCAACGGTAATTGTTATTGCTTTCTAATTACACGGATTTCTGCCCAAATCCTTAAGTAAAATGTCAATTGAGTGGAGCATTAGGCTCATTAGGCACGACACAACCCTGGCAAAATCTGCCGAAAGGCAGCAACGCGGCAAAAATAGCAAAAGTTGAAAACGGACTTTCACCGCAGGACAATCATAATTGTATGTGGGTCGGGAACTAGTTCATTGAAGGTCTACGTTCAGTGCCATTGTCGCTACTGGGGGACGCTAAATCGCTTCTGGGCGAAGGACTAAAGGAGTGGGAGCTGTAGAGCTCGGTCGGTTGGTGGTAGTGAAGTGTTCTGTTGGCCATGGCCATTAAGCACGCAAGGCAAATAAAAATAGGCAACAAACATAAATTTGTTGCTCGTAAATCCACTGGCGGACCCAGTTTTGTGCCACATGAGCATGCCCCGAGCAGGGAACAAGTGCTAAAAAGTAAATTTGTGGTCGATTCGATAGTCATAAAAACAAGATGAAAAGAGATATCAAATGGCTATTACTATTGCCATCTCGCTTCAGCCGTAAATAATTTATGTAGGCCAGTCTGGTGTTATTCTCTTTTCTTCTTTTGCCAGTATTTGGGGGTCAACCGACCTATGTATTTGACTGATATATTTATTCCTTAATGTGCTGTTTATGCCTTTCGTCGCTGCTGCTGCGTCGAGGGAATTCATTCCTTTGCTTGTTGATTTTATAAAATGATTACTTGGTCATTTTCCATATGTCTACCCGCATCATCAATCAGATGACCCCTGTACTAAGTAATTGCACTCGGCTGAATTGTAAACTTGCGAATTACTCACAAATGGAATTGATCTGATGCTCTGCTTTCACATATGTGATTGTGTGTGTGCTTAAAGGTTTCAGTTTGTTTATATTTAAGCTACAAATTCAACTGGAATGCCTAATGAGAAAGGCAGTTTGCAAGCAATTAAAATAGAAATGAGCAGAATGTGATTTTGCGGTTGTATTCATAGCACGAGCTATAATAGTAAAGTGTACGCATGTAATTATGTATAAGACACGTTTTTGTTGTTTTGTCAATCAGAAATCATGTTGTTAATGTGTGTTTATATTAAAAATTATATGTGAATGTATTGGTTCTTCTTTGAATTTAGGGTTGAGCATATCCGTCAATCTTAAGCAGTATGCCTAATCTAATCTTAACTAACTTCAAGAATTGCATTGTGTACACTTTAAGAGCATTTGTGTGTACAAGTGACACTTGGGAAAGCTTACTTCAATAATGTTAGCTGCTTAGCCCGATAAACGTTTAAGGAGGCTGCGTTTAAGGAGGCTGCGCCAAAAAGACTTGAAAAATTAAAAGTTCTTTGGGTGAGTAGACTCGCAAGTGTGTGTGCAAACACTTGCATGAAATTCTCTTCCATTAAATGGAATCTGCCTTTACATTTTTGGCCAACTTATTTTGAGCTTATCTGCAGCATAAAATAATCCAAAATGTCTACGAATCTTCCGCCCCTTTTTGGATACACATAAGCTCTATGCCTTTGTTATCGTACTTGTGTTTTACGCCATTACGTTTCTTATTTGAAAGTGCTGCAATTCCAGGAACTGTTAGTTAAACGATTAATTACGCACGAGCCCCACATTACTCTTGCTGTGGCATGTCTCATACTCTGCCCCCAAACCTCCACGTCAGTGTCAGTGCCTTTCTCCTCTCGGGCTGGAGACCTTCGCAGCCATTCAACTTCCGTTTCCGTTGCGAGCACAGAAAATGCGGCAAATTAAATTTGAGCCAAAAACCAACTACGCCAACTAATTACGCATGAATGCGAAGCCAAGGATCGTCCAATGTGCGGCGCACAAGGAGCATTCTGATGTAATGCAAAGGGGGGCAGCGGGCATAGGACCAGCAGCAGCAGCAGCACCAGCAGTTCGGGTAATGTAGTAGGAAGAAAAAAGAACGCGAAAACAATGAAATTTATTCCACACTTGAAGCATTATAATTTGTGGTGGCCAAACGGCATGCCAATCGACATAAGGCAACTTTAATGGCCATCGTCCTAGCAGCTTCGTGCTCGTCTCTTTTACAGTCTCGTTTTGCGATGACAGTGACCCACATGCTGACCCGCCCGCCGGCTGACCGGCTAGATGCTAGATGACCCGGCGGCAGCTGCACTCGTGCCAGCCGCAATTAAAAAAGTTAATTAACATGCCGACCTCCTTTCTATCGAAGTAGCTGACACGGCCCTTGAACCCACACTGTTCACCACATAATTGCATTCCGTGGCGGCGCGGTATCACTTACTCAGCTCGAATGGTAATTTCGTGACCGGTATTCACGGGCGTTTCCAGTTCGCTCAGCAGCATCGTTTGCAGGCCGCACGAGAACTGGAACTGCATGAGACCCTTTTGCAGGAACAGGGCCATGTAGTGGCCGCCCTTGGTTCCCTGGGCAGCGGCCAGCATGATCAGCCCGTTGGTGGCTCGAGTGCGCACCTTCAGTTGTATATGCATCGGCAGTACCGCATCCAGCGCCTCGTGCGGCGGTATATCCTTGTAGATGCGATGCGATACGTAAGAATCCCCAGAGAATGCCGCATTTCGTATAATGATCGGCAGCTCACAAAGCGGTCCCTGGCGATCAAAGCGGCAAACACACTAAGGAAATGAAAAAAGACAAAATAAAATAAATAAATATTTATATTAATGTAAATGTTAGGAAAGGCTTGGCAATCTTGACTTTCATAAGAGAGGTCCTACTTGAGAGTTGATTCGAAATAGCTCACTTAAGCCAACTTCCACGCAAAAATACTTTCTGATTATAGTTTAATGTTTGCTGATCACTTCTTATAGTTTAAATATATTTTGACTCCAGGTACCGTCAAGAACCAAAATATACAAAAAAAAAAAAAACTCTTGAACCAACCAACGAAAAAAATATTTATAAGTTTAGCAAATATATTCAGAGAGCATCTAAAAGTATGCTACAGTAAAATATAAATACATAAAATATTCCTAGGAGGATCGGAACTACCCCTTTTCGGAGAATATAATTAGTGTATTTTAAGATATTTTTGGTATATATTGAAGGCGTAAATATTTACGCAACTTTTTTCAGTAACAAGATATTAAGCCACAAAAACATAAGCAGAAGTAGAAAACTCTGAACTTTCCGATTTTACAGTTGGAAACTATCAATTTGCATTTACTTGTTAAGTATGAAACAAGGCGAAACTTTGCAAAACTATCATGAAAGTGAGTACAGAACAGGGTGAATGACTCGATGTAAGTGCAACGAGTATTTCATATTTGGTTAAACATATGGCAATTCCATTATGTGCGTTCCCATTTCTCCCTACTTCTACGCGCTATTCCTCTTGCATGCGCTCTGTATGTCCCTGAGATTGTCGCAAGTTAATCGTTTGCCCTATCGCAGTCCACAATTCCCAGTTGCCTTGCACTTCATTTGTTCAATTTGATAGGGTCACTTGTGGGTCGTTCTCTTTCCAAGTCTCTTTACGCTGGGGGCTCTTGTGGCAGAAGTTGCAACGAAAGTTTTGGGTGCTTCTGTTGGTCTTTTTTTTTGTTTTGCTACAGTGGCGTTGCACTTTAAGTGTCCCTTGGTGGGGAATAAATTATGAAAACCAGGACAATGACGCAGCAAGACAAAGCTGCAGCCGAACAGCGAGCCAAAAAGTTAATTTATATTGCTTTTCAATTTATTGGTATCTGTGTTGTTGTTGCTGTAAGCCATTCTACTGCTTATTAAAAGAATTCACTCGCCCGCCTTGCACAATTCTTGTCGGAGTCTTTTGGCGCAAAACTTTCTTTGGCGTGCGCAAAAATAAATTAAAATTGTTGCAATTGGCTTTGGCTTTGGCTTCAGTGCACATACATTTGGCTAATTTACGCGAGTTTGCTGTAATTGTTTCTCCATCAACTTATATAACACCAAAAACTGTAATTTCATTAGGTAATTGTTCGATTGCTTATCTGAATGTTAATGTTAAAGACTCAGACGAAATGTCGATATATTTATGGCATTTTCCATACCAGTCAAGCTGTCACTTTAAAATGTATTTGGCGTCTAGTTCTTCAATATTTTTTAGTTAAAATAGGTCTAAGAACAGAAAGCACACTTTTTAATTCTAGCTCACACACTCCAGAAATAATGAGCTCACACGTTTGTTTTGTGCCTTGAGCTAGTTGGAATAATAATGGCCTGTGGGGCAAATCATGCACATGCATGCATCACAGGCATTCAAAGGATTAGATTACATATAATGCTACGCGAGTACCTTTCGAAATTCCTTCTCACTCCTCCCATCTCACAGCGTAAAATCTTGTTGTTTTCATTTTGTATTTTGTGCTCAGGAAAAGTATTACACAAAAATCAACGCCTGATGCTAAGGCATTGAGAGGCGTAGCAAGAGGTGGCGCCTGCAGAGTCAGGTTGTATGCCACATGCCCCAAGGGGACAACAAACTGTGTAGCTACATACTACAAGTACTATTTTTTTGCGCATTTTATGTGAAAACTTTCCATACATCAGTTTCCCTGGTCTCAGTCGTCTGTAAGTTGCCAGCATAAAAAGGAGCCCACACTTGCAGTTGATGTTCCCTCTCATAACAATTATTTGAAGTGTACGAGAATGTTTTTTTTCTGCGTTAGCTAAATTATGCTGCGTTTTTTTTACGACCCTCACATCGTGATTAAAGTAGATCTTACAGATTTTAAAGCAATAGTTACATATTTGTGCCACCTCTCACTTAGTTCATACTTTTATTCTTTCGCTAACTTCTACGCAGTTTTGCCTACTGGAAACATTTCAATTAATGTATTTTGTGTACGTTCATTAAAAGAATATTAAAGATAATTTAAACTTGAAAGTTTGGCAACAAGAGATGGTCTTCAAAGAAAAATTAACTCAAGGCGTAACTTTAGTTAGTTAGTTCATTATGTTGCACGAAAAGTTGAACTGCCTTAGTCTAGATAATTCCCTTAATGGCGCCCAACGTGCGCTGTTCAGCACAATGTCGATTTAAATGTGGCCAAAAGGAATGTTGGTAACCCAGGAGTATATTTCTCTGTTATTGCTGTCAAATCTATATATATGTCAAACGTATTCTTCTGCCCTTGAACTTAGCCGTTGCAAAAGCCAGATTTCTGTTTGTGTATTTGTTTGGACACATAAGATAACTGCTTTACGGGCACTGCGGGCTCTCAAACTAATAGCAAGGTGCCTTTGAATGGCAACAGGAAAATGATGAAAGGGTGTGTAAATGAGTAAAGTGCACCCACTTTTGGGAACCAGATGCTCTCAGCAACGTGCGACACTCAGAACGCATTATGATATAGAAACGAGCTGAGACCATGGGGAAACATTTAGAGATGCCATGTGCCGCAAAAGCATCACAGACACGGGACACAGGAAACGCAGCGCTGTGGTGAACCTTTAAAAAGGCTCAACAAACTTTTCATTAGTGGCGTCAGCTTTTGGCATTGAATTTGCTAGCAAGAGAAACAGAAACAGTTTTAGCTAAGAGGGGGAGTTGGACGAGCAAAAAGCCAAGCAAACATTTGGAAAACCCCAAACTCGGCGGCTGACACTTGAAATGTGCTTAATGCCACTTTACGAGTGACTTTCGCAGAGTGCGAGTACCACTTTGGCTGCAGCTCTCGCTCTCTTGTTCTTCTCACACACACCAGCACACAAACACACACAGACACACTCTCGCTCTGTGACTAGACACGTTAAAAATATGCTTTTTCATAAGTTGTCTCTCCCCGTCTCCGCTTTGGTAAACGAAATGACAGCTGACATATGTAAGTGTCTGTCTAACTGTTTGACAGTGTCTGTGTGTGCGTCCTTACGGCGTGCGTCTGTGAGAGAGCCTCTGAATTTCTCGTCCTCTCGTTCCGTCTATATACAAATATAAATATGCATGAATGTCAGTCTGTCATAGCATCCAGCGTAACTCAAAGATACAAAAAAAATAAAAAAAAATACTACAAAGACAGACGAGAACTTGGCATCTATGTGCGTTTGTGCAGTTAGTTAAATTATTTGGCAACAATAAAGTGGCATATGCTCTATGAAACAATTTCCACTCGAGGCCACAATCTCTCACCCACTCTCACACATTTGCGTTAACACCTGTCATTCATTTTGGTAAGGTTTTTCGTGTACGGCTCCATTCTCTGCGCTCTTTGGTTTCTCTGCTTTTCTCAGTTATTTTGCGGTCTGTGTCACTCACTCGAGTGTTAAATTTGTTATGAAAATTAAATTTTCTCTTTTTAGTAGGTGTATCTCTGTGTGTGTGTGTGTGCTCGTGCGTATGTTTGTTGTTTTATGAGAGTCAGAGTGTCAAAGGTGCACTTTGGAGATCTGTAGGTATTGTTCGCGGACGGAATTATAAATAAGTTAACTTGTCAAACTATCCGCAAGAAAAATCATAAGTCAAAACGGTGCTAAAAAGTTTCCAAACTATGACCAGTGGTGTTTAGCCTAAATTTATTATGTGCTTGTGACCAATATGTTCAACTAAATAAAAAGACCAAACAGCAAACTCTTTTATTATGCTGTTAAATCTAGACCTTGGGGAAACTACAGAAAACATAAGTACATACATATATACAATAAAAACAGATTTTGAAATTATATTCTAAAAATCCAACTGGGGACGGCGTTAGACATTTCTCTTTGTCAAAACTCTAACCATGCTTGCTAAAAATGCTTATCATTTAAATCGAATCTACGGACAGTCAAAAATGTAATAGCTTTATCAAAGCTGAGCAGATTTTCGAAAGCAATACAGCATTTAAATGTATAACAGGATCTTCACTTGGTATTCCTGTAATTATAATGAGTCATTACAAAGCCTCTTTTTATATTTTCTTGCGGAAAGTGAGATGCTAACTGTGTCAGACATGAATTTAAAATGGCATTGTTGCTGTTGCCCAAATCCCAGTCAAAAAACTTTATTTTGCTAAAATAACCGCAAGTATTTTCATAAATAGTTGAATAGGCATAGTTTTCAGCTAGACCACCAACTCATCCGTATCTCATGGGGTCGTAAATTGGGGAACGCTTTGAGGCTGTTTGTTGTAAAACAAATTTTGCAGCTTTGCTATTTTTCCAGACTTTAACTGAAATTTTAACGTAACTGGCAACAGGATTTTTAACTATTCATTTATTCAGTATTCAGTTGAAATTGGCAGTTAATGTTAGTATGAGAGCTTCCACATGGAATTGACAGCTAGTTTGGTTCTTTTGAAAAGATGTGAAGTTTCTGACAGGAAATTATAGTAACGGTAAAGATAATTCGATAAACTGTGCTATAATTACAACATATAGGAGCTATGTAGAATTCGAAAGATTACACATGTTTGTAATCATTATCAATATTTGATAAATCCGTTATTTTTCTCAACTCAAATTTACTATGAAATAAATAGTTTAATCAGCACAATAGCTTTTTTGATCTAATAACAAAGTAAATTAGAATTGGTTTTTGATTTATTTAATTGGTATTCCTAATTAATATCTTGTTTGTTATTGTCGTTTCACATTCCATTTAAATTCTCGCACATATTCATACCTCAATCAGAATTTAATTAAAATCCTTGGGCTCTATGTACATGCGTACGCATGTGTAATATTATTATTGTTGATTTGATTTGACTTGTGCTAATGTAACACTCCGCTGTTTTTGGTCTGTGTTTTCAGCCAAAAGCCTGCTATGTGTTAACTTTGTGCTGCAGCCTAAGGAAGCTTACAAATGTTGCAAGCTCTGTGTATTGTTGTCTGTTGATACCGCTTGCCCCTTTGTCACATCTAGCTGTCCGACAAACTACATGATTATTTATGCATTGGCATAGACACATGAAATCTGCATATGATTCTCGCTAGTGTGTGTGTATAAGTGTGAGTGTGGGGATCTTTAGATATGTATTTGGCATGTCGACTTGCCAGCCTGTCTGTGGTTCCTATCTCAGTACAACACGATGCAGTCCATTTAAATCAGTGCTTAAAGCTTCTTAAATTTTCACTAATGAGGATTGATTTACCAAATACAAGTTTCATGAGTTTGTGCGATAAAAATTTAATTTGAAACTGTGAAAGAATGAACGTCTATCATTTGTCACGTAATTATTGCGGATGCTACTTATAATTGGTTGGCATGACAAAAATGGATAAGCACTGTGCGCACAATTACGCTAGTTTTAATATGGTGGCTATTCTTATTTGCTTATTGCCGGAGTAATTTGAACACTCTTGCCCATTTAATGACTTGTCAATATATAAACAGGGCAGGCCCAAGAGTGGATTAATGCAACAGGAGTTGCGTACCCAATTAGCCGCTCAATGGGATTGAAAATTGGGGAAGTTCACTTTGTTTATTTCGGTTTTTATTTAGGCCATAACCATTAAATAAATAGACCGGTTACGGACAGTCCTATCGATTAGCATGGTAGGTCTGACTCAATGCTGTGATGTAGAAAACATGAGAAGGGAGTAACTACTTACCCGAGACCCCTCCGAGGTGGTCACACATGTGCCGCCGTTGTAGCAGCCAAGTTTAATGCAATCGACATCACCAGATTTTTCCTCTGCCCCACCCACAGCACCACCACCGGTGGCTACTGTATTGGCACCCTCAGTTTCCTCGCTACTGTCGGTCACTGGCGGCTTGGTTTGTGTTGGTAACTCTGGCTGTCCCGATGTGCTGTAGACATGCAACGATGGTGTAGGCGGTGGCAACGTTTGTGCCGACTGGGTGGAGGGTGGTGTGGGAGGCACAGTGACTGCAGGTAGACTGGAAGGGCTTGTTGGTGGTGGTTCCGTGGGCATTGGCGTGGGTGCCGGAGTTGTCACTGGTCTGGGTGGCGGAATGGTTGTCTCCCTAGGTGGTTCTATGGTCATTAATGGTGGCACCGGCGGTCCTAGCAAATCCTCCGTTGTCATCAGCTGTGGCGTTGTTATCTCCACAGGCATGGGTACGGTTACCACTACCGGTGGCAATTGCGTTGTGTAGGGTTCAATTTCGATTAGTGGTGTTCCTGCTATTGCGTGGGTCGTCACTGGTGGCAAGTCGGTTGTAGTCGGCATTGTTACGTTACCCTCCAGAATGGTGACCACAATGTGCGGTGTTTGTGGCGTTGTTAGCTCCACAATGGGTGGCTCGTACTCCAGTGGTGATGTGGTCGTTTCTTGTTGTGTTGGTGGCTGCATTGTGGTGAATCTACCGGCGCTGGTGCGATGTGTGGTAATGAGTACCTCGGCTGGGTATTCCGTGAAGAAAGGTGCCGCAGTCGTCGGCATTTCGGTCCACAGATGACGCGTGGTTTCCTCTGGAGGTGGTTTGGTGGTTTCTGGTGGGAAATAGGGTGTTGGTGTTGGGGCGTAATCCACAGAGATGCTCGTCTCAAAAGTGGTTACGCGATGCACAAAGATGCTGCCAGGTGTGGTTATATGTATGGGTTGTTCCACCGATTCGGAACTGCTCGATGAGGATGCATAATCCACAGCAATGGTTATGCTCGGTGGTGAAGGTGGTACAGTCGGTCTCATTGTGGTGGTGACTTCCTCGCTGGAAGTGTCACTGCTGCCACTGGCACTCACATCGAATCGCCGCACCGTGGTGTACTCCTCGAAGGTAACGACCTCTGGTGAACTTTCTGCCGAGGAGGAGGAGGAGGTGGTGGCGACGCCAGGTGTAGGAATGGGTGGCAAGGTGGTATAGATACTGTGACTTTCCTCGGAGGATGCGGACGAGGATGAAGAAGCACCGCCTGCTGGCGGTGTAGGGGGTACAGCTGTCCCCGGTGACTCTGTAATAGACTCTGGCCGTAGTGTTGTGTGTTCGCGAACTATACTGTGACTATCACTATCCGGTGGTGCTGCCGTCACCTTTACAACCACCACTGTCTCCTCCGATGAAGATGAGCCGGCGGATGATGGTTCTACCGTTGGTGTGATGGTCACTGGTGGTGATGGTGGTCCTAATGTTGTCTCTGGTGGCGTAACCGGTCGCACTGTGGGTGGTGCTATTGTTGTGGTTAGCGTGGCTGGTGTAACGGGCGCCACTGGTGGTGCAGGTGTCGCTGGAGCCGTGTAGTTACAGTCGAGAGATTCCTCACCCACCACGAGGCACTCGCATAGCATGCCCGTTAGCAGTGGGGGGCAGGAGCACGAGAAGGTATCGACGCCATCGATGCAGACGCCACCGTTCATGCAACGTGGTCCCAGTTGGCATTCGTCGTATTGGAACTCGCACTTCTCGCCGTGATAGTCCGGCACACAGTAGCATGTGGGTATATTCTCCTCCATGAGGCAGAGGGCATTGTTCTGGCAGGGATTGTCGGCACAGATGAGTATCTCTTCCTCACAATTGACGCCCGTGTAGCCCATGGGGCAGGCGCATGCATAGGCGGCCAGTTTGTCCACACAGACGCCGCCATTTTGGCAAGGCGAGGAAGCGCACTCATTGATCTCCTCCTGACAGATGCGGCCATGCCAGCCGGCCGGACATTCACAAGTGAACTCTAGTCCTGGTCCCTCAACACACTCGCCGCCATGCTGGCATCGTGCACCGGTACCTGCGGTAAGGAAGCAAAACCACAAAAAAATTTCAATACTTTGCGATTACAATGAGGCGGAGGCAACAAGCTCAACTTACCCGTGTCACAGACGGCGACATCCACCTCGCAGTGAGCCCCCAGATAGCCCGGCTGGCAGGTACAGGTATAGCCATTGTTACGGTCACGGCAAAGTCCGCCATTTTGACATGGATTTGACATGCATTCGTCGACATTTTCCTCACAACTTGATCCTACTCGTTTGCGGCATTGACATTCGCGTGATGTGACCAGAAAGCAAGATATAGATATATAGATAGAGAGACACAGAAAATTAGAGAGGCAGTCAGTATAAGAGGAGAAAGTGACGTTAATTGATGGCATCACCCGACTCTGTCTTCTGTTCTCTTCTATTCCGTTCCGTTCCATGCCATATTGTTTCATTCATGTTCAGGTCTGTCAGCTTTTCAAGCCTGTTCCCTGCTCTGTCGTTTTAATTAAAAATTTATGTATTTTGGGTTGAAGTTGTCGCTTTCAGCATGGCGTGTAAATGGCTCATAAATAAAACTCGTTATTTTTATTTGCGTCTGCAAAGGCCTGGCCAATATTTGTTATTGACCTCATTATATACATAGCGAAGAGTTAAGATTTAAGATATTATTGATTGTGTCTCATTGTTAGGGATTTAACTTTTTATATGTCCAATGCATTTTTATTGACTGCCTTGCAATGTATTTGATCGAAAAACCCCTACCCTTAACCTTATTTCTCCGGCTACTGTTTTTATTGCTTCCAAGCCAAGCCACATGTAAAACAAAACGAAAATCCAAATATCCCTTTTTCAATTTGTATCTTACCATATTCCATTTAAAGCGTTTAATTTCCTATCTGTTACAACTACTTAGACAAAAGACAAAAAAAATACAAAACAAACAAGACGAAATTGAAACTGTTGCAATGCAATAACCTTTCTGACTTTCAGTAACTCTTCTTCCATTCTTCACTTCACTTCATATAACGAACAAGTGCACACAATCGAAGTGCAATTGAATGACTTTTCATTATATCTTTCTCTCGCTTATCTGCCTCTGTCTCCATCCATCACGTTGTCTCTCTCTCTTATTATCTCTAAAACTGTGTATCTCTGTGTGTCTCTGATATCGTACAACCAAGTGGAAAGTGAACAACTTCTTCAATACTAGAGCATCAATAGCAATCAAAACAAACCTTCAAGTGCTGATTTTGGTGCATGCAATATAAACAGTTGAAAAGTATACACATGCACAACATAAGTACAAACACACACACAGTTTTAGTAAGGACTGTCAAGCACTGAAACAAGACCTAAGGTTTGCGTACATACAACAAGTATAGATTTAAATGCCCTGCAGAACTTAGTTCAATGCATGTTCCATCAATATATAAATTCAAAGATGTGAGATATTTATTTCTTTTCATGTAAGATACTTTAACAAAAAAATGAGCTAAAGAATAAGAAATTGGAGGAGCATTCATTCAATTAAAAACAAGAATAATGCTTGTTTTGTTAAGCTTCTTCTGCACCCCCTCCATAGTTAGTTTTAGTGTCCCGCCTTTTTCGATCTTTGAACTTGAATTGGTGGGAAGGCATTAAAAACAAAAGCTGTTATGAACCCTCACTTGAAATATGAATCTTTAGTCTGATTTGAGTTTAATCTGATTATTTTTCCGAGAAGAAAATAACCTTGGGCGTTCAATTGGCCAAAATGTCTATTAAGAGATATGTTTGTAAGACAAACTTATCAATAGAATTTCAGGTCAATTATTTAAATGCCAAATAGACGAACTCATCAAGGTTTGGAGACAGATGTCTAAGCTGATTGGTCGCGTGTTCCCAATCAAATATTTACATAAGAATAATAAGAAAAGAAATAAAGTTGATGAGTTCGATGGTGCGACATGACACAGTTGTTATACCCTTGAAGACAGTTATTTGTTGCATAGCAGGAAAATAACATCAGTTGCATACAACAAGAGCAATGCTTAAAAGAACTTTTCAATTTTCTGCTCAACAACTACTGAGACGATGACGACGACAAGTTGGTAGAAGAAAAGGGGAGGAATGGTAAGTCTCAGCCGGTGGTTGCTGCTACTGTAGCAACTGACATGTAAACAAACAGACAGAAAAAAGGACTGACAGACACAGCTGGAAAGCATACGGAAACAGACTTTGGTAGTGTTGAGCAGCGACCCATTGTGTTAGCTATAGTTTTCTTGGGTTGTTTGTGGCACTGCCAGCAATGAGTATGAGTGATTTTTTCTCAGCTCTTATGGGCTGCTTGTGCTCCAAATTTATTGCCAGCGAATGGTTTTGTCTGAACTTTTTGAAATTTATTTGCCTGCGTGTCTTGACTGGGCGATATTTCTGCCTTTTCCTATGCGATTTTAGACATAGTTTTGCCTTTTGTTTTCCATTTTGGCAACAAGTTAGCTAACAAAAAAGAAAAGCGCACAAAAGTTGTACTTATGCCAAAGTTTCGCTAACGCTTGCCTATATCTTAAGTGTCTGTGCATTTGTCTGTTTGCCCGTCTGTCTGGCGTCCAAAAACTTGTACAAAAGCACTTCAAAGTGTCGAAACAAAAGTGTCAAAAAGCCTTCTTTGCACTTTGTCTAAATTTTAGCTCACAACTTTTTAATTTAATGCACAAAAAACGCATTTAATTAGTGCAAAATAATAAAAAAAAAACAAAAAAACATGCACTCTTTCAGGTGCTCAACAGGGGGAAATGGAGTAGAGAAGCAATTTATCAGTTGTGCTCATAAATCACACAAAATAAACTGATGGGCATAAAACTGTAACTATGCAGCTGTGCACTCATAAATGCTAAAAAAAAGAGAAAAAATATAGATAAATCTGGTGTGTGTATGTATATGTTTATGCTTTATTTATAATGCAACTGTAATGCTTGTGTATGCAAATGGGTGGAGGTGGCCGCCGAACAGACAAACGAATATTAAATTTGCATAAGCACTAAATCAACACAATGAACAAACCAAGCTAGAGGAAGCTTTACAGAGTAAGAAAAATATGTACATATTGTGCTGATAGGCCATGAGATGACCTATTCAAGAGCTTAGACAAAAGCCTGGCTTACTCAATTACTGGTAAATACGCTTTAGCATAAAGCGTTTTTAGCCTTTGACTTTAGTTTTCGAGAAAGCTTGCCAACAGTTGACCTGTTAAAGAGGCTGTAAGGTAAATGTTGAACTTTAAGCGCCATTATTCTTACTGAAAGCTTCAAGCTTAATTAACTATAAACAGGCGGATACTACGCGTTAAGCTCAAAGTGGGCTGTTCTTGAGTTGTTAATGGCGTAAGCCATGTTAAACATATACTAAAGTTTTAATTAAAGTTAGACTCTTTCAAACAAAACGACTAAACAGCTTTCACATACACATTTTCCGCAATATTCCCCCCATCTTTGCTTCCATCAGTCTGTCGTTTATTAAACATGCTTGTGTTACATCTTGACTACAGGGTGCAAGCCAGTCAACATGATGAGTTAAGCTAACTTCACTCCTTCTCCATTGCCAGCTGGTGCCATTTGATGGCATTTTGACGTGGCTTTTCTGTATGTGTCTGCGTGCGTGTCTGCATATGTGTGTGTGTGTGCGAAATTCATGTAATGTGTGTGTTTGACCACATATATATAACCGCTGCACTTACGATTTTCGATCAGCCAAGAACAGTCGACGCCCACACACGCAGCCAAAGATGAGTGTTAAAATTGAGTTGCATACCTTAGGGCAGGTTATTTAGCATTTCACTTGAAATTCATATCACCTCGAATCCGATTCGACTGCGAAACATTTGTTTAAGTTTAAGAACTAATCGAGCATCTGAGCTAAATCGAAAGGATAGCAGTGTCTACATTGAGATGATTGCGATTTTAATGGAACTCACACATTCAGAGCCAAAAATGTAAGCGTAATTTGTCTGCTTCTAAGTAATGAATGGTACAAGTCCACTCTCGTATTTCATTTCGCAGCTTTTACTGCCATTGACTTACCCATTAAATCAAGGGTGGGGCGTTGAGTGGGCCGAATGCTTTTCAATTTGTTTATGTGCCGTTCTTTGGTTTATGATTTGATGAGGCAATACATCAAATTGTTAAAATTCCCGTATTTCAATTTTATTTACTCTCGTTCTTAAATTTAACAGTTTACGAAGTACTTCACTTTATGGCTACATCAAGACAGACCGAACGCTAGATTTCTTATTTATTTTGACAAAAACCACATGTCTATATTTTTTACAGTCTTCTCTAAAAATGTGAGCTTTTGAATATAATTGGTTTGAGAAGAATAATGTTTTATCGACCACCTTTTACTTTTTCTGGCTTTTCTGTCTTTACCATCCACATCAAAGACTTACAAAAATTAAGCCCAGAACTTTTAGTTATATTTTTCCAATTCGGTTTAAACGAGTGCATTTTGGGATGGTTACTTAATATTACAAATTTGAAGTCTGTTTATAAGAGCTGGCTAGTTTGACTCGACTAGATACTTTATTTGATCGAATATGCTTCCTTCTGCCAGCTATTCACTTTTGCACAACTTTGTTATTCCCTTTTACACATTTAATAAAAAATAGTTGTAGCAGCTGTCTTTTTTTTATTCTTGCCCTTTACTTTGTGTTTGCAACTATAATTTGAAGCAAGCATTCAGAAAATAATTCACTTTGCGTTAAGCACACGACACGTTGCCAAAAGAGCCAGTTAAAGTGGCAGCGAGGCAAATGGAAATGGAAATGGAAAATATACCTTGGTTGCCGGAGGCATAATATGAAATGTCACAGTACGCTCCAGTTCAGGCACAAATGCAGGAAGTGGTCAAGCAAAAAGAGGGAGCCAAATTTCTCTCCTTCTCTTTCTTTTTTCTATCTCAGTCTTATTCGTTTGCTCACAATTCTTAACCCAGTTTCAATGCTGGCGAACGACGCACTTGCGGTTAACTGTGGAGGATGGTGCAGGAGCTGATGTTAAGCGGTATTGAGGTTGACTTGGCCAACTGCAGCTACTATAATAGCAGCAGCCACCACACACCGCTCACCCCCAGGCTTGTCAATGGTCAACTGTTTCTATGCGTTGCCGTTACATTCTTCTATTTTTTTATTTATTTTTTTTATTGTTTCTTGTGTTTGTGGTTTCAGCGACTGCTGTGAGGCCTTTTTTAACTTTCT